CATGGTGCCCCGGCAACAGCAAACGGGAACGCACCAACACAAACACGGCCCCGGCAACAGCAAACGGGTACGCCGTTACAAACATGGTGCCCCGGCAACAGCAAACGGGAACGCACCAGTACAAACACGGCCCCGGCAACAGCAAACGGGTACGCCGTGACAAACATGGTGTCCCGGCAACAGCAAACGGGAACGCACCAATACAAGCTGGCCTGGCAACTTCAAACAGGCACAACTGACAAACTACGGTACCCAGCAACAGAAAATGGGTACACTGTTACAACATCAGTCCATCACATCAAGATGCCGCTGCCACAACATTGCAGCAGCAACACAGCAGCCATGTATACGTGGCCCTCCCAAAAACAGACACCTGGAGCCAAACGCATCCATCACACTGCTTATCACGGCCGATTTGAGTGACAATGGCAAACCCCACCTAATGCTTATAGTTAAATGATGGGATCTGTATACCGACTATCGTCACGGAATCAATAAATGTCAGCAGAGCATAACACTCACTTGCACTCACACCCTGTCACGTAGAGATGCTACTCTACTTTTCGATTGGGGTGGCATGCCGGCCACCTGCCGAACATAGCGCTTGGAAGCTGTACTGCGCCACCACCCTGTCCGGCGTATCACCGCTTCACTTGCACCTCTGAACGCCAGGAGTGACGCCCCACCAATCCGCATGGAGTGGGAGCTCACCTGGTTGCAGTTGAGAGCCTGACGAAGTATCTTGTTCAAACATGGCGGAGTAAGGTAATTCCCTTCAGCAAAATCGAACACAGGCTTAGAGTTGCAGGCATGAGCTGTCGTGCGCCAGAATTCGGACATTGCCAGTACCGGGCACGTTTCGTCGCCAGTAGAAGACACCGTGACAGTTCCACCGTCGCCAGATTGCTGCGTCTTAGTGACTTTCAGCCGCAACGTGACCGAGTCGGGTGCAATACTGACAGCCGTCCACACAAGTGCTCTATGGCTGTCAAACGTGTGAATAGAAGGCGCCAGATACTCACTGGCACGCAGCAAGTCATAGAAGGCTAGAGTTACACTTGCCCACAGCATAGTCTGATCCACATAATTATGCATAATTTGAACGTTGCAAGTATCGCCGGAAATGGATCAAGTCGTCCGCCGAAAGCTCTCTCCGAGCCAACGCTGAGGGGGGTTGCCATCTCTCTATGCCATGCAACACTGCTGTTAGGCGAGACGACGACTTTAAACATCCACCGCCGCCCCATTGCACAACAGGTAGTAGCGGACTGCCGCTAGGTAAACGCGAATTGATGACAGAGACAGACTTCTTAAAACAAAGAGACTAGCGGTGAAGGACACAGTAGTTTCAATAGTAGGAGAAAGTGCCACAACGGAGTTAGTACGGCAGAACTCTAAATATGCAGCAATACCAGGCTTAAACGTTTGTTTGGTACGCGCCGAGACGGAGTCCTCAACTAGCGCATCACTGGCCGCACTCAAAGCAGCGAGCTAGGGGAAGGTACTTGTATTGGATGGCTGCACGCTGCGGGGGCCAGTGCTCGGAACCGAGACATTTTCACTCACACCCTGTCATGTAGAGATGCTAGTCTACTTGTCCATTGGGGTGGCATGCCGGCCACTTGCCGGATGTAGCGCTCGGAAGACGTACTTTGCCACCGCCCTGCCCGTCATATCACCAATTCACTTACATCTCTGGCCGCCAGGAGTATCGCCCCAGCAATGCGCATGAAGTGGGAGCTCACCTGGTTGCAGTTGAGAGCCTGACGGAGGATAACACGGCTCCAGCTGGCCTGGCACCACCGTCCCAAAAACCACTGGCCGACAAAATAGCCACCCAAGCCAACATCGACCAGGAGGCACCACCACGGCAGCAAGTGAAAGCATGCCGATGGAAGACAGCAGACCCCGCTTCGGATAACGAGTGTGAGCAGACCATGCATCCAGAACTGAGGGCAGAGCAGACAATTGACGAATCACATGCCGAACGGTGTCGTTCACCTTGGGCTGAAGCGGGCAGCAGGAATACTGTCATTAATGCTGTGACCAGTGCTCGGAAGTAAGTAATCATAATAGGGGCGGCCTGCATCGCAGCGGCCCAATGCCACAAACCATGGTCCATGATAGAAACCGCCAAAGCCAACAACAGAGGCAGCCGGTAGACATGACTAACTCAAGCTCAGGGGATTGTGACCACTCGACATCATGGAAAAAGTATTGGCCAGTCCAGTGCGCAGCAAAGAAGCGCCGCCAGTTGATGTCCAAATGGGCTTCTGTGACAACGGTGAAGACTGACTGAAGAGACGGAGCGGGGCAGCTGAAATCGGTGAGACGGCAGATGAAAGACCTGCCAGGAGGAACCACCGGCGCGGCGGTAAAGGACGGGATGCCGATCATGGTCAGCCGATCCCGCTGTGGGCAGCGAGTGTGCATGAACCACTCACTCGAAGCCGCTAGAATAGGAGAGAACTGCTCGTCAGGTAGCCGCATCACCTGCTCCAAGCAGGTGACGTCTATGCGAAGTACCGTCACCACCGTGATGAGCGAACCACCTTCTCGGCGCCAGTGGCGACTAGGATGCTGAGGTGGTCAAAGAACTGCAGAACCGTCACGTCAACGCGTGCCACGAACCACCAAGCAAAAGATAACATAAGCACCTAGTTTGGTGCAGCGTACTGGGTTTTGTGCAGGCCAGCACAGCTAGCAGGAATAGTTTGATACCCAGAACGACTGGGGGCAGGATTTTTCCCTGAGATAGTGGAATACCGTGTGTAGGCAGAGATGGTGCGTAACGAACGCACCGTGAGCAGAAAATCTTCAGATCCACATCGAAGGCCACAAGCGTTTGACAAACACAACTGAGACGTAGATGATCAACGATCGTCCCTCACTCAAAGTCGTAGTGACATGTTGAAAACCACCAGCCTACTTGGTCGATGCACACACCTCCGCTCCTTGTCGACTGCTTTGGCTAGAGTATTGGCAGGTGATCACAGCCAGTCCTGAGGTGGCGTCAACGCCAGGCGCTATGTCGACGCGGAAACAACTGGTCCTCGGCGACGAGTAGTCCGTGCTTGGCCTCATGAACTCCAGGAAATGCACGACTGCGACGAGGAGCTCCCCGATCTACCCACTCAACAAATAAATATTTCAACCAAGCGCGATCCTTCGCTGCGTCAGCGAAGTTGTGAATTGGCAAGCGCTTTCAGCTCAGCGCTTGACTACGCAGGCGAACACAACTGACTCCCTTCGAAGAAAGAGAAATTACCAGCCTGACAAGGGAAAGAAAGAGAAATTACCAGCCTGACAAGGAAAGCACTTCTTGTCCAAAGGAAAAGACAACCAAACTGCATTCGACTAGCTACTGCAGCGCACATAAAGGCAACAGTAGCAGCAGTGCAAAAAATGCTAATTACAGACCATACTCGGCACAGAATAATAATTAATGATATGCATCATGACACCATCACTACGCATGTGCCCGCGTGGGCTAACTTGGCTTTGATACTCAAAGCCGGCATTTATAGCGAACATTACGCTATAGCGGATTATGTTATAGCGAGGACATTTTGTACAGAAGTGATGCGGTTTCGGCAGGGACATTCACATTTGTACGTTATAGTGAGGTGTATGTTATAGCGGGGGTCGTTATAGCGAGGTCTGACCTGTACTATTATAGTAGCACATTCTGCAATCGCAAAATTAAAACCTCGCAAACCTGTCCGGATTCTGAAAACGCGAACTAAAAACGCCGCGAAAATTTCACGCTTTACAGTAGCTGTTCTGAATTTGGAAAACGTAGACCTGTGAACTCGCACCAGTATTCTGCACAAACTGGTAGTACAATGCAGGGTCCTCAAAAACTAGTATTTATATACCGTATTTCCGCATATAAAAGGCCGTCCTCGTATACAACGCCTTCCTCGTTTACAAGGCCGGGGCAGGGGGCGATTGAAAAAATAAAAGACCGTCTCCGATTAGAAGACCGGGCCTACTAAATGAGTCTTTGTTCTTGTGTTAAAAATGGAAGACCGTGTTCAAACTGTGGAAAAAATAGAAGACCGTGCTCAAACTGTGTAGAAGAAAATGGAAGAACGGGGGTAAAACTGTGTGGCGAGAAATAGAAGACCGGGGTCAAACTGGGTTGAAAGAATAAAAGACCGTCCTCGAATACAAGACCGTCCTCGATTATAAGGCCGGATTAGGGCGAGGTTGAAAAAATAGTAGACCGGCCTACTATTTGTGGAAATACGGTATGTGGGGTTGTGCCTTTGCTGTTTGCGTTCGGCAGAGCTCACTGACTTGTTAGTTTGAGCACTCTGGCGAGGTACGTTCGGGCCTAGTTTAAATCTGGCCCTGAGAAATTTATTTTTCATTGCTATCAGGTTCGGCCTCATTTTCTCTGTGCTTCGCTGATGAGTCCACCACGGACGAAACAGTTCTGTCCGCAGATTGAGTATCCTGTGGTATGTTATATCGAGGGTATTTTATATCCTGTGGTATCAAGAGTACATAACCAAGAGTGTGCAACTCCTATCTCGAGCTGTGATGGGTTCACCCACGGCAGAATTTTTTTATTGCGTCATTCTTTGGCAGAAGTATGACCAAGTGTGTATGCTTTCCCGCGCTTGTTTTGTAGATACGATGTGAGCGTTCATCAGGTTCAAGACACATCGATGTATCGTCCGTTGTTCTGCTTCGACTACCGTACCTGTGCCGTACAAATTCTTTGTACTTTGATCTCTGGCTACGCATGATGGCATCAGCGAGCCAAACACCCACCAAAGACTGTCATTAAAAAAATCCGCCTTGGGCTGGGGTATCGTCGAGTTGCACACTCTTGGTTATGTACTCTTGGTGGTATGTTATATCATTGATTCGTTTGAGGGAGACTATGCAAACGTTATCAACTATGCATACATGTACCCTTGGCTATAGAATTGTGCTGTGTTTCTGTGTGAATTGCGTGCTGTCGCATATCTATCTGCATCCGTCTCTAGATCACCTACAAATGGCCACGTCACTTGACAACAGTGATCGAACAGAGCTAGTACCACAGTTGACCAGCAGTGGCAAGCACTGTACTGATACGCTCAGCAAGTGTGTAATAACCCAACAACTCATCGAGGAGTGGTGAGTCGACTAACAACTTCACTACAATAGTCGTACAGCTATTACGTACACGCACACACTTTTGTCTGGCTGCGAACGAATATTCTGTCAATCTCGCAAATCCATGCTGTCTCCTCTCACTGTGACGCAATCCAGCAGTTTCACCGTGACATTCACCCATACAGAAGCTGCACACACACACACACACACACACACACACACACACACACACACACACACACACACACACACACACACACACACTCTTGTGTTCATGTACATGTACTCTTGATAAAGCTCGTAAGTGACGGTCACGGCAGCGGCACACAGTGGTGCGCAGTGGTAGCACACACGCAGAACTGATGTTTGAATTCTTTGTGTGATTGCACTGTGCAGGTGCGAGCAACCAGCACAGTTCACTGTCCCCTGGTCTACATACCACAGTCAGAGCCTCCAGCAGTGGACCGAACAATTCATTGTCCTAGCAACTAAATGGCATCAGAAAAAGCTACTGCAGTGATTGAACAGAGAAACAAAGAGTGACGGGCAGATCAGCGTACTCCAGCACTGGATAGAGCTATCTAGAGCACACAAGGGATGCAGTTGCTGTGTTACACATTTGCTTGATTAGCAGTGGGCCGTATAACACCTGTCTCGAATTGTTTCTAGCTACCTAACTTAGTTTGGCATGTTCTCTTCCTTTTTTTCTTCTTCTCTCGTGCACACATTTAGCATGTATGTGTTGTTGCTGGTTTTATTACCGTGTAGCTATGTGCAGTGCAGGCAGCATTGACTGTGCAGACTGGGAGCACAGGGCAACAGAGTACTAGCCAGAAACCGTCTAAAATCCACTATCGGCATGAAATGGTTGGATAGATATCTGAATATTGAGTGAGGTGATCTACGCTTGCTTTTCGCGAAACTAACTGAAGAAATAAATCAAGATAAATAAATAGTACAAAACTAAACCAGAAAAGGTCTATGGTGTGTACGGCGTGTACATTCTCTGCGGCTATGCGTGGTGTGTGTGTGTGGGGCACCTGGTGCATCGCTATGGAGAAGCAACTGCATCTCTGTACAGATTCTCCACACAGCACACGGCAGATTGGCGAGAGCATATGTTCCGTAATGTTGCTGCTCTGTCTGTTCTGTTCGCGATTACCAGGCGGCCATGCTCACTCTACCCGCCCACTCGCGGAGACAGAACGCCGGCGGCTGAGCAAGTCGTCGCACGGTATTGGCCTCAGTTCTAATACATTACTACCTGCAATAGAGTCATCGTCTGACTCGTCTGATTCATCCATGAAGTAATCACGACATCGTCCCATTGACAATCGCCACTGCAGAAGAAACAACAGACAGGAACAGGGGACGTTCAATTGTGTGCACCCGATACTGATCCCAAATATGTGATAATATTAAAGGGGAAGCTAACCCTTTAGGGCCCACAATTATTTCAAGAAATGCACTGCATACGCGAGCCCAGTTACTTATCTGGTCGTAACTTTGGTGTCCTTTGGCCGATTTTGGTGATCTTGGGCTTTCTGGAAAGCTCTTGGCCAGAGAAACACAGCGATAGCCAGCAATCCATCACTCGATCCACAGAACCAGCGCCGCAGCGCGGTACGGCGCTCCAAAGTCAGCATTGCGAGCGCCCAACTCAAATTCTCTGCCATTTCAACAAATTGCATCACAGATCGATCAAATTTCTTTACTGGAGAGCTGAGAAACATGCCTTTCCGATGACGTGAACTATCTGTAGCTGCGTGGGCCGCGAGTCAGGGAAACCCCTAAAAACGAGTTCAAAATGCACGCGCTCGAGTTGACTCTGCTGAGCGAATTTAGTTCAAGTCTCGTATCTCCGCTCTCCGACCTCGGATCGCCTTCGGGTTTTTGCACTGTACACTGGTACGGATATATCCGTACTATGGGCCTCAAAGGGTTAAGGCAAAAATCAAAATTTCACCAGTTGTAGTCTTCGGGGTGCTGAGTCGAATGGTCGTGGTACGAGAAAGCTGAGACGCTCCCTTCCTACTTGAATCCCAATCGAACTCGCGCACTTCCACCGAAACTGGGTGACTGCGCCCTACGAGATGGGGATTTGTATACAAAATGTCACTAAAAGCGCCATTTCGTTCTTATAAAAGCACGGATGACCGCGATTGGCCCATATGTGTAGTCTTTTGGACGCTGAGTCGACTGGTTTTGGTCCGAAAAGGCTGCGATGCAGCGTTCCTCCTTTATTCCCAATCGAACATGGTTGAACAAGCGGTCACGTGCTCCTGGGTGCCCAAATCACCTGGTCACCACGCCAGCAGGCGACAACTTTCACACCAAGGTTCAACTCGAGTAACTCGAGTGCAGGAGTGCACCCAAAAAAGGTCAAACAGGCCAGTAAGTTGTACCCTGTAGGCACGGTGACCAGGTGACTGGTGTACGCAGGAGCACGTGACCGCTTGTTCAACCATGTTCGATTGGGAATAAAGGAGGAACGCTGCAGCCTTTTCGGACCAAAATCAGTCGACTCAGCATCCAAAAGACTACAACATATGGGCCAATCGCGGTCATCCGTGCTTTCATAAGGACGAAATGGCGCTTTTAGTGACATTTTGCATACAAATCCCCATCTCGTAGGGCGCAGTCACCCAGTTTCGGTGGAAGTGCGCGAGTTTGATTGGGATTAAAGTAGGAAGGGAGCGTCTCAGCTTCCTCGGACCACGGCCATTCGACTCAGCACCCCGAAGACTACAACTGGTGAAATTTTGATTTTTGCCTTAACTTCCCCTTTGAGCCCCAATAGCCCAACGACTGGCTATCCATGCGGGCAACCAGTACGAGTACGTAGTAGAGAGGTTCTGTAAAATGAAAAATGCGTACAAACTTTCGCTCTACGTCATGAAGTGAGAAACTTCGAACGAACTTTCGCAACTTTGGACGCGAAACTTGCAGGGAACGCGAAACGAATTTTCGTAGGAAGTCAGATCGGGTCACGGCGTACGTGCACTTGGCGCGTGCAAACTTCGAAAAGGTGCAAAGGTTTGTGTGAAAATTCGTCCACATTTTCGCAAGGCCCGTCGCGAAACTTGTTCGAATATTTGTTTTGCAGAACCTCTCTAGTGTCTGGCCTTTTTGCTCACAAACCCTGTTTCTGCTACCTTTGCCATATAAGAAAAAGTTGCCAACCCGGTTCGGGCCTCACTGGGTCAAAATGGTCAGGAGCACTTCCACAACACAAACACACACACACACACACACACACACGTGCACAGTTACACAGAAAGCGCGCGTGTTCTTGCGCTAGCCTGGCATCCTGCAAGTGCGTCAATTTGTGATATAGTATGCTGTGTTCAATCGTGACGTCTTCAATGCTCTACATGATTGTCCTGGAACCTACCAATTGCTGAGCATATTTTCCGTTAGCCATGCGCTGTCTAGTTGTGGGCGAAGAAGGTGGAAGAGCAGAGGGATCAACTTCTGATTTATTCGGTAACATGCTCTTGATGGCACGTATCCATTCTTGACACTCATTCTCACTGTCAGCCTGTATGGGTAGAGTATATACAGGACAGCCATGCCATATGCGTCATGTTTTAAAGCATTGCATGCTCCTACATACCGTATATTCTCTATTACAAGCACAGGTCTCCATTAGGGGTCGTCGCAAAAGTTTTCTGTCGTCCCTGAAACGAACATCGTTTATTTCATTCTCGGACCCCCTCCCCTCCCTCTGAAACGAACACAGCTTGCTATGCTGGACGACGAAAATCGCATGCATGTACATGTCATATGTACAGTGTCGGTCGACTTGCGATTTTGGCTCGCACCCCTCCCTCCCCAAATAAATCATGTTCGTTTCAGGGACGACAAAAAACTTTTGCGACGACCCCTTACTAGCACAGTCTCTACTACTAGCACACTGTGAGCACCTTTCGAAACATTATAAGCACAGTCTCTATTACTAGCATGGTCTTTATGGAAGTCAATGCTGCATGCATAATATCGAGCATGTATTTCTTCTTGCTCTGTATGGATGTATTTGTTGAAAAAATATAAGCACGGTCTCCAATATAAGCACGGGGTAGAGGGGTGTTGAAAAAATATAAGCACGGCGCTTATAATAGAGAATATACGGTACTCTAAAACAAAACACACCTGCTATGCTATGAGTAGGTAAGCCGAAGGAAGATGCAATTAACTGTTTCCTTGCCGTGCTGCTGGAGGGAGATTGCGGCTATGAAGTCTGTAGCGATGATAATTAATATTTCGTTCCTGAGTGATATTGCGGGTGCTGTATAACAATTATTTCTTTCGGTATGACCTAATTTTCGGTAATTTCGGTCGAGAAATCATTCACCTAATAAAGTACCACTAGAGTATGCGCTGTATGTGAAGGGGGATGCATGTCATTAAATTCAAGTCACACCAGAAACCCGTCAGGTCACTTACACCGAAATTTAAATATATACAGCGCTGCTCAATGAAATACGGCCACGTGAGTTAACTACGCGCCGGGCGCTGTGCAGACCTAGACCTGCGAACACTGGGATGCTCGCTGGTGCAGGGTGCAACGCTGACTCACTCGATCGGATTTCAGTGAGCAACACTACACTGTGGGGTGGTCTTTGTCTACTAGAAAGCAGGTTTGCGCAACATATTTGGGATATCCTACAGGCAAGGCAAACGACGTAGCCAGCAAACTACAGAAACTGTTGCAAGCTAAAAAATTGTCGTGTAATCACACCCTACCTGCATGTAGAAGATGCGGCCAACTGTGATGACCTGCAAAACATGTGCACGGTCTGGGAAGCTAAGCACAACAGCCCACAAAAAGTAACACACAGAGAATGGGTGGCGTCAATACTCAATAGTCCATGCTTGAAGCAGCCTTTTCAAACCAAGAAACTGTATTATACACGTACCAAACAATAATAACCGTATTTTAACACAGGAGTATAACCTGCACCCCCCCCCCTTCTTGAGCAACGTTTTGGCAATTCAAGGTATATCCGGAGTATAATGGGGAGCCTGGATTTGAGTGCATTATCGATCGTAACGACAGTACTATAGTGCGACCACTGTCAGAATTTATCATAAAATTTATACCAACATTATACCAACGTACTTCGGTACACATTAATATTTAATATTAATGTGTACCGAAGTACGTTGGTATAATGCACGTGCTACCGATCGGATCTCATACCCATCATGCATTTGGTATATAATAAATGTGGAGCCGAAGGATTTATTGCAATTACCGTAAAGTACCGCCAGAGCGCCCCACCTTGATTTTACAGCCAAGGGAAGAAAATCGTATGGCAGAATGCTCGTAAGTTTGTACGGTGTGAGAACCTTCGTGTACTAAGGTCACACTTGGCATGTTTTTATGTGGAGCGCACATCCGCTCGAAGGTAAACTGGGTACGGATTGACTGCAAAACGTGCAATGTGTGTACAAGGTCTGTGTCGTATGATAGGCAGGAAACCACCTCCACAAGATGACCACGAAAGGACGAGGTGGTGGGGCGCTCTGGCGGTACTTTACGTTACATACCAGCACAAAAACCGAGGCGAAGCCGAGGTTTTTTTACAACTGGTATGTAATTGCAATAAATCCTGAGGCTACTACATTTATTATACATATGTTGGCCTGCACTTTCCCAAGGAAGGAGTGTTTTATAAACAGTATTTATTGTACACCTTGCGCTGGGTCAGAGGCGGCAAACATTGCAACAGTTTCATGCATCGTACTACTTTTCGAAGTACATGTGCATGCATTTCCATATTCAGAGCATAGTGCGCTTAACTGACTTAAGTGGGCAAATACGAAGCAGAAGACACTTCCGAGAAAAGTACAATAGCGGTTACCTTTGACAGTCGGATACAGACATGAGCAGTGGAAGTGGAATGTTCTTTATCGGGTCTTTGGTCTGTGGGTGTAAGGAATAAAGCACACTCAAAGCTAACCAAGAGGCAACTGTGTAGCAAAACGCCAGTATACAATAAAGGGAGATGAGTGATTATGCGACGTAATGAAACTTCTAAACTGCGAAGGCATCCCTGCGTGCACAGACTGTATCATGTATACAGTTCATATACGCCAGAGAACAGCTATAGAGTATAGACAGAAAACTTTGTCTCTGTATCGTCATCACCTGGACGATGGGTTGAACTACTAGTACCGTATCAATATGTGACCTGTTCTAGTATAGCGTACCCAGCTGTTCTGATAATACGCGAGGCCAAAGGGATCCAATATGAAGAAGCGCCTTCTCCAAGTCCGCCTCTGTATGCACACATACAACAGATGCGCACAGATCAGCTTTATTAGGGGACAGACATGTATGCAGGGCCACTCACATACACACGCACGCATGCACAGCTCTTTGCGTGGTGGCTTACAAAGAGAGATGTATTGCAGTTTGTGATGCAGATTGAGCACAGTGTATAGTTTTTATTGTCGCCCAAGACATGTAGTGCAGCTGGTCCAACACATCTCACACTCAGATAGTACAATTTGATTACTCTGTCTTCAATACCCCTATTCACTATTCTATCATAATTTGGTAAGCAAAGCAGATCAAACCGGGACGTAGGATGACTTACACGGCCACCTTGCTTAGTACAATATCCACGCATAACGACACGAGCACCATCTTTGCGATGTGCACGCTGAGGCGAAGAGTTGGTGGACTTTGGTGTCCAGTTCGATATGCTATTGGTGCTGATGCTGGAGCGTATGATTCCGCCATCGTGACTTGTCGACTGGCGAAGTAATCCTATTTTGTGGCAGTCTCCGGCGATGGATTTGGCACTAGGAGAGGAATCCATCGGTGAGTCTAAAGTATCGCTCTGAAAAAGGCAAGAATGCACACATGCACTGTTTTCTTGTATCTGACACAAGTGACAATGTACGGTCGATAGATTATCAGAAGTTCTGGAAATAGCACAAGCTCTCTTACACCGATATGTTAAAACTGTTCTTCTGCCGTAAACAGAAATCAAATCTCATAGTGACTGATCTACTTGTACAGTGTTACAGACAGTGTGCAGTCAATGATATCAGCCACATTAGACTTTGAAGTACATCAGCCTTGGGCCGTACTGCAGTGCCGAGCGCAGGTGTGCGACAAGCTGGGTTGGAGGTGACACTGCGAAAGACTACTGGTCCTCGACCCTTGTTCCACACATCCATGGGCGATGCTGACTCATGCCGCTGTCTGGTGTTCACAAGTTGTTTGTCGCGGTGGAAATGGACAATTTGTATCCATGGTGATATTTGGACCTGAAGAATACTATATACAGTAAAACCTGTAACTACCGACCACCGTGACTAGCGACCACCGTGACTAGCGACCACCGTGACTAGCGACCACCGTGACTAGCGACCACCGTGACTAGCGACCACCGTGACTAGCGACCACCGTGACTAGCGACCAGCCTGGTACTACAGACCACCGTGACTAGCGACCACCGTGACTAACGACCACCGTGACTAGCGACCACCGTGACTAGCGACCAGCCTGGTACTACCGACCACCGTGACTAGCGACCACCGTGACTAGCGACCAGCCTGGTACTACCGACCACTTCGCCAGGCACGGAAGGTCTCACATTCAAAATGCACTGTGACTAGCGACTACCTGCTGAACACGACCAGCGACCGCCTTTTCTTGTCCCAAAGACGATTTTTGACCCGTAACTAGCGACCGCGATGTGGGAAATCAAATGTTGCTCGAAGCTCCTTCTTGAAATTTTGCTGATTTTCCATGGTCCTGAAAGGAATCTTTCGATACTACAGCTGAACAAATGAACGCAGGTCATTTTGACTGTGGAGTCGGTGTGGACTGCACTACACCTGTCAAAATGTCAAGCCCTGTCAAGAATAAACATGATAGGAAACGTCTTGGAGAGCGCATCGAAAGCGCTCTGTGATCGATGTTACTACTCGGAGGAGAAACGAAGACTGGGCGGCTCTGTCACCCCAGTCATTCAGACGGATCGACGATGGCATCAAGGAATCCAGAAACAAAGCAGCACCACAAGGTCCTGATGCTGAAGGATCGCGTTCAAGCAATCGAGGAGTCACAACAAGGACAGTCGGTACGATTGAACGCATGAACAAATTTGAAGCCCAGCGCAAAACCAAACTTCCCCAGGGAACGTTTGACTCCTGGCTTCAGAAGTACCAGCTGAATTTGAAGTCTACAAAAAAATAATCTTCTCTCTCTCTCTCTCTCTCTCTCTCTCTCTCTCTCTCTCTCTCTCTCTCTCTCTCTCTCTCTCTCTCTCTCTCTCTATCCATCTCTCCGTCTTTCTCTCCAAGTTAAAGGGGAAGTGCATCGATTTTTCGAGTATGGTCCAGAAGAAAGACAATTTGATATCGGTTCGAATGGCATATCTCTCTCTTCCATACGATAAGCCAAACTTGCCAAATCGCCAATTGTATACTCACGTTGCCATAGCGACCAGCGCAGTGATGACGTACGAAAGGCTTAGCTCCACCACAGAGACGGTCGATCACTGCAGAATTTGGTCATTTTCAATTGGTTTATTGTATTCACGAAGTGAAAGAAGGGCTGTGTTCAATGCTGTAAGTGCAGTGAACTGTTTGTTAGTAGTCCTCTCGGTTGTGTACTGGGATGTGACACCGATAGGAGAAAGCTGGAGCGCGGAGACACCAGCAGACAAGCGAAAATAGTGACGAACAAAATGCTGAAATCTTGGTTGGGACAAATCAGACGTTCAGCATTTCCCCCAACCAAGGACCATGCCGTTTGCTCTTTCCACTTCCTGAAGATGAATGTGATGCTTCCTGGCGACTCTCCTATCTCTCGTAACATCTGAAGCCAGGTGAGACGACGGGTGGTGGAGATTGACGAATGAAATAATGTCGTAGGTTCGAAAGTTTGCTGAAAATGTCTTAGGAGAGACGGCGAATTCCAAGCATCTTGTCCTGGAGGAAACCATTTCCAAGGCACAGTCAGCCTAGGGAAATGCATGAGAAGGGCGACAAATAGTTCACGGCACTAACAGCATTGAACACAGCACTTCTTTCACATCGTGAATACAATAAGACAATTGAAAATGACCAATTTATGCAGTGATCGACCTTCTCTGTGGAGGAGCTAAGCCTTTCGTACGTCATCACTCCGCTGGTCGCTATGGCAACGTGAGCATACAATTGGCGATTTGGCAAGTTTGGCTTGTCGTATGGAAGCGAGAGATATGCCATTCGAACCGATATCAAATTGTCTTTCTTCTGGACCCTTCTTGAAAAATCGAAGCACTTCCCCTTTAAGTGTTGTTTGACCTGAAATAAGAATGACATTGCGCAAGTTCTGGGGAATTGTATTAGCTGCATTTTGACATACATATCATTATAATGGGATCCATATATGGTCACGCGGTGCAAACCTCTAACTAAAGACCACCTGCTACTAAAGACCGCTTTTGCTGGCACCAAGGGGTGGTCAGTAGTCACAGGTTTTACTGTAACTCATAAACGTGATAGTCTTCAGGCACAAACTTCCTCAGCCTACTCAAGCTCAACTGATGAGGGGTGAATTTCCGAAACACTGTGTATTGACTACTACCGAGCAGCTAGCAGCGCTTCCCTGCAGGTTTGTAAAGTCGAAAGTTAGATGGACTCCTCGTGTGCTCTGGATGACCTTTTTGACTGAGTAAAGTCAAGTCGACGAAAAAAGCGCAAGCTCTAACGTTGCGAGCAACCAACTTTCTCATCAAAGGTCAGGCTGCTAACATTGATTTGTTATTATATCACCCTAGGATACAAAATTATGCAACTGTACATGAAGTGGTATTTTCACATAATTGTTGGGCATCGATGTTGGAAAATCATCAAAGCATGTAGAGTAGTGCTATCAAGTTGCTTGCACATTATGATGATGATGAGGATGATGATGATGATTGTAATCGAACTATGACTTTCTCTTGTATGACTCTGTCTTGTGTAGTTGACATTACTTCTTACCTCTTGTTGCCTGTCATGTGATTCATGTGCGTGATTCATCCTGTGGTTGCGGCTTTCTTGTACGCATGCATGTATGCTGTCATAATAGTAGTGTCATGTTTCATCTTTTGTGCAGCTGTTTGCGCTTGCTGTGGTACGCATGCATGCTCCAGTTCCTTTCTGATACACGCTGCTCTTGGCTCTTTTTACAGTAGTTCTGGTGTGTTCCGATGGCGATGGTTTTGTGAACAAAGTTCTCTCTCTTGTTGTACTGTCGTATGTATTAGCACAAACAATAACCTTCCAGTTAGTATAATTACTTGTCCAGACCTGTGTGGTGTTTTGGCCGTGGTATGCCTGAGACCGGTTGTGGGGGTAATTTTCTAACAGCGTGGTGCCGAAACCCGGGAATTGTTTGTGCGTAGACGTCAGTTTTAGTGTATGCCTCGTCGTCGTCGTACGAGACAGAGAGCGAGACAAGGAGAGGTTGAGGCCTTGCCTGTATCGGACAGTGAAGCAGTTGGCGTTGCTTCTGAACCTGAAGCTGGACGGCTTGATGAAGTCCTTCGGTGGGAAGGCAGGTGACAGCTTTGATGACTTTTGGTTGAAGTACTCTGTGCTGTCGGAGGTGAACGGTTGGGACTCGGCTGATAAGCGCATGCAGAGACTTCCCCTGTTTTTGGAAGGAGATGCGCTGCTCGTGTTTAGTAGAATGGAGGCTGCGGATAAGGTGTCCGCTTTGCTGCAAAAGTCGTTCGGCGTGACAGGAAGTGATGCGTACGAAAAATTTACATCCCGCCGGTTCCTTTCTGATGAAAGTCCTGACGCGTACGTGTCTGATTTGCAGCGGCTGCTGGCTGCATCAGGTCACAAGCTGACAGGTGATGACGATTCTGTCGTTATTGAGCAGCTGCTGGCTGGTCTCCCTTTTGATTTTGCCAAGGAGATCCGCCTGTCAAGTGCTGGGAAAGACTTACGTGTGTCCGACTGTGTGGAGAAGTTGAGAGCACTGCGCAAGGTTGTGTCAGCAAGGCCAGGTATTGCTGGTGCAGTGGTGTCTGGCCCTTCCGGTGGGAAGAAGTCCCATATTGTCTGTCATAAGTGTGGTGAACCTGGGCATATACGGAAACGTTGCCCGGAAGGACGTGGTGGCGGCAGCAGTGCTGTGAAGAGCAGTGGAGGCAGCGGTGGTGGCCAGCAGAAGTCATCAGGGCCACGAAATGTTACATGTTTCTTCTGTGAGCAACCGGGTCATTATCAACAGGACTGTGAGCTCAAAAAGCAATGTCTCCGAGACCAGAAGAGAGGCAAAGGCGTGGCCGGAGCGGCTGTGGAGATCGCCGATCCATGTCTCCTAGCTACGGTAACTACCACGCGACCTGGTTTGCCTCGTGTGTTTGTAGACGTGGCTGTACCTGACAGGGATGTGTGGAGGCGCGTGCAAGCCATCATCAATACTGGCTCCTGTCGCACGCTCATTAGCGAAGCACTTGTTGACAGTTTGGGTGTCCCTGTTACTGAGAGTCTGGGCAAAGGAATTGTTGCCTTGGACGGAGAGCAGCTGACTACACGTGGCGTGGTGGAACTGCAGTTCAAGCGTGATGATGGTCCTGTGTCAATTCCTGAGTCAACTATGTCCGCTGTTGTGCTTCCTGACCTGAACGTTGTGTCGGCTGACGTGCTGATCGGCTCAGACTTCGTGACAATGTGTGGGGGTCTGCATATGGAATATGATGACGGACGGCTAGCTGGTGTGGTGATCGGCCCGGCCCAGGAGAAGTCGGGTAAACGCGCACCTGACGTTGTCGGAGCTGTACCTACACCGACTAAGCTCCCTCGGCATGTGCATGTCACAGAGGACGCCGACACAGGCAATGTCGTGCTTACCACCAGTGATGGCACGGTGTGCTGGAACGCTGAAGAGCGACACTGGGAAATATCGTGGAAGTGGTCAAGCAAAAATGAGCCTGAGGGTTTCATTAGTTCCGGTGTGGCTCAGTATTCGCGGAGCGGTCTGTCGGAATCGCAAGAGAATACCTTCTGTGATGAAGTAGACGGATGGATTGAGAAGGGGTGGCTCATACCTCATGACCCAGCGGTCCACGGAGAACCGGCTGCAGTACTTCCCCTGCTAGCAGTCAAACAAGAGCACAAGTTGACGACGCCTGTGAGACCGTGTTTGGACTACACTGCTTTGAACAAAGAGCTGGTATCCAACCCTGGTGCTGAAGCACCTGCGTGCCAAGAGAAGCTGCGGCAGTGGCGCGGTGCAGGAGATCCCGATTCATATGCTCTGATTGATATACGGAAGGCATATTTGCAAGTCCGTGTGTGCCCTGACCTATGGCGCTACCAGGTGGTGAAGTGGAAAGGTCAGACGTATGTCCTAACAAGAATGGGCTTTGGTCTGTCAGTAGCACCTAAGCTGATGGATTTGATTGTTCGGTACTCAACTCGCCAGTTTCCGGCTGTCGACAACTACATCGACGATCTATATGTACCCAAGGAGCAGACGGATGCCGTCGTCAAGCAGCTGGCAGAGTATGGACTCCCGACAAAGCCGGCGGAAGACCCGGCGACCGCGCGCGTTCTTGGCCTGCAGTTGAGCAAGGATGACAGCGGTGAGGTCAAGTGGGCTAGGCGAGATGGGCCCCGAACCGCGTTGCCGGACGTGTTGACACGTCGTGCAGTGTACAAGTGGTGTGGAGCATTGGTGGGCCACTACCCAGTTGCGAGCTGGCTTCGAGTGCACTGTAGCTGGTTGAAGCGTCTAACTAGCCTTCTCGGCTTGAAGTATGACGATCCGTTGCCTGACCAGCTCAAGAAGTTTTGCATTGATTTAGCCCAGCGCCTCAGCAGCGATGACCCAGTCGGCGGTGTGTGGCAAGGTCCTGGAAGTGCAGAGGAACCATGCAAAGTCTGGTGCGATGCTCCTGATATCGCGTATGGCGCGGCCTTGGAGTTCAATGGCTGTATCATCGAGGATTGCAGTTGGCTGAGAAAGATGGACGACAAGCGCCACATCAACTTGTCTGAACTGAATGCAGCTGCTGAGGGACTCAACCTCGCAGTCCAGTGGGGTGCGCGGCGAATCCAGCTGATGACCGACTCCAAAACCGTTGCTAGGTGGATCCAACAGCTTCTGACCGACTCCAAGCGCGTGAAGACCAGTGGGTTGCATAGCGTGCTTATCCAACGTCGTCTGCAGGTTATCGAAGAGATCGTGGCACAATTGGGTCTGGAAGTGGAAGTCATCTGGGTTCCGACAGCTGACAACAAGGCCGACCGGCTAACTCGCGTTCCTCAGAAGTGGACGCACTATGCTAAGACCCTGCTGAAGGATGATGTAGCTGCCATGGCCCTGACGGTGATTGGACCTGTGACTTTGGAGCAAGTCAGTGTTGCGCAACAGCAGTGCGCTGATGTCCGTCAAGCCATTGCCCAAGTGGAGAAGGGAGAGCCTGTGACGGTGGAGTGTTACAAGAAGATCGGCGGACAGCTACTGGTTGACAAAGGCATGTTGTACCGGAGTGTGAAGCTGCCTGTGGAAGGTGGCGTTGCTGTGCCAGTGATACCAGAGTCGCTACAAGGTCAGCTTGTCAGTGCTGTGCACGCCAACTCTGGTCATGCCAACTGGCAGACTATGCATGACATGCTGAGAGCTGAGTGCTATTTCCCGTCGATGTCGACAGCTTGCCAAGATTATGTGCGCCGATGCCAGGCCTGTGTCCGAGCAAGCACGAAGCGAGGTCCTGTTGGAGAGCCTGTTCGCCCGGACATCCCAGGAAAGCCTTGGAGTGAGATAGTCATTGACACCTTGGAGCTCGGTATCGATCGCTCAGGGCGGTATCACTGTGTGCTAGTCATTGTCGACGCTTTTACGAAGTGGGCAGATGCTATACCGCTACCTCGTCATGATGCCAAGTCAGTCGCTGAAGCTGTGACCAAGGTTTGCCTGCAGTTTGGCGCGCCTGAAGTCGTGAGGATGGATAACGGAACGGAGTTTGCGAATGCTGTTGTGAGTTCGCTGTTTCGCGTCTTTGGAACTAAGGTGCGCACTGGAGCAGCTTACCACCCGCAGTCACAGGGATCAGCAGAGCGGATGAACCGTACGCTCTTGACGATGATACGGAAGGTGCTTGACCGGTCATCTGATTGGAAGGACGACCTAGAAGTGCTGCTGTTTTACTACCGTACGCGGCCACACTCTGCCACCGGTATTAGCCCTATGGAAGCCATGTTTGGCTGGTTGCCACGTCATCTCATTGTGGAGAAGGATGCTGCGGCTGAGTCTCTAAGTGCGTGGGTGACCAAGCTTGCGAACAGGGCTAGCCAGATACGCGACTTGGTGGAAGAGGAGCTGTCACGGCCTGACGCATGCAGCCCCGAGGCCGAGAACCCGTACAGCCGTGGAGACCGTGTGATGATGCTACGCCCACAGCGCCAGCAGAAGAGGCTCCCGCCATACGAGGATGGATGGGTCGTCACTGAGACTGTGACCCCTGTCACCGTGAGAATTCAGAGAGATGCAGGAGGCTTGCTGCAAATGAAGACGGTCAACGTGTCACTTATCAAGCCTGATGTCTCGGACCCGACAGATGGTGTGAATGCCGATGATACAACGGAAGACCAGCCAGTAGAGCCTGAGGAAGTAATGCGTCTTCGACCCCGTGATGGCCTGAACGCCCCGGCTAGGTTCCGCCAGTAATGCCAACTGGTGGGAACGTGTAATCGAACTATGACTTTCTCTTGTATGACTCTGTCTTGTGTAGTTGGCATTACTTCTTACCTCTTGTTGCCTGTCATGTGATTCATGTGCGTGATTCATCCTGTGGTTGCGGCTTTCTTGTACGCATGCATGTATGCTGTCATAGTAGTGTCATGTTTCATCTTTTGTGCAGCTGTTTGCGCTTGCTGTGGTACGCATGCATGCTCCAGTTCCTTTCTGATACACGCTGCTCTTGGCTCTTTTTACAGTAGTTCTGGTGTGTTCCGATGGCGATGGTTTTGTGAACAAAGTTCTCTCTCTTGTTGTACTGTCGTATGTATTAGCACAAACAATAACAGTTTCCTCTGAGACAAAAATGCGATAATACTCATAAAAAGGACACACTTCAGGCTCATTACAAACATCTTGAAAGTTTTTGTCTTCACAAGTATACTTTCAAGCCTTCTCGTCAGGTGAAATACAGGCAAGGGAAAAGGAACAGGAACAGTGGATTAAATACAGTAAGAAGGTGGTAAAACAGCGCAAAAAAAAGAAAGAAGATAGCTAAAGTAAACAGCGAAAATTGCAATAATGACACAAAGGCTTATTGAGTTTTCTCGCATTTGCACCTTTGTGTCATTATTGCAATTTTCGCTGTTTACTTTAGCTATCTTTTTTTCTTTTTTTGCGCTGTTTTACCACCTTCTTACTGTATTTAATCCACTGTTCCTGTTCCTTTTCCCTTGCCTGTATTTCACCTGACGAGAAGGCTTGAAAGTATACTTGTGAAGACAAAAACTTTCAAGATGTTTGTAATGAGCCTGAAGTGTGTCCTTTTTATGAGTATTATTACAAACAATAACCTTCCAGTTAGTATAATTACTTGTCCAGACCTGTGTGGTGTTTTGGCCGTGGTATGCCTGAGACCGGTTGTGGGGGTAATTTTCTAACAGGATGATGAGCATGATCTCACCTCAGGTGTGGAGTGCCGTCTACATCGGCTTCGTGAAGGTTGCAACTAAAGGAAAAACCAACAACACGTGAACACGTAATGAATTAGAAGCTGTCAGTTATCATCTGTAAATTTGCACGAAAAGAGGAAAATATTTCGTGCTGGCAGACAACCAACCACCTAGTGTCCTATCAAGAAATCTTTCAAACACAATCGTCTACAAACAGTACGAAACTGATAATTGCATACTACATCCAAGAGTGCATACCGCATTTCCGCAAATAGTAGGCCAGTCTACTATTTTTTCAAACTCGTCCTAACCCGGCCTTATAATTGAGGACGGTCTTGTATTCGAGGACGGTCTTTTATTCTTTCAACCCAGTTTGACCCCCGGTCTTCTATTTTTCGCCACACAGTTTTACACCCCGTTCTTCCATTTTCTTCTACACAGTTTGAGCACGGTCTTGTATTTTTTTTTCTCATACTCATTTAGTAGGCCCGGTCTTCTAATCGGAGACGGTCTTGTATTTTTTCAATCGCCCCTGCCCCGGCCTTGTATTCGAGGAAGGCGTTGTATACGAGGATGGTCTTTTATTTGCGGAAATACGGTAAACCAGTGTTGTAAAATGATGTGTTGTTTTCCTGTGTGATGGCATTCCCCAAACTGTCTCGTCTAGTCGCGTGCATGTGTGATATGAGCATGCGCGATTTTGTAGTCGAGAGTCCTTTTGACAGTCTTCTTGTTCGTCCCTTTGAGTGTTGTCTCCATTTCCGTCTTGTCAATATAAATAATGTAACAAACCAGTCTTGTCCTTTGTGTCCTGCATCCTGGGGAACGGAATGGCTGAGATTCCGTTACACCAGAGTGGTCCAAGTACGAAATAAACGAAGTCCGTTTCGGGGACGACAAAACCTTTGCGACGACCCCTAATAGAAGGTGTAGACACGAATGAATAAAATTCTTACATCCATGAACTGTTACGTCAAAATTTCAAAAAACTCACATAAAACTTGGACGTGTTTTATGGGAGTTGACTGTACTACTGCATGTAGTTACGTGACGTGGGTTTTTGGAAGTTTCGTTTGGTCATCCCAATCGAATTTGTGTGAGTATCCGTTTTATCGAGTTTGTTGGAAGATTTACTATTTATTTGTGTGTCGAGAAAATTCTGCTGTTCGAACTTAACCCGAGTCTTGCCACGGCAATATTTCACGTCACGTCGCACGTGTAATTTAAGTATAAGACAGAGGGCGGCAAAACTCACCGGACTTGAGATGATCTGAGTACGAATGACAACTCCACCTACTACTTTGGTTTGATAACAGCTCGGCGCTCCTGGGCCAGGTGCTTCATCTACTGACTAGAATATGCAGAGAAACACACACGCACAAGCTTTTGTACAAAGATCGCTACTGTGTGCCTCATATATAACCGCAGTCATGTACACGTGCAGCAGTAAACTAAATGTACCAATCGGTCATGCACGTCCTACAAGAATGGATGCTGAGCCGCTGAGAAAGCCACCCTGCGTGTCAACACCTATTCACATCAGCCCGTTCGAATCTCTATTTCCTTCATATTGCAGTCAGGGTTTCCAGCTGCACGCACATCAAGGCTCAAGGAGATGGAAATAGTGAAACACGAAAGAGGAAACCTACCCCTCTGGCTGCAAATCCAAATAATGGATGGGTGGTGATATTGTCCATCCAATCTTCCATGTCCATGTGACTTGCTGCCACCAAGAAAATGGTGGGAATCCCATGGCTCATTTTCAGCTCTGTCCACGAAAAATTAACAAGAGATGAAAGACAATGAATAACAAGAGATGAGAGACAATGAGACATAGCCAGGCAGTCTCTTCCTACACTAACACAGCATGCAGACCATGATGCCAACCTCAAGGCACGGGCGCACCAATTCTTGCAGTTGTTCCCAGGCGTCTTTATTTCTTGCTCTACCCTAAGTCAAAACTCATGGCCTATTTTCAGTTGGCTTCCTTGGCTCAGATTGCTGGAATGTGCTCCCTGCTGACGCCTGTATAATTACATTCTTCGTTGCACTTATTTCGTAAACAGTACTGGCTTTTCTAGGGCACCCTGTGAAAAGGCCGAAAGGTCTGAAGAGAAATTGACTGTCACCACCAGGACTCGAACCAGGGACCCTTCACGTCAGCGATGCTCTAACCACTGAGCTATGGCGTACAATATTTTTCTGCAATATTGGCCAACAGTGTGAAGAAGAGGTTAGTTCGGCGATACTTGGGGAATTGTGTGTTGCTCCGTGGGAGCTCGCGCTTTTCCTGCCGACTTGAATTCTCACTTGACCGACTCACGACTGCAATACTGGCCAAGGCGGTTACTAGTTTGCGAGCCCTAAAATCTCATGCCATTTGGAAAAATCCACGCAAAAGCCCTGAAATGGCGTGGCGCTTATTTCAGAGAGGCGGTATTAAAATACCGGCCCCACTTCCAGAAAATATGGTAGCCTTGTTAGACTCTGCATTGCTACCGACATGCAAGCAAAGGTGCAGACAGCAGTGTAAGGGACACATCACTTACCGAAACACCATTCTTTGCCATTCCAAACACTAGTGGGCTGCACCTAATCAGTCAAAACCAACCACATCAGTGAACATGCACAGTCCGAAATTGAAACATTCGACATTTTATAAACCCAACAACAGCCAGGAGGGATGAATGGCAACTGGCCTGTACATCAGCTGTACGATCATGGTGTTCAGCTCAGTACAGGTTGAAGACTCCACTTCAGCTGTACTTATGGTTGATTCATATGGTAGAAAATACACACCTGGCAATATGGCGGTAAATATACACCTGCCCACACACACTCTCTAAACTGCACGCTTCAACTTCATTCTCCCGAGTCAAGCTCGGTGTGAAGACATCCAAGAAAAGATTGGCTGATGAGTCCAGCCATGACGAAACGTACGTCGCAATCAAGCTATGTCGTTGCTGTGTCATTTGCTATGAGCCATGCACTACCTGATGTACCAGTCTGCTATGCCGGATACCACTAACTATGCATCGACTAGGCGCCATGCGTGAACTGATGGTGGTGGTGGTGAGAAGGAGAGCTCTGTGTCTGAGTAACTTTGCAGCTTAGAGAGCGTGTGTGGGCAGGCGTGTATCTACCGCCATGATTCGACTACTACAGACAATTATCACTGAATAATTCAATATCTGCAACAACTTTGAGTCGCGTTGCTGGTGTGAGTGAGGACGGCCGGAGAGGGCATTTGGTAGAGTTAGAACTAATTCAATGTCTTAGGTTAGGTGTGTCTACCTGAGAGTCTTCAAACCGGGTTGAAGCTTCAGCCCGCAATGCACACAGGTTGACTGGAGTGTTTGCATGATGCTTTTGCACTTGACCCAATTGACCTTCAGGGGGATCAAGAAAAAGCGAACTTTGATACGTACTTAACACCAGGATTGCACAGCACCGCACACGCAGATTTCACGGCAAAGTAGTGGGGCAACCATATGCAACTCCATTAAAATGGACTTCCGTCGGCATATTAGTAAATCCTCCCGGACAACCTTCTCCATGTTGACCTCCTTTTCAAACCGCACAGACTTAGTCCCAATGCAGGTTGAGAATTCTCATGAAAACACAACGTTAGTGGGCTTGCACCCATGAACCACATACTGCTACAAGTCACAATCCTACCCCAGTCACAGGACAGCAGGGAAAAATAGAGTTTGGTTTTCAGATGGCCAGCACAAGTTATCCGGGAGAGCAGTTATTAGAAGAGAGAGAAAGAGAGACAGAGAGAGAGACAGAGAGAGACAGAGGAGAGAGAGAGAGAGAGAGAGAGAGAGAGAGAGAGAGAGAGAGAGAGAGAGAGAGAGAGAGAGAGTAACCAGCACCTAAATAAACAAAAGGGAAGGCTTGAAGTTGGTTGTTCCAACGAGGAACACACGCTTCTTGCCGAACTTGACACTTGACTGACTCACGACTGCCATCTGTAACAGCGTACGTTCCTCGTTGGAACAACCAACTTCACGACTAATGCCGCCGAAGTCGCAACTTCTAAGTTCAAAAAGGAAGACTGTTTATGAAATTACAGCTGAGTAAAAATATGGAGGACAAGTAACAGACCTACCGAAATGATCTTCTTTATTCGTATTTCACCACGACAAACGCTTCCCTCTGGATCATCATCCTATGATAGCAAAAGGGAAACATCAAGTCATTCAGCAGAAGCAGCAGCAAAACCACCAATAGGGAGGTTTCGCTCTACGTAATTACGTATGAAAATCCGTATATCGTACGCGCCGGGGAGCGAGGGCAACTTTCATACGTAAATCTCTCTACGGATTTCCGTAGGAAAGCTCTTTCCTACGCTGGGTCCTCCGTAGGACTTTTTGAAATATTTTTTCGCATTTTCCGCATTTGTCCATGGCAACATTCAAGCCGCGCGAAACACATGGTACACACACCGTACACCACGTGCATAATATCATGGAAACCGCGGTTTCGGTTCATGGTGCATACGGTGGGCGCATGCAGCCAACGCGTCTCCAAAGCAACAAGGCATGTTTAGCAGTCGTGGAGAAATCACGTAGAGCGAAACCCAACAGCTCTGATTTTTACGTATGAAAATTCCGTGCAGTTCATACGTTATTTTCATACGTAATTCCGTAGAGCGAAACCTCCCTAATGAAAGTTGAATACACCAGTCCTGAATGGATGTCAGCCTTTCACCCAGACAAACGTTATCCCCACTACTGAAATAATACGAGTACACCCACACACCTAGCTGACTTGATGTGGCAATGATGCTCTACACCAGAACACAGGACAGTTACAATGCTCACAACACCACCACACTTTAGGACTAAGCGCGGTCTCCAATATAAGCACGGGGTAGAGGGGTGTTGAAAAAATATAAGCACGGCGCTTATAATAGAGAATATACGGTATAAGGTAACAGCTCAAGTACATGTTCTCTGTGCAGTAGTGTGACCTTTAGAGAAGTTCCTTGTCACCCCCCCCCCCCCCCCCCGGACTAAGTGTAAATCATGTAGTCTCTTAGCAGTTTATTCCCATAATACACGGCACAGTTATTGCCACATTCTTCAGTTTCTATCCTTGTCTCAGGATGCACAAACTCCACTGCAGCCACTTCATTATTTACATCATTCGCCCAAACCTCGCTAAAAAGTCTCTTGTTTGCACTTGACAAAATCAATCAACCAATTTCGGCCCGGGGCCGTCATTTACAGACTATTAATTTTTTACTTTTTTTTTAAGATTTGGTGAACAACAGATACTATCTTAGAACGTTATACACTCAGATGTACCTGTATGCTGCATAGGTACAACACTGAACAGAAGATGTACACGCAATAGGGAACTCGAGAGTGGTGACACCGCATGGTCGATGAGAATTAGATTCAAGTGACATGCATGTATGTGCGTGGGTGTTTGTGCATGGTATGTATGAATATACACGTGCATACACGTACACATGTGTCTGTGTGTGTTTGTGTGGGTGGTACTAGTACATGTACATGATACGCGCATGCTATTCCGTTCACCCTGACGTCGATTTTTGGGTGTATGTGTGATTTGCGAGACTAACAGTATGTGGTGGTGGTGGTGGGGGGGGGACTGACGTCACGCCCCATCTTATCATATACACTAATCTTTTTTGTTCGTTTGTGTACAAGGGAGCCGTGGCATCTAGGGAGACAACACGAGATCATTATACATGTACCCGAAACGATGTGTGTTTTGCCCTCGGACTAGGAGGTTCTGCAATCTGTGGTCTCTCCAGCTCGAGAAACCCACATCGTTTCACATTATAAGTACAGTCACCTGTTCCGTCTTCCTAGATGCTACGCCACCTTTTAAATGCACAACAATCATGTACTATCACCGGTACATGTACTACTGTTATTCACTGCGGAGACGGTCACGGAGTATACCTGGTGTATTGTACCTGGAGGACTAGTGTCACCAACACAGCATTGTGACTACATGTACACGTTACGTGATGTACTATTATACTGTGCACCTGGATTTCTCAATGATTATGACTAGCAATGCAACTGCACCTGCTGCAGTGCATGTACGTGGCTGCAGTGCATGCACGTGCATTGTTCTTGTCTTGGGGCTTGCACCAACATTACAACTACTGATTTACTCAATACAAGTTCAATAAATACAGAAAAAGTAACAAAAATGAACATGTTCAACTGACCGTTGGCTTTTTCTTGTAATACTTGAGTGATGTTTCGTCCAGCACGAAGAATCGCTTATTCCAGTTGTCGCCCTTGGACTCTTTTGCCAGGAAGCCACTACATAGCCACGTCTCCTCCGGTGTCATCTCAGAACTACGATCATTTCACAGTCATCAAAACTACTAGTATTCCGTGTACTATTACTATGGGCAGTTTTCCGCAACGCAAAATGTGGAGAAAAGTATACAAGTAATAGTGGCCACACGTAGCCGAACGAGAGCTACTTTCCACCAAACGACCTCTTGCACTGAAAAATTGCACTCCACGTACTGACGGGAAAGTTATTGATAATTATTCTCACTTGCGATCGACCACAAAGCTACAGCAATAAAAAAAGTACAAGTGACCACCAGTCCTGATTCCACACCACACTCTTCTCAAACCGAAACTGCAAAGCCAATCAACCATGTCAACGGACAACAATGTCATTGGTTCATGACGCCATGGCGCCACAAAACGCGCCAGTGTTTTCAGAGTTCATTTTGTTTTGTGTTTTTCTTTCTTCTTTCTCGCGAAATCCCCATATATGTACACGTTTTTTGCGTGTGTCTTGCATGCCGCGTACCGTACGAGCTCAGCTAGACGCGAACACAAAAATGCATGGTGTACAGTCGACCATGTAATTGTTATGTACGCGTGACGCTACTCGTAGATCTACTGCATGCATGCATGCACTTCATGTTCAGCATGTTCACTGACTGTACTCTAGCTCTGTAGTGTAGGCTAGCTGAAGTGAACAGCTTCGTTCAGAGTTCAGCCTTTCACAGTTTCAGTAGATCTACGACTACGCGTATACCGTACGGTAGATCTACCACTCGGGCAACCAAATAACACACACCTTTTGAAAAATAGCAACTAAAAATTTACTTTGTAGCTGTATGAAATCGAATTTTAGGTGCAGGTTCGAAAGTCTATCTCCTTTATGAAGGCCATTGACTTTTACGATCATGGTCGAATACCCGCTTTGACTAATCACTGGCTGGCTCAGTTACTGCAATGAATGTCTGACAGTCTCTCAATTTAGGAACAGTCTAGTTTAGTTTGTGACAATTTTAATAATTGCTAAATGTAGTCATCCATCAGAAGTACGCTATCATTGTTCCTGGATTTAGCTCAGTGATTGTCCTGTGCAGTCATGAAGTGCGTAATAGCTTTCGGTGCTATGAGCGAGGTCTGGTTTCTGTGGTCAGATCCCGAGTTCTCGGAACACATGAGAAGCCGTGCAATTGAAAACGGATATCATCAAGTGAGCTACAAAGATTTCGCAGAATTGCAGTATCCAGTACATTAAATTGTGTTATACATAATATTCTAGATGTTAAAATCTCTCTGGGCAATTGCATTCTCCTTTCCGTTATGCTAAACACATGCAAACCTGCACAAGAGCTACAGACTTCTAGAGCACTGACAAACCGAGATTTCACTGTACAAAACTTCCGACTTTTGAAACAATTATTGCGGTGCAGCATGTGTGTGTCATTTGCGGAAGCCAAGCAGCTATCCTCTAGTACGGTGCTTTGTCAGCTCGAAACCCCAAGTCTTTCAGAATCATAAAGCTGACCCGGAGGTATACCGTATTTTCCGGAGTATAAACCACACCAAGCTTTTCGTCACGAAATACAGACATCTACCCTGTTCACCGCCATTCATTTGATCATGGTAGTATAAGCCGCACCGTTTTTTGGGGTGAATTACTGGTGTTTAAATTGCGGCTTATACTCCAGAAAATACAGAAACGCTTCTAGCGAATAGGACTATACAAGTAGAATTGTGAAACGAAAACAAACTAACCCACGGTGGTAGCGGAATTTCAGCAACCTTATCAGCAGCAAGCACCTCACAACAGCGGTGGTGGATGATGACATTTTTCGACTGTTGAGCAGCTAGCAACCTGAGAGAAAAAACATGGAACAAAAGCTGGGGAGAAAGCACATGCACAACCAGTCATGATAGGCCCCAAAACCTATATAATATGGGCGTTCACACGCACACACACACACACACCACACATGCGCGCGCACACACACACACACACACACGTGTATTTCACCTCAAAGTTAGTTAGTGAGCTGAAATGTGAACCTTCACATGTTCCTTATTAAAAAGCAGCTGGACATGAGTCACGTGCTCTTTTCAAGGGCAATCATCAATGTACTAACACCTTCTGCCTGTAGTATTTGTATGATCTGTTAGTGCCATGCTAAAGCAAACCATGTTTGCTAGGGGTTTTTTTAAAGAGAAAAGGACCTATAAGTTTCCAGTTATGACTAACAGTCCACCAAGGTAACGGGATAATATACAGTCAGATAGTGCGACAACAAGGCACAAAACTGACAAGGATATTGAGGCATTCGAAAACCTGACACCTAGTGCCAACACATCTATGAAGCGCAAACCAACAACCTCAATATCCTTGTCAGTTTTGTGCCTTGTTGTCATACTATCTGACTGTATATTATCTCGTTACCTTGGTGGACTGTTAGTCATAACTAGTAACTTATAGGTCCTTTTCTCTTTAAATAATCAATATTGGCTCAACATCCGAGTTTTTATTAAGGGGGAAGTATATCCTAATATCAAATTTTCACCAGTTGTAGTCTTCGGGGTGCTGAGTCGAATGGTCTTGGTCCGAGAAAGCTGAGACACTTCCTTCCTCCTTTACTCCCAATCGAACTCGCCGCTTCCACCGAAACTGGGTGACTGCACCCTACTAGATGAGGATTTGTACCGGTATGCAAAATGCATACACGCCTACACTGACCTCTTCATGAATATAGGACTTGCGCGTGCTATTTGTCTTGATGTTTGTGAATCATCACTTTCTGATGCGAAGTCGACACTCCTTCCCCTTACTGCTGCTTATATCACCTTTTGAGACACGGTATATTGTTAGTTATTGTGCTGGTTGGTTTCTTTTCTGTCTGCATCCATCTGAAGAGAAGGTGGTGACTTGTAGAAATTCCGGAAATATTTCTTGTGAGGAGCCTGAAGTTCTGTTCTTCAGTCTGGTTGCATATTTGGCTCCTATATGTAGGAAACCTGTATTATATTTGCTCATCTGCATACAGAATTTCATGGTACATGTAACCATCTTTTGTTGAATTGTTGTTCTTATTTGCTGTATCATGACCTGTGTGTTCTTATCTCTATAGGCGAGTGAAGGGTGGTCATGGAAAGCTGAACTTGATGCTACCACACAGTTTTTCATTCCCATATGCCAGTCTCAGGTTAGCCACCTTTTCATTTCTTCTTTCGAAGTAAACGACCTGTTGGTTGAATATCGGGGCACTGACTGAAAAAGTGAACTGGGGGTTCTTGAAGTGGCTTCTGACTACTTACGTACCTATTCATTTAGCTATTTCATTTGGATTTTGGAAGTGCAGGTGTAAGCCAGTGCGTTTAGACTATTGTGTTTGAGCTCTTGTGTCTGTGAAGTGCAAACCCATCTGATTATTACCCGGTACTTCTCTTTTGAGTAAGTGTAGAAAGCAGTGCCATTCGAGGTGTGGCTGTTAGTCCACAACATACCAAGTACTTGGATATAAAGAAACTGCAAGAATCGTCCAAACTCATCTTGGACTTCTCTAAGAAAATTTTGTAATTGATCTTGTATCCTATCCCACTCCGTAGACCGTCCTTGTTGATGTTGGCAACAGCTACTCATCGATGACTTGCAAAAATGGATTCAAGCTAGTCTTTCACCAGGTGAGTCGGCAGTGTGTTGACACATCGCTGGTTGTACAGGCATTTCATCAGTTGGCAGCCAGTCGGGTGGACCTTCTATTTTAACACCACGCTCTTTGCACTTGCCAGGATTTATTTTGAGTTTTCCTCATGCATTGCTCCATCCACTATTATTTTATGCACCTGTTCTGTGTATTCTGCTCCTTCAGACAGCAGCTGTTCTGTGTATGTCCTTGTTTTCCTCCTCTTTTCTCTCCTTACCGTTCCAGTTCTCGGAGATGAAGTGTATGGCTGTGAATGGTGATGGGCAGGAATCTGTTGATTTTCTTGTCAGAAAGCTACATGTCTTCCAACGCCTTGTCGGATTGCATTTTGGGCCAGCAGTTGAAGAGTAAGTATGATGCTGCTAGTGTCATTGAGATATCACTTTGTCACCATGTCTTTGTTTCTACTCCTTATATCTTCTATGCTGTTTTTCAGGTTTTGGCCCGTTTCTGAGTCGTCCAAATTTGGATATTAGCACCAGTTGTGGACATTGACCATTGTCACAGTTGGCACGTGACCCTTGTCTTTGTAGGGGCCCTGCTACTTTGTATATGGTGCGCTCAGGGCGCCCGTGTTGTCAGTGTGCGAGGAGTGAATTCTCCGAAGCACAATGTCTTTGAGTAGGGGGGGGGGGGGGGGGGGGGGTGCTGCTGGCTTGTTGACAAAAGTCACCCGTTTCCTCGTGCGTACTGGTTAGTCATGTGTCAAACCTGCAATATGTCCTAGTTCAAGAGTCAGGGAAGCCAAGGGTTTGGCTCCATCTGAGATGGTGCAACTTGCTATCTATGCAAGAGAATGGACATTGCAGTTCATTGTACTGTGTATGTGTGCGCGGGCGTGTGTGTGCATGCATGTCTGAATGTGTATGTGGCCTGATTGTGTTCACTGGTATTTCCATGCTCTTGATCTGTAGGTTGAAAAACTGTGATCGTTCCAAGCAGCGTGCCCTTTGGGAGACTCTTGGGCATGAGTTGAATACTTGGGCACATCTCTATGCAACTGAGCAAGCATTTCTTGTGGAGGTGAGACAACTGGGAGAATACATTGGATAACAGTAAGGGTACTCCGTAGAGCATCGCTGGCCCTAAGTGAGGGTCCCTGGTTTGAGTCCTGGTGGTGACAGTCAAATTTTCTTCAGACTTTTTCCCATTTACAATACCCTCAAGCTAATGAGTACTCCGTATCCAAAGTTGAACTCTGATGTTGAGTCAATTAAATTATGGTGAAAAAGGAGAAGGACAAAATGTTACGAGTTATGACTAACTGCCCACCAACGTAACGAGATCTTATACAGTCAGCGAGTGCGACAAAATGGCACAAAACTGACAAGGAGTACTGAGACATTCGGCCTCCGTATCCGTTTCATTTTTAGTGCTAGTATGAGCACTAATTTTTGTGCGGAGTGGGTTGGACGTGCACCCGGCGACGATTTGATCACAGATAGCTAACTTCTGAGCATTGTCGGCGAAGCTGCAAATTGGAGTAGCTGGTAGCAATCGAGAATGCAATGTGTTGAATATTCCACCATAGTGTTACTTACCCATGAGCCTGCTTTACAATTTCTGCTGGAGAGTGCTAGTCAGTGACTCCTAATGTGTATTTCTCTCTGTCCCCTCCTCCCCCCCCCCCCCACACACACACACACACACACTTCTGTCACTTGATGGCCTTGATTCTCAACTCATTGTCACAATTTGTGTGTTTATAGTGTATTGAACGCGTTCAAGTTCGCCAGGAGCTCAATGAGATGTGTATTGGACTACTAGAAGCTGCCTTGGACCGTGCTCACAGGTTGGGACTTACAATAAGGCTAGCCCACTGTGGATATATTTTGCTGTAGCCCTGCCCTTCCTATACCTTTGCCTTGAAGGCTTTAGCTTCAAGGGCATGTGGAGAATTTCCGTCATCCGCATAACAGATGTGTTGTGCCTATTAGTGGTTGTGCCTATTAGTGGTTGTGCCTATTAGTGGTTGTGCCTATTAGTGGTTGTGCCTATTAGTGGTTGTGCCTATTAGTGGTTGTGCCTATTAGTGGTTGTGCCTATTAGTGGTTGTGCCTATTAGTGGTTGTGCCTATTAGTGGTTGTGCCTATTAGCAAGAGTCCATAACCCCCCGGGGGGTTATGGACTCTTGCTATTAGTGGCTGTGCCTATTAGTGGTTGTGCCTATTAATGGTTGTGCTCGTTGCCTGTATTCATGTTCTGACTGGCATTATTTGTGCAGTTCCCTACTGACAACGGCATAGTCTTTGTCTGGCTCTTTGATCTAAATCAGAATGGTGTGTGTGTGTGTGTGTGTGTGTGTGTGTGTGTGTGTGTGTGTGTGTGTGCGTGTGTGTGTGTGCGCGTTTGTGTGTGTGTGTGTGTTCATTGTGGTTGTATCTTATGCTTTCATGATGATTGATATACTGCTGCACAAGAATACTTCTATGCATTATGTTTGAGTTGGTTTCTTTTACACTCTGTAATTGTATTTGTTTATTGCTGTTGTGATTGTGTTTTCTTCTTGTGTGTGCGTGCGTGTGTGTACATGTCTTCGCTGTACAGTGACTTTGACCGGAATGTTGTTCATGGCTGGTTACTGGTTGACACAAAGTTACTGGCATTGTTTTCTAGGTATTAAAGGAGCACACTCATGAAGTCCCATATAAGAACATACACTACTGTCGGGCGCCGAAGAACGAACAGGCTAGGATTTCACCAAGCACAGCGTACATATACACAGTGACTTGACCACTCATGGATTGTAGTATTTCAGAAGTACATGAAAATAAGAACGGTCTAGACTACAAAGCTGCCCCCCCCCCCCCCCCCAAGTTCTTCGGTACCCGACAGTACTCTAACTGTAAGAACTAGGCTTCTATGTAAAGCATGTATTTCCACCACATATTTCCATGTATATCAACAGTAAAACCAGGCGTATGTGCATGCATTCAATGCAGGCTTTTTATATTGTCTCTTGGTTTTTTCGTCTCCTGCGTAACATAGGAGAGCATTTCGACCATTCTGCATTGCCGCTTGTCTGTGCTTCTGCTCAGTGGCGTTCTGCTCAGTGGCGTTATGCTCAGTTGTTGCTGATGGTGGTGTTGGCAGCTTTCTCTTTCATTGTCTATGACCTTAGCATTGTCGTGTTGGTGACGGCTGTCTTGAATTCTTTGGTTGTGACCGCATTTTGCTCGTATGTGTTGTTGTTTCAGTCGCAATGCCCCGGAACTTCACTCACCGGATCTCCTGCTTATCACAGCATTGGTGAAAAGTCGCTTTCTGTACAACAGCAGTGAGATTGACACAGCACCCAACACAGCCGATGTGTCTCAGACTGTATCACCACGCCCCTCATCCACCTCATCAGGTACTGTATTACTCCAAGTAAAGGAAATACTGATGTGTATTGGAGAAAAAGGATACCATGTATATGTAGTTGGGTACGAGTTATGTGCCATGAATTTAGGGGTGAAACGAAGGTCTCGATTTGCCAAACGAACCGTCTTCATCAAAATGGACGAAGGTATCTAGTGATTCTTTTATCTACATTCAACTACTTTTTGCGAAGAAGATGCTGACCTATGAAAAGTATGCATGACTTGCATGCCATGCAGATCATGAAAACATGGACCACTAACTATTGACAGCGTCTGGGATACTGCTGACCAGACTAGACCGAGGCAGCGCTCTCGGGCGGCTCCAAAATAGTGACCCCACTGCCAGGTTCCACTTTGTGCCGCACAGGAGCAGCGATCTGTGTTCCTACTTAGTGGATGAGACTTCCAGTGTGGCGATAGCTTGAGCAGTCGTTGAAGCGTATAAAACGTGCTGTTGCATCTTATTGGACAGTCCTGAGCCACCTTCAGACTGGCTCCATGTTAGTTTTCACCAAGCGCTCAGTTGCTAGGGCGCTACGGTGGAACTGGCCAGCAAGACGATGTCCAGACGACAGCAGGCTGGTAGAGCTTGGCAGTTACAAGTACTATATGTAGTATGCAGCTTGTGTGCTGCACATGCCACATTGCCCCAGTTGTGCTCCTGCTGCAGGATAGAGCCATACTGACCAACCACCACAATCTCAATCCCTTGACAAGACATGCAGAATCCCTGGATTTCTCTCAAAATTCCTGGATGGCACAAAAACAAGTGAAAAAGAGCTTTTCCCGCCAAAAAAACGTTCGACTCTGCAGCTGTGCGTACAGCACAGATCGACCCTGTACTAGGCTGTAGTGCAGTTTGATCAGTCGGCGCCCGCCTGTCACTTTGTCAGTGCAGATCTTGCATGGTCAGGTCTTCAAAGTGCTGTGCACAGTTCGAAGTGCGAATGACCACCGTACGTACCTTTGAAAAAAGTTCAAAAAACCGGGACATTCGGGGAGAAACCATGGAGTTTTCAGGAAAATCCTGTATCAGACAAAACTTTGGTTTTTCCGGGAGTTTGCTTGAAATCCCCGGGACCCCGGGAGGAGTGTTGATTTTCCGGGATTTTCCCGGGAAAAACGGGAGGGTTGGCCAGTATGTAGAGCCAGTCGCCATCATATTGGCAGCCTCATCGTGAACAGTAGCCACCTTTTTCTCGGTCGGCCGTGACTGGCGCTCATCAGCAGAAACAGCATGATCAACAAGGTCTTTCGGTGTGGCTGCCCTTGAACTCACTAGTTTCCAAGACGCCCAAGACAAGGTTCCAGTTTTGGTCGATAAAGTGGACGGTGTGGGTGGCGTATGACTGCACCGCCTTGCTTGTCCAGCCGTCAGTCGTCACTGTCACAGAATCCACTTTCTCCAGTAGTTGCTGGTGTTCCTTCCTGCACTGGCCGTACCGCGTTTTCAACAAGTTTGCAATATGGGTGCGCGATGGCATGACAGCATCTGGTTCCACATACTACATGATACACCTTGCTAGAACACGCCTTCGGTGCACAAACCAACAGCGCTGTAAATGTGTTCTAGCTAAGTGCCAGGCCGTTGACTATCTCAGAACTCCTTGTCAGTTTGTAACCAATTGTTGCACTGTATGATTGTCCTTTATCTGGTTCAATTGGTGGCTTCTTGGCGAGTTCTTGCACATCAGTCGTAAATGTCTTGATGTTAGTTTTCTATTATAGTGGCATCCAGACCAACCTAGTGTAGCTACATATATCGATATAGCTCTCAAAGGACTGTGTGTACTTGTAGGTGCAAGTTGTAACTTCCAGGTGTGTCTAGTTGCATTTTATGGTTACTATCCTGTGTGTTTGGTGTACTATATGCAGAGCATTCTGATCACCATCTCACACCATCGCCATCGCCAGGTATGTGTAGTAGGTTAAACTGTAGAACTCCCTTCCCTGAATTCTAACAAATCTCTAGTTACTGTAGAACCACTGTATTTGTTTTTCTATGTGCCTCTCTGTGTGCCGGTGTCTCTCCTTCTGCTCTCTCTCTCTCTCTCTCTCTCTCTCTCTCTCTCTCTCTCTCTCTCTCTCTCTCTCTCTCTCTCTCTCTCTCCCGTGCAAAAATCCCACACTGTGCGGGTAGCTGGTGATTTCAGGGGTTGATGTTGGATGGTGACACGTCTCCACCCACTCCTCTTGCAATAAGACATTCCTACATTCTGATTTCTGATTCCCTCCCTTCTCTTTTAAAAGTTACGAAGATTATTTTAGCAAGAGCAAATGATTATGGCTGAAGTACAACGCTGGATATACTTGACTGTGTGGTCTTAGAAATTTTGCCCGACATTCATTAATTTGAGTGTCAAGTATGGCTGGACTTCCGTGCTTACTAGTACTGCATTACAGTCGATGCAATGTAACTTGTTTGCTCTCTCTCTCTCTCTCTCTCTCTCTCTCTCTCTCTCTCTCTCCTGTGTGTTCCCTTCACTTTCTTTCCCAGATCCAGACTATACACACGAGGTTAGTATGAGGTGCTGCTTTCAATCCATAACAATTATTATTGAATACTGTGTAATACTCATAAAAAGGACACACTTCAGGCTCTTTACGAACATCTTGAAAGTTTTAGCTATATTCTTCTTTGCGCTGTTTTACCAACTCCTTACTGTACTTAATCCACTGTTCCTGTTCCTTTTTCCTTGCCTGTATTTCACCTGATGAGAAGGCTTGAAAGTATACTTGTGAACCCAAAAACTTTCAAGATGTTCGTAAAGAGCCTGAAGTGTGTCATTTTTATGAGTATTATCGCATTTTTGTCTCAGAGGAAACTGAATACTGTGTAGGTGAAGATTATGGCAACGGTCTGGCTTTAGTTCACCTATATGGCAGGAGGGGTATTAACCAGCCCTGGCAGTAAGTAAAAAAGTTAATTATTTCAACTACGCACTGCCAGGCACTGTGGTACATGAAGGCACATGTACGTATGTAGGCAGGTATGTGCCAGGCACGTAGCTAGTTTCTCAACTTGTATAGCCAGTGGTAACGCGGATGTGTGAACTTCATTTACTTACTTCGAACTACATAAGAATGGTAGATTAGACACACTCACATATCAACTGCTTCTGTCAGTTTGTGCATGTATACTGTTTGCTGCCATGCCTCTGCCCTGCCTTGTTAGCTATCTCCGTCTCCGGACAATTTCTATTCGCCCATCTCATCACCAGTCGCAGTGCCACCTGAAAGTCCTGTTGTCACTGACAAAGAAGTAAGCAAACTGATTACCTTGTTCAGAACAATATGGGGTTTTCTTCGTTAACGAGGCTCAGCACAGTGCAGGTCTGGCCGTGCAGTTTAGATTCTAGCATTCTAGTATTGAGATACTGTATTCAGTTGTCAGATTCAGGAACAAGTGTTGTGTCTCAATGCTGTCCTGTTTGGTTTCTAGGGGCGAACACTTCAGGTATCAGGGTTATCAGTCCTGGAGATGTCCTAGATAGGACATCCCGTGGCCCAGCCTGCATCTACGCTGTTCCCATAGTAATTGTGACACGTGACTCAAAACGTCGTGTCGCGTCCGAGGAAGATGAACATGTTGCACTCAAAACAAATGCAACGAATGCCTTTCGTTTTGTAGTCGTCATTCTCCTGATGGCTTGCCTCAAGCAGTCGAGATTCGTGTCTTGCCTCTTACCTCCATCGGACCCAAAATTTTGTGATTTTTTCCGCCTTTTTGTGCTGCCATTTATGATGTGCTAATACATGATGTGTACTTATCATGCATATAAAAAGGTGGCGCATTCATTTTGAAAGGGGGCAGTCAATAGGTGATGGAGGGCGCAGTGCCCCGCTATGTCGCTTTGGCAAGAATCCTGGGTGTGTGCCTACTACTCTGAATGCATGAGTGTTCTCAGTGTTAGTACTGACTGGAAACCTTTCTCCCAACCTCATTGCAGAGTGACTTCTATTCACCTGCAAGCCACCCTGCCACACCATACAGTGCGTGCCATCGCTCCTCACGGACTAGCTCAGACGCTGAAACCAATCCCGAAGCATATGCTGCTGGTTTCCCTGGCCAGACTCCATCATTTGTAGGTGCAGAATTGCAAATGAAAATGTGTTCCAATGTGTTCGTTGATTGTAATACATGTATGTCTGTCAATTCAAAACTACCCCAGTTCCCTGAATGTGCCCCTCTTCACACACATGTGCAGTACATATGTATTGTATGATATCATGATACCGTGGAGTCTTGACGTCACGTATAAATAGATAAGTACGACGTATAGTGATAGTGGAGGGTGTTTGGTCCCTGGCCTATGATGTAGTGCTGTTGTGTTGACACCTGAGACCATGGTCACATGTACAATATTACCAGAATTCCTGATCTGCTCTTCATTCTTGCTTTGTACATGCTGCTCTGATTTGCTCTCCCTGGATACGTGTATGCACGACTGGTGTACGCAGTCATGATGATGATGATGAGAATGATGTGTGCATGTGTTCTCACTGTTGTTCTGTCCTTTCCCTTTGTACTTCTACAGCAGACTCCTCGCAGTCGACCGGGCAGTGGTATACTGCATTCCACTCCACAGAAAACACCCCCACCAGTTGTTGAAGAGGTACTGTCTAGTGAACTAGTGGCAGTAACTGCTGTAACCCTGACGTAGTGTACCGCTATTTACATTTGTGTGTGCTATGTACATGTGTTGCATTGCTGGTTGATTGCCTCTGATCTGTGCCAGCATTGCATGTGCATGTGTGTACTACAGTATCATAATATTCACAGTGTAGTCGTACTCCCATTCTGCTCTGTGAAACCTTTTCTTGGCAACTGCTCTCCCCCATGATCCACAGAATCTCATCTTTACTGGCAGGTGCTTGGTATTGGTGTGGGTAATGGGTGTTGGTGGTAAGGGATGTGGTGGAAGTGAATGGTGTGGTTGGTGAATGGTGTTGGTACATGTAATGAGCAAGTGATCTGTGTTGACGGGGGCCTTGTAGCTTTGGTTGCGAGAGAATACAGACAAAAAGGTCTGTTGCCACGCCAATTTATATTACAATAACGTTAAAACACCCTTCTTGAAGTAGTCCATCAACCTCCATAGTATTTTCGTACTTTTGTCTGACACATACGTTGTATATGGGATAGGTCGTCTACTGTATTGATGTTGGTACCTGTATCTGTCCGTGATCTATCTCGTTCACCTTCTGCCACACATCTGCCATGTCTAGCCACCGTCACCGTTTGATGATTTGGATGACATTACCGCTGAGGCACTCCTCATTCCGCCGGCCAGCCAGCCGAAAGTCGATGTCAAGCAGGTGCTTACAATTGCTCTTTCTATATGCTCATGCCATGAGACACACCGGTACCTCTTGCACTATAGACACCACAAGTGATGCATATTTCCTTGCTCTTGATCTCTTTGTGGAGGTAACTGTAGTACGACTCCATGGCTGGTGGATAGCCTTCTGCCATGTCACGAGCATTCTCACTGGCGTTTCCACCCATGCTCTACATAATCGTCTTCTAGAAAAGTGTTGTTAATTGTACTCCATCGTCTCACCGCTTTTCCTTTCTCGTGTACAGGTAGTGAACAGAGCACTTGTTTGTTGCCTTTTGCAACCAAAGGCTACTGATTTACACTCTTGTACTAGTATGGCATGGAGAAAGGATGCTGTCGCTTAGTGCCTGTCTTGCCGAATGGAATTTGATGAGAAATTCCCTTGTTTGTTGGATGTAACATAGCCTGCTGGATTATTAGAGGGCAACATACTGCACTAGATGAGCTGCCCGTTATTTTGGTGTGTGTGTTTGTTACTCTGTGTTTGTAGACGTTCAGTGACCTGGTGTTCTTGCGTACAGTGGCATGCCCGTACTCACCACACTCTCTGCACTGCACACGCATTCTTCCTGGCACTGTTCTTGTCATCGTCAGTACCGTAAGTGTGACTCGGATTTGGTCCACCGGCCCCTATAATAGGACGTACGGTATGCCATAAAGATAATGGTGGCCCTGATCCAACTGTGTTGCTGAGACTGAATTTGCACTCTTTCTCATTCACATTCCATGATTCTTGTTCCAGAGAATCTTCCCAACCTTACTGTATGGCCAAAGTGAACACAGTGCATGTGTCTGTAATGTGTGTAGAAGTAGCCATGGGCATCAGGGCAATATTGTTTTTCAGGTCCAAGAGAGTAGGCTGATATGCTTCCTAGTTGGTGCGTCATTGAGACCAGAAGATAAGAATTTTGATCCCGGTCTATACTGGCATGTGCACCAATCGTCATGGGCTTCATTCATTGATGGAAGCAAGAGTACATTACTTCCAAGAGTGTAGAACTGTGGTGTATGGGGTCTGCAGCGGCAGAATTTCACATCGCATGACAGCGCTGCCTGCATCCTGTACACGTACATGACAGCCTACTGGGATGTAGGCAACCCTACTTGGGGTACAACTCTCTGGTGGCCACTGTGTACTGATTGCCAACATAACCTATTGAACCATGTCATGTAATGTGAAACTCTGCCGTCACAGCACTGGATCGAGAAAGACATAGAGGTACTCGAAGTAGCTGCACACCCCTGGGGCTTACTGAAGTATGTCTCTATTCATGCAAGAAAGTACCTGATTGATTTGTCATGCACTCTTCTTGCTTTGCCCTCCTCTCACTACACCTCAGTGTCAACGTAGCCAAGTGGCCGGGTTGATTTGCCAATCTCTTGCCAAACTGCCATCAGCAGAGACGCCAGTGTCAGCCATTCTAGACCCAGCGCGCTCAAGTGCACGTCTTGTTGTGGAGCTGCTAGAAGGCAATGTCAGGTAACCGTTATTGTCATATTGTATGGGTGTGTTGCAAGCAGGGAGTGTTGCAAGCAGAGAGTGTTGCAAGCAGGGAGTACAGTAGTAAATACCTACTAGTCTACGGTTTCAAGTAGCCAAGTACTGGTGCCCACAATGTACACAACACGGTACTGTAAACCCCCTAATTTTAGCGACCAATATATTTTGCGATTTCGAATTGTCGACATTTTAGCGACCTTTTATTTTAGCGATCGGAGTACGCGTTTATGAAGTGTTGTGGAGACACAGGCTACTTGAAGTAGTCAGAAATCTGTCCTCCTGTCTTCACCCTCTCTTTGAGGGGCACTAACCAGGATGGTCCCTACATTCCATTGATGGTATTAGTTTGACTGTCGCAACTATAAACGGCTGGAGTGAGTTTTTCACCTCTTGTTCATGACTCTGAATCTGTCTGATGTGCGTATTTTCCTTTCTGATGCGAAACCTCTTTTATGCATTACGTCTGAAGTTTCATCTGTGGTATGTTGTGCCTGCAATGCAGTATAGCCATTTCATTTGCTGGACAGATACCAAGGTATGTACTGGTGATATTGTTTCCTCTGTCCAATATTTTAGGCGCATTGCTGACCTCCTCCGCCGCTCAAAGGTAAATGCAACTGTGGTGTTGTTGGAACAGGTGTATGATTCATTAGCTGCTGCAATGGACCTTATGCTGGTTGTACTGATGTACTTTGTACATCCTGTATAGCCCGGGTGTGTGTATGCTGTGAGCCACCCGTGATTTGGTGTGTTTATTTTACTTATACTGGCAGTTTACACATGCCTGTGTTTGTTGTCATGATGTCTGTCGTATTCCCTTGCTGCTGACGGGCTAGGACCCTGTGAAGACCATGTGCAAGAATATTGCCAGGCAGTTTGAGCGCCTGAAGAAGTGCAATCTTCAGAAGTTCCTGGAGCTCAATGGTGAACTTCCAGAATTGGAATTGTCCAGGTAAGACAATTGTGAAAATCCTAGCATTAATTCAATTTAATTGTAGCAATAACCTACATGGAGACAACAGTTTAATTATGAAAAAGCTATTTTGAGTTTAATTATAGGAAATGAAAAGGATCAACTGCACACTCATTCTAAACACACACATCAAGGCAAAGTTGGTCCTTTCGTATCAACAATGTGATGTTATTCCAACTGATGACTATCACAAGGAAACGTTCTTGGAACTAACCCACCAACTTTGCCTTGATGATTGTGTATGTAGAATGAGCGCGCAGTTTATCCATTTCATTGCTATAATTAATTGTAATCAGGTGTATTTCCACTGTGTCACCATTAGTCATGCTCTTAGGTCAGTAAGGACCCTTTCAAAACACAGCAACCTAGGTAGGTAGTTGATCACCATGCCAGATGAGCCCGTTTGAAGCAGCTGTTCTCAAAATTGATAATCAACTCATGGAGGAGAACTCAACACCCTTGTCGTCAGGGGGGTTTAGTTCCAGACGATAGGCCCTTCCAATTACTCTCTCATATCCCGTGCTCCACAAACAGAGGACTGATTATTTTGGTTTCACTCCAAAGAGAGCCTCAAGAAGAAGACCAAGAACAGAACAACAAGAATGTGTACAAATGCACGCATGCGTGCTGGGTCGCAACCTGCGCAGTCCTCGTGCGGTCCGCACACCGACCACGCGGACCCACCGACCACGCGGACCCAGCACACACGTTCTAAAAGGGGCATATACGTTCTAAAAGGGGCAGGGACAATATACGGCCAAACAAAACAAAATGCATCCTCTCCTGAGGATAGGAGAGAAGAAAAACGAAATGAGAAGACAGACAGGAGAAGAAGACAGGAAGACGAAAGAAATGAAATATGGACAACATAGATGGGCGAATATATAAACAAAAGAGGCACAGGCGAGACCGTTGTTCAAGAGACTGACCAGAGAGTGGCGTTCCTGCGCAGTGCCCGCAAAGCGAGAGAGATCAAACCGGTCCGCCGGAGACGATGTGGAAGGAGTGGAAGACGCCGACTGCACACCCACTGCAGCGCCCACCATTGTCAGAACATCCGATCGAGGGCCCTCCACCGGCAGGAACTGCCCTAAATACTCACCACGCTCCAGACACACCGGCACGTCCGACACATTGGCACAACACACGGGAATATTACCAGACGCAGAGACAAAACATACAGCACGGGGCAGGGCATAGCCCAAATCGGAATCTACTACAGTCTCCACCAGACCAACCATGTCCGGAGGAGCTGTAACCTCTCCCCGCAACATCAACTGAGACCATGGGGGAATTTCCACGGCCACCGCCAAGGAGACAGAATAGTGTTGTGGCGGAGCAGCGGGCGGGGTGGCCCTGGGGACGGCAACCAGGGGACAGGAACACACGGGCCACGTGACCCCACCCCGGACTAAGAATGCAACAGCAAAAGTGAACGCCAAGGCTAACTTGAACACCAACAAAACCCGAGCCGAACCGAACCGCAAACACTGGCTAATAGGAGTAACAGGGTTGAAAACCCTAACCACATCGTGCCTCGCACGTCACCACCGAACCTGGCGGAACTACTCTGAGCTACTTACCCCCGTTCCCTGGACAATGGGACCGTATGCCCCTCGAAGGTCAAACGGGGTGAACCGTTAAAATGTAGCGTAAAACCATGGGCTGCCGAAATGTCGGCACCCAACAAACACTCCTCGGTTAGACCAGCAACAGCCAATACCCGGGCTGAAAGCGTAATGTTGCCAAAGGCATATGTCAGGGGTAAATAGCCCTTGACGTCTAGGGTACCCCCACCCGCAGTGTAGAGTGCCGATACACCCAATTCAGAGGCAGGACGTAATAACCGTCCTGCATCCAACTTCTCCACAACAGCAAAATTCACCAATGTGATGGCCGCACCTGTGTCCACCAGACATGACACAGCTGAGCTAGCCCTATCGATGGCCAACGTACCTTGTGCAAATAGACTGGTGCCGGCGCTGTGTATGTAGAACGGAACCGCGTCGGTGTTAGCCATGACAGCCCCCACCGGGAGGGAATCCGATAACTCGACTGGAATAGACGGTGGGGAGGACAGCGGAGCGGCCGCCGGAGTACATAGGTGAGATTCCGCCGGAGTGTGCTCAAAAGCACACACATCACACACAGACAGAGAGGCAGCAGTAGAAAACAACACAGGCTCATTATCTGGTGTTATCACAATCTCAGGAATCGTACCTGACGGAACCGCCACCGACTCAGCGGGGTCGGCGTCACTCATGCACACATGCATACATGTATTAGGGTCACACTCATTCTCGCCCTTCTCTACGAAAATAGGTAGGGCTACAGCTATTTCCTCAGTAGAATCAACACACCTAGGTGAGGCGGCGGGCGACCCGCACCAGCCACCTCATCTAGTTTAAAGATCTAGTGTTACCCTGGTGTTCACGAGGATTACGCGCGCGGTCACATGGATTTGAGTGGGAATCGCGGCGGAGGTGACCGAGTTGGCCACAACCAAAACAGCGTGGACCTCGTGACCAGGAGCCGGACTCTCGCGCTTTGCACAGAGGTTTTCGAGCAGCCTGGTTTGCGTTGCACATAGCTTCTCCAAACTATCCAGGCACGCCGTGATTTCAGGCGTGGCCGACGCGACGAACACAGGTTCAGCGGATGGGTGCAACTTATCCTGCGTCTCCAGGACGACTGCCTTTTGAACGGCGTGCATTAGCGTCTGCGGCTCGTGGTCCCCCACACGACGGCACATGTCGGGAGACAAAGCATCCAGAAAAGCACGGACGGACACGGTGTTAAGAATGGGACCAGGCGCCCCCGGATACGCCTTAGCCACCAAGACCTGGATGGCGTCGCCCAATTCGGTCAGGGTCTCGCCTGCCCGGCGTTTCCGAGCCTGAAGCTCAGTTTGGCGGAGCAATTCCTTACCCGTGTCACCAAATCGAGCATGCAGCGCGGTCTCGATCTCCGCGCGATCCTCCCGCTGCGTGTCCGTGAAGGATTGCAACATGAAGGCCGCACTGCCAGTGAGGCTCTTGCACAACAAAACGCGCGCCATTAATTCCAACCTCTCCCAGGAGGCCGCATCAACTGTGTCATTGGGTTGGGCAACCGGGACATAATTATTGGCCTGCAAACATAATCTGAAATCATTCAGGAAGGCCTGGAGATCCTCCCCGAGGAAACACCGAACGGTTTCGGCGTCAGCCATCTTCCAGGCGCTTCTACAGTAACCTTAGACATGAGGCTACAACTACTCCAGGTTACGAAACACGGATGGGAAGAAGAAAAAAACACCCCCGGAGGGAACAGGGACCCGGAGCAGGACTACGTACACACCGTACGACACAAGCAGGCCAAAACTAAACAAATGTCACGAAAGTGTATTTCAAACTAATGCCCCAACAATGTCTGCCAGTAAACTAAAAGCAGCAGTTCTTTGCCTCGATGGTGGCGAGCGCGGACGCGCGAAGGAGACGTGCCGAGACATGAACCACACGGGGAACGCCAAAGAAATCAGCCAGGTAAAGAAAAAAAAAGAAACCGGAAAGACCGTGGACGACACGACGATCGCAGGGTCGTGGGACGATGCCACTACTAGCCGGGCGCCAATTGTCGTCGGGGGGGGGGGGGGGGGTAATTCCAGACGATAGGCCCTTCCGATTTCTCTCTCATATTGCGTGCACCACAAACAGAGGACTGGTTATTTTGGTTTCACTCCAAAGAGAGTCTCAAGAAGAAGGCCAAGAACAGAACAACAAGAATGTGTGCATGCGTGCTGGGTCGCAACCTGCGCAATCCGCGCGCACACCGACCGCGCGGACCCAGCACACACGTTCTAAAAGGGGCATATACGTTCTAAAAGGGGCAGGGACAACACACTCACTCATGTTTATCATGGCAAATTACTGCGATGCTCCGTTTTATTACTAGTATACTTGTCGATATCGTGCAGCTTTCCTGCTATGGAATGCTCACACTTTGTTCTCAGAAGCACGGTTGTCCGCTTAGCACTAGTAGCAATGGCTTTTGCAAATGTCAGTACTGCTTTTGCCAATGTCAATGTGGCTTTTGCAAATGTCAATGTGGCTTTTGCCAATGTCGATGTGGCTTTTGCAAATGTCAATGTGGCTTTTTCCAATGTCAATGTGGCTTTTGCAAATGTCAATGTGGCTTTTGCCAATGTCAATGCTGCTTTTGCAAATGTCAATGTGGCTTTTGCCAATGTCAATGTGGCTTTTGCCAATGTCAATGTGGCTTTTGCCAATGTCAATGTGGCTTTTGCCAATGTCAATGTGGCTTTTGCCAATGTCAATGTGGCTTTTGCCAATGTCAATGTGGCTTTTGCCAATGTCAATGTGGCTTTTGCCAATGTCAATGTGGCTTTTGCCAATGTCAATGTGGCTTTTGCCAATGTCAATGTGGCTTTTGCCAATGTCAATGTGGCTTTTGCAAATGTCAATGCGGCTTTTGCACGTATGTTTACCGTTACTCAATTGGGATTGTACAGGCAATTCTTGACTACCCTGGTGAGATTGAGAAGGCACTAAATGGGAAAAGCAATGCATACATCCCGGCAACTTCATAATTATCCTCGATAAAAAATGCCACTTCTCCGTTTGCTCACGAATTCTGTCAACAAGAAGCACAGTCGGGTTTGTTCCGGCCACTACGGGCAGCCCTGAGTAAGAGTTAGATATCACCCACCTGGCTTTACATCAGGATGGACTTCAGTGACTAGTGTCCCATGTCAAGGGACATTCTAAGACACCTTCATGATGTGTGTGCTGTTGGGTGGTCTAAGAAGGCAGTAGTTCTTGCCACGTGAGTGGCATTGTGTGGAGGCTTTAATTGTTATCCTTTGTTTTGATTGTTTGATGCTTCCGTCTTGCCATGTTCAGACTTGACAGTTCATCAACAACACTGGCCACATCTCTGCGAGACCTATTTCGACATCTCTTCTGTGTAAACAAGGTATGTAGTATGATAGCTTAATAACCATGTACGTGACTAAACCTCTGTACATATAGTGACTGTACATGTAATACAATGAACAATGTGATACTGTGCTGGGTAGTGGGTGCAACTGGCTACCGGCATGGAGAAATCTCCACCCACCTCGATCTGGATTCCATGTACATGACTTGTATTAAAATTCACTCTGCAATCATGTTTACTGCTAAGCTATTCTTTGTTGCTGTGTTGTGTTGTGTGTTGTTCATTATCCGGCTGTAGACCAGTGTGTTGTGTGTTGTTCATTATCCGGCTGTAGACCAGTGTGTTGTGTTGTGTGTTGTTCATTATCCGGCTGTAGACCAGTGCTACTGTGAAGCAGCGTCAGCAGGTGTGCATGGATGAAATCCGTGTGACATTGCACGACAAGCTGAAGGACTGGCACATGTTTCTCACCACCAAGGCGTTGCGTAACATACCCATGACTACATATCCTCTCTTCACCTGATGTGCATGCAAGTGCATGCACCGGTACTCGTGACTGCTAGCTGTGCTACACATGCCATGTCCACTGCAGAAGGGAAGGAGCAGTCTACTTGAACATCGTTGCTGCTCAGAATTAATAGGAAATTTTAAGTAGGAACAGCATCCGAACGGACTGTTTCTTTCGCTCCCCCCCCCCCCCCTTATGTCACTACTCTGCGCTTGGTGTGTTGTGTCTATTGTGTACTATCCCGGCAAGTTACCGGCACATTCGTATCATCAACCTTGTGTAGGTGCTTTCGATCAAGATTATTCTAAGCTGCCAGGTCTATTTGCCAGTGTCCAGGCATATGTGTAGAGTCTGATGACACTGTTATTGGTATTCAGTATTGCCTTGACTCTCTATGCTCTCTCTGGTGTGCACGTACTGGAAAGACTTCCCTGGTCTTGTGCATTTCATCTACATTGATCGCACCACAGATCAGGCTATTGTGCCTAGCCTGAATACCCAGGATGACAAAGTAAGTACTCTCTCCTTCCCTCAACTCCCAGTTGTACATGTAACGCTATCCGATAACTACCGGCCAGCTCACAATGTGTGTATACTGCATAATGTCGGGGGCAGTATTCTAAAATGGCGTAATCTCTGCACTCGGCACTGTAGTGCTGTTGTTTTCAGCTGTTGCATTCGTTTTTAAGTGTATTGCTGTGCTAATCGTTGCTATCAACTATTGGCAGGCCTTGCTTGTCAGTTTCTGTTGTGTTGTTCCGTCCAGTTGTTGTTTTTAAAGATTTGAAACAACAACAACAACAGCAACAACTGGTGCTATCGTGAGAATAAAGAATTCAAACTCTCTTATTGGCCCCAGGCCATCATGAGAATAAAGATTTGAAACAACAACAGCAACTGGACAAAACCACACAACAGAAACTGACAAGCAAGACTGCTATGTTGTTGTTGCTGCTGCTGCTGCTGCTGCTGCTGCTGCTGTTGTCACCCTCGCCGTCGTTGTTCTTGATGTACCCCTGTCTTTGAGAGCTGAATTATGTGTCTGCTTTTCTCAATCTGGCCTGTATATTGCCCCTTTCACTGGCAGCTTCACCCAGGTGGCTTCGCAGCTGCGTTTGAAGGAATGCCTGCAATGCCAGCAGGAAACAACCCAGGAGGAATTGTCAAAGAAAAGGTATGTTCTTTCCTACTGTAAGACAGTTCCATCTGAACTGGTGTATAGACACTAGACAGACAAGCTGAGACAACAGACTATAATACATGTAATTGGTAGCAGATGTGAGTATTGCTCTCATTGTATCGAACACCTTGAACAAGATTTGATATGTGTAATATTACCTCTAGATGTGGCAATTAGAAGTGACCATGGCTCTCCTCCACGCTTGCTTCTACCTTCAGGCTTAGGACTTTCACCACGTCCCCAATCTATTCCCTTTTCACTGTATTTCAGCAGTCTGGCAACTTTTTTTTAAATCTCTGTTACTGCTGCATCTTCCCTGTGTTCTAAAGAGTGTCATACTGTAAACCCAGGGAACCTTTACGATCCGAATCCTTCGCGGTTTTCACAATGGTTGTGAAATCGCAAAAGTAAGCCGGCGCGAAACGTAGAACTGTAGTAAAGAAAGTTAAGAAACTGAGGAAATTGACTCCAATCGCGAACATCTCCAGGTGCAAATTTGTCTGTGCTCGCAAATCACGAACTAAAACAGGCGCATAGGTTTCCGGATTTACAGTATCTGGAATTTGCCATGATAATCTCAATCAGTATAATATTATTGATATGTTTATGTTGCAGGTGTGGTGTATGTGCCAATTTGCCAGATCTATGCTGCGCAAAGGCTTCACCTCAGTTGCTATACGGGACGGGGACTTCCTCTACTCATACATGCTGTGGTTTGAAGATCAAGTGGTACGTGTTCTCGAAGATGTGTTGCCAACTTGTGCAATTACATGTGTTTTCACTACAAAATGCTACAGGAAACTTTCTGTTGTAACCAATGAGATCTCGTCTGTTTAGCTACAAGCAAGAACCTTGTTTGCAGCCGAGAGAGGTCCGGCATGTGTTGACAATCTTTTCTGACTTCATTTATGTTCACTTCATGGCCGTACACTACGTATGGATGGTTCTTTTTCTTGGGGGGGGGGGGGGGGGGTGACCAGCGTAGAAGATGTTTGTGTTTTTTTTTAAAGATATCATTTTCACATTGAATTGAACTTTGTTTTTCTTGACTTATTCAGGGCAACAATTTATCGGCTCCTCGTACCCTCGGTTCTCTTGTTACCAACCGCTTGCCTGGCATCCTAGCAGGGAACTTCTACAAGTGAGTGCGATCTTCTTTCACTGTCTACTGTGTGTATTTTAGTTTACTGCGGTACATTAAGGGGAAATGCTGTATTCGCCCGGTTGTAAGATGATTTCGATTAATTCATTCTTAGGCCACACCAAGTTATTTCTATGTTTCGCGTCACCGCGCGTGTACCTTTTCGAATCGTTGACAAGAAAAAAAGCACCCAGACGAGTCAATCGATGGCTGTTCTGGCGAAAATTCTCTCGCCGGCGCCAGTATGGCAGATCAGAGGTTATCAGCTTCTCGATAATCTTGCATTCCACATTTCCAGGCGATGGTAAGTAGAAGGTGCGAGCGATGAAATTTCTATTTCTCCAAGCCGTACGGTAGGGCCTGCTCACCAGCGAGCAGATTCCAGGTGTCAAAAACTCCGAGATTTTCCACGATCGTGATGGAGCGGAATTCCTCTCGTCTCATGTCAAAGTGCAGAAGGAGCCATCCATGAAATTGGTTACTGTATCGGCCCAGCCCAGTCTGCCAGCTGTCCTGCAAGCTGTACATGTATACATGTAGCGACTTGTCGTTTTGGATAATAACTAAGTGTCAGTTTTGAAGTGCTATTCTGCGTGCAACATGGCTCAGTACACATAGAATGTAGTTTTGTTTTTTTCCTCTTCTTTTGTTTTTTTCCGCCCGCCCGCGTGCCTTTCCAGAAAATATCCGACGCGAAACATAGAATTAACTTGGTGTGGCCTTATCTGTATCACTGAAACGTGGATACTGTGGTGTCGCCGTTTGTTTCTGCGGACTGCTTGGTGTCTTCCAAGATGTTTTTATTGCTCAAATCAACCAAAAACTGACACATTCAGTTCAACAATTAAAAATGCAAGGTTGAATCAATTCTGATATCGATTCAAGTACAGTCAGATAGCAAAAGTGTTATGTATGCAGGTAGGGTCACTGTTCTTCTTCCAAGTAATTATGAAACTGCCTTCATAACTGCTCACTTCAATGTCGGATAGTGTGTCCTCCTCATCATTGCATGTATTCTGATAATATTCTGAAGTATTCTGATAATAACAATTTCACTTGGCACAATTGCTACTGGAACAGCATCATTGCTTCTCACTACACTCGTGTTGTTCTGTATGTCATGCACTGCCAATGTAGAACTGAACTCACTCTGCTTGTGTATCTATTGTCGCTGCTCCTGCTGCTGCTCCTACTGCTCCCATTTTCTTTCCACATTCCCATTGTTTTACAGGGACTTGGTGCGGCAATGCTTTCCGGCAGCGCCCTCAGGCTCCATACATTGTTATGAGCTGCTCTGCTTGCATGTGGGAATCGTGCCAAGTCATTTTGTCGGTAAGCAGGCTCGTCGCCTGGCCTCTCAGCTCTGGGATCAGTCTGGTGCTAACTCTCCGTTCAGTCTCATCTAGCCAAGTTGGTCAACCTTTTCTGCAGACCTGACCTTGCTGAAACGTAACAAGGACTGGTGGTGTGTGTCTTGGACTGATAAGGGCTGGGAAGTGTAGTGCGTTAGATGCAGCTGGGTCTGCATACGTCCAGCTGTGTCATTTTAGTGGGCATGCATTTTGCGTGCGTGTGTGTGTGTGTGTGTGTGTGTGTGTGTGTGTGTGTGTGTGTGTATGTGTGTGTGTGTGTGTGTGTGTTCGTGTGTGTATCCCTTAACCTGTCTCGTTAGTCTGTCGTTGTGTACAATCATACTGGTATCGGTATGTTGTGCGGACACAAATTGATGCATGTAGTCGAGAGCAGTGCTGGACATCAGCTCTCTGTTGAATACTGGCACTACTTGCCGCTAATACAGTACATATTTTTGAAAGCATGCCGTGTACGTAATAGCTACTTGTTGTGGCTTGCACATTCTGAAGAACATAAAACACAGTAAGTACGACGATATTGTGCTACTCCAAAGAAGTATTTTTTTTATACGACGAATGTTTCCCATGGCCATTACTTCATACAGTCCATACCTTTTTGAACATATAAATACGTCATTCTGCTGATCCTCACCTGCACTGAATCAGTCCACATGTGTACACTTTTGAAGGAGCTTGTCATAGTCTTCTCATTACCTCATGCATCGTATTTTTATATTTTTGTCTTCCACGCCCCGTTATTCCTGGTGTTAGTGACCGTTGTGAAGTCCCTTGGGAACGCAGACGAAAGTGTTCTACTTTCTTTTAAATGCAATGCTGTCTATTGTTTCCTGCACTCCCTTCCTTGGGTCATTACCATATGCCACATCTCTCCCTTTCTTACACTTGTACAGTGTGCAATCCATGGGACCATTTGCAACTGTTCATCTGCAGTCATGTTATTTCATTTATTTTTATTTTTGTAAATACTTGTACAATGTATGGGAGACGTATGATGGGAGCTGGCTGACATAGTTGTATACAGTCATGTACGTGTACTAGGCCCAGACAGATCCTGCCGGGAATTCTTTTGGCAAAATATCGAAGAATTGAAAAAGCGGAAATTGCCGGCAAAATCGGAGCAAATATATCGAGATGTTGGGTAAAATCGATGCCTGATACTTGGATTTCCTTGTTTCTTACCCGTTCAGCATGATACATGTCCCAGGACGAGATCATGTCACCGAAATATCGCTGGGATTCACTGTGGATCGACATGATTCTGGAAGAACCCAGGGATATGTGTGTGAAAACCAGTGTTGAGAAACCGACCCTGCGATTTTATGAAACGTACGGGAATTGGATAAAATACACGTTTCCCGGAGCAAAATATCGGGTTTCTTGTGCCAGGCGCGGCAAAATATCGAGGCGAGTGGAGCAGAATCTGTCTGGGCCTAACATGTACAAGGTGGAAACAGCTTGCTGTGTTGAGGTTCAGTGTACTTGTACATTGACAGTACATGTACTGTATAAGATATGTGGCTCAGTTACCGTTGCATGCACACCGCATGTTCGACTTGTTTACCCATCGATTATGTCACAAGATAGGAAGACACACGGCGTGGCCCAGGCCTACCTGCACTAGCATGTCTTGTGTACAAAAAGTGCATGCGTTGGTCCAAACACTGTATTTTGACGTACCGGCTGAATTAGTTGCTTCTCAGGTAGAAATCCTACAAGGGGAGGATCAACAGTACTTAAAGTTACGGTACATACAATAAGATGTAAGTTAGCCTATAAAGGATGCCTCTGATCCTCCTTTGGGTTACAACGGAAATCCGTATGGACTCCTGGTTATAGCAAAATGAGAAATTCACTGTGTGCGAATACCGGTATGGAGATACTAGTACATGACTGAGGAATGACGAAATAGTTGGTGCTAGGCAAATCAAAGGGTGATAGGGCCCTTGATTGAAGAGATCGAGGCAGCTGAGATCGTTAGCGTCCCAGGAGAGGGAAGTGAAAACCAGGGAGTAGTAAACTACCCGGAGGTGGCACAAGCATACACGACCAGTTTGACGATTGCCTCAGAACCGTTTTCACCCGGTGAGTGAGTTTGGGGTAAGATGGTTACTACTCTCTGGTGAAAACAAGCAAAACAAAGGGATAGACAGACAGACAGACAGACAGTCACAGAGAAAGAGACAGACCGACACACAGAGAAACGGAGAGATAGAGAGACAGACTGAGAGGGGGAGAGAGACGGACAGAGACAGACAGACAGACAGGCAGGCAGACAAGCAGACAGAGACAGACAGATAGACAGACAGACAGACAGACAGAGAGAGAGAGAGAGACACACACACACACACAGACAGAGAGACAGAGACAGACAGAGAGAGAGAGAGAGAGAGAGAGAGAGAGAGGGGGGGGGGGGAGGGAGGAAGGGAGGAGGAGACTGTCTACTCCTTGCTTGCAACATCGCGTTGTCAGAATAATGACAACGCGATGATAATCATGTTTCACTGAGTTCGAGCTCGAGCTACCCGTACAGCTAAATCATGACATTGTGGTCACTTCCTCAAGGGTGTTTGTGGCATATTGCCACACAATGGCATCAAGCAGACAAGACCGGGGGTAAGTGGAGACGATGGATGTGTTGTATCCGGACTACTAGCCCAAGGCTTGGTTGAGTTGGTGGCGGATCACTTTAAAAGTCACACTGTCACAGTCAAAGCCAAAACTCCGAAGTACTCACTTTCCTTCAATTAGAGCTGCTAGCGTTGTGTATCCGGCTCCCGCATGAACTGCGTATTTTATTCCCTCTTTCTCCGTTCTTGCCTATTAAACACATTATCATTGTGTGGCAGTGGCGGTGTTGGTGTGTTTGTCCTTAGCCTACATTACAGAGTGTACTACACTGTAATTCAAAACCAAGGTGCGCAGTGAAGTATGTACATGTACAATGGTAATGTCTAATGACTAATGAAGCATGCAGTTGTTGCATTCTATGCCGCTTCATTATCCTGTGCGCTCCTGACCTCTACTTGTGCGTTTGCATCCCGTCATTCGCGATTTGTAGGTGGATCTGTTCGTATTTCGGGGACAATGCACCATTCTGCCGTTGCATGCGTGTGTTCACCTCATTGGCCTAGCTCGCTCGTTCCTCATTTCTTTAGTTCATTTTGGCATGCGAAGACTAGCCAAGCTTGCTTGGTGAGGTCAACGCGAACAAGCAAAATAATAATGCACCAGTTCTAATTTCGGGGTACGAGTACTACTGGCTAGGCTGCGATCATGTCAATACGTCAAGTGTGTTATGTTGTACGTAGTTACGGCGAGTGCAGGCAGGTAAAAGCTGTTAGCGTTGCGGAAAGCCGGAATGCAAGTGGTTACCGATGTTTGTGTTTCTGGGAGGAGTGTGGTTTGAGTGAATTTTGCTAAATGAAGAAAGATCCGGCGCAACGCCAGCTTTAATATAACCCTTATAATATAAGGGTTATATTCGCAAAATTTTGTTGCCAGTGCTAGTGTTGGTTTCGTTTCGCAGACCGAGTCCGAAAAAGGTCATCCTGACCTAGCTAGCGCTATAGCTCGACCAGAGGTCATGGGGTCGTTACTGATTTGTCCCATTTCCGGCGTCCTTTGTATGTTTGCAGCTTTGCTGTAGTCGAGACATATCCGGCAGCCCGGCCCGCGGCCCGGCGACATGTCGATTTGCCTCATGAAGCTCATGGAGTCATGCGCCTGAGCTGCGAAGTGACGATGATCCCCGAAGCTACAAATTGTAGAATTGTTATTGTTAGATACGCTTAGCTTGAGTTGTTCGTATTTCCACAGTGCTTGTCTTGTGGTTGTGCTTCTTTCCACTTCGCGTAGTAAGGTGATACCGGAGTTCATCATCATTTTCGACGTCGTGTGTGTGGTATGTCTACCCTAGGCCACATGTTGTGTTGTGAGACAAGCGGCAGGGGAATGAAGGCAAACTTGAATTTCTCTCAGTAGTCCTGACTTATCTGCCTAGCAGAGTGTGTTGGTGCAACGCTGACCGGTACCTGTGCTGTAATTGTGTACGGGAAGAAGAGCTTCCTCCCGCTGGCTGTTTACCATTCGCCACTACCGTGGAAGAAGACCGTCTGTCAGTTCTAATGGTCTGGCTGTTTGAACTTTGCCTCCGTTATTGTGACTGAACGTCGGTATTCGAGAAGAATGGCGGCGCACGGAATGGAAAGAAGTCCAAGTACAGTTGTATGTGACACGCCGGAACTTGTGGCGATGTTTCGAGAGGTGCGTTGATGCAATAAAATACCGTAGTTGTTTTCTTTACAGCCCCCTAGACGGTTTACCGTACTATACAGGGAGTAGTAAAGTAGAGTACCGGTAGTAAACTACTCCCTGGTACCATATGTAGCAGATATTTGTCTTCACACTTGGCTTTAAGCAATGGCTCCAGCTGCACAGTCTCTTTTTATGTTGCACTAACATACTCACACACAGACACAGCTCCCCACTACATTCCTGTCCTTTCTCCCAGCACCTTTTTTCACGAACACTCCTACGTCCCACACGTACACCTACACGCGTAAGCTGACAGATTTCTCACATCCTTCAGCTTTTCACTTTTCTACTGCACCTCACTTCATATCTACTCCATTTCTGTGTTGCTAGGCGTAGTTTTATTGTTTTGACCTGAGGATGGACCATGGCCGAAAACTTGGTGAACCAATATTGAGTTTTGTTGCAACAAAGATACCATATTTGCGTAGCTGTTTAGATTAGATAATATGGTAGAGTCACTGAAATCAACAGCCGCCACCAGGTAGTAATATAATACTACGTGTACTAACCACTGCAGACTGTACGGATTGTAGCACTAAGCCTATAGCTGCTGCTATGACTCTTGCACTATTTCGCAGTGATATGATAAGCTGCATACAGCCGTGGCATGCGATGCCAACCCCGTACTTCGATACATATGCATGGAATGTTTATGACTGCACAGTTTTCTTATAACAAATCTCTCTTGTATTTGTTTGTTTTGCAACTGTGGTGTGTAGAAATCCTGGCATAACTGTGCTGATGCTGTTCAGAAGGCAGGTGTCACTGGGGATGCAATACTGGTAAGCTTGTAGTATTATGCCCTGGGAAGAATTACAATCATGCTTAGGTCAGTTGGGATCTTGAAAAGCTATCTGGATCCTGTGGGGGGGGGGGTGTTTTAACCTGCGGAGCGGGCCATTTCCTAAATAACTAGGGCTGTAACGTGTTACGAGAATGCTGCAGGACAATTGTTTATTTCAATACTCAAATGTAGTTCACGGCGAGGTTCATGACAGCTCTGGTGCTGCAGCGACGACAGGTTTGTAGATAGTACGGCATGTCAATCTGTGTTCTTGAAAGCAGCAGGCATGCACATTCTCTTTCTGTACGCATAAGATGAAGAATACAGGCAATCGGTCGGTGAGGGTGATGGTGCTGCTCACGGTTACGTTGGTGTTCAGGATGATGATGACGACGAGCTTGATATTGAAAGGAGGCTAAGCCGACTGCTGCATGGACGATAAGTGCTGCGAATAGTGATCATGCACCCTGGCCTGAGTAGCTCACTTGGCTAATTGAAAGTCAGCCCACCTGGGCCACGTTATGTTGCTAGTACCCCAGTCACAGAGCACAAGTTGGTTGAATTTGGCCGTCAGGAGGCTAGCGCAAGGTATCAAGCGTATGAGGTGGGCCGCCTTGTTCTGCCCGGGCCAGCTTTTCCCCCCATACCTTACACCAGATTTAGCGCTAAATTTGTTTATGCTTGTGGCCCTATGTGTTTATAAGCATACTGTTGGGTAGACCCGAGTATCAGTTGTCTGATGATTGCCTAACGGCATGAAACTCAGAGTTACAACCAACCCGAACGTCCTCCGCTGAGTCTGCTATGTACTAAGCTCTGTCTCTAACATTGAGCACTCTCTGCAAATACATGTACATGTAGCTTGGAGTACCATCATGCTCAGTGGCACTCATTGTGAGACATAGGAGAGTGTAGAGCGATAATAAATTTCAGGAGGCGTGGGTGGGAGGGAGAAATTGCAAAACAGTTGGATGCACGCAGCAGCACAGCTAGCAAGAGAAAGAAGCCGTGGATGGGTTTGTTCCTATTTTTGATGGCTGTGGCCATCCGTTGGCCCAACAGTATTCGTGTGAGTACGGCGTTTGTTCGTGCCGCCAGCTCGCGCCCGGCGTTTGTTTGTGCTGCCAGCTCGGGCCCGGTGCGCGAGTGAAACCGAACTTTGAAAAGGCTTTGGCTCTTTAGTGCTATTGACTGGCTTTTCAGACAATGCCTATTGATGTCTAGAGACATGCTGTCTAGCCTTCCCCTGGTATGCATTACACAGGGCTTTGTTGAAGTTCGTACCGTGAACTGCCAAAGGGAATTGTTTGAATGGTGCTGGGGCGGGTGCGACATTACGGTGTCCCTGCAGCCGGCCTAATCGCGTTTGTCGCCACAACCGATTATGTCAGCCATACACAGACATTTGTTATCCAATCCAAAGTGCTGTAAAGTGGGTGATGACTCATGGTCCAGTGTTGTATGGTGTGCGAAATACTTCAGACAGCTTCAATCAGGGATTGGTATTTTACTATTCCCTGGCTTCAAATGTTAGATGCCACGTACATTCGCTTACGCGATTTTGACTTGTGCATACAAAAAGAGAATGTTAATAATGTACTCATACTGTTCCGTTAAAAACTCATACTTGTTACAACTTGTTATTAGTACTGCGTGTTAGTGTTCTCACTGTTCTATGCATGTACACGTCATACTGTTGTTCTGATATTAGCAGCCTTGCTTTATGGACATGTCGTCGATTACCACAGCCGCTCTCTAAATATATCAGCTAATGTTATAGCCTCACGTGATCTCTTTCTATTTATATCTCCTGATAATTTTCACTGGGGAGGTAAAGAAGTATCAGAAGTGCATTACTCTCCTCACCATGTCCTGATTGCATTTGAGGTCAATAATATAAATTTCTCTCTCGTCTGTCCTTGCCATTTGATTGGCAACTGCAGGAGATGACACCGGAGGAAATTCTTGACGTGTGTGTTGGAATTAGGCGGGAGAGCTTGTGGTAAGCCTTATTATTGTCATTTCTAATGATTTATTATATTTTCCTGCTAGCCTCTCAGACACCAATGGCTAAGTTTCCTTCACGCTTTCAGTCTTGCAAATCAGACCAACGCAATCCTTTTGTTCCCGAGCTGTGCGAAAGGCGCATGACGTCACATAGTGAACATTATGTGTGCTACTAGGGTCCACTGCCCTTTATTATGTGTGTATGTGTACGTGCACGCGGGTAGGCGGGCGGGCGGACAGACTTTGTTCGCATATACTGCATGATCAAGTGATTATGTGTGCTCAACCAAGCGGTGTAGCTAACGCCACATGGCGAGGGCCCTGAGCGCAAGCTCTCATGTCTATCGTATGGCATATTGGGTTTGAGTACATGCACATGCATTCTCAAGTGCATGCCTTGTTACACCTTTGGTATGTACATGCATGTACATACATGTATAGCCATGCAGAAAGAATAATTGTACAGTAAAACCTGTAACTAAAGACCACCGTGACTAGCGACCAGCCTGGTACTACCGACCACTTCACCAGTCACGGACGGTCTCACATTCAAAATACACTGTGACTAGCGACTACCTGCTGAACGTGACCAGCGACCGCCTTTTCTTGTCCCAAAGACGACTTTTGACCCGTAACTAGCGACCGCGATGTAGGAAATCAAATGTTGCTCGAAGCTCCTTCTTGAAATTTCAAAGTGCTGATTTTCCATGGTCCTGAAAGGAATCTTTCGATACTACAGCTGAACAAATGAACGCAGGTCATTTTGACTGTGGAGTCGGTGTGGACTGCACTACGCCTGTCAAAATTTCAAGCCCTGTCAAGAATAAACATGATAGGAAACGTCTTGGAGAGCGCATCGGAAACGCTCTCTGATCGATGTTACTACTTGGAGGAGAAACGAAGACTGAGCGGCTCTGTCACCCCAGTCATACAGACGAATCGACGATTGCATCAAGGAATCCATAAACAAAGCAGCACCGCAAGGTCCTGATGCTGACGGATCGTGTTCAAGCATTCGAGAAGTTCGCACAACAAGGACAGTCGGTACGATTTGATCGCATGAACAAATTTGAAGCCCAGCGCAAAACGAAACTTCCACAGGGAACGTTTGACTCCTGGCTTCAGAAGTAGCAGCTGAATTTGATGTCTGCAAAAATTTATCTTTTCTCCCTCTCTCTGTCTCTCTCCATCTCTCCGTCTTTCTCTCCAAGTGTTGTTTGACCTAAAATAAGAATGGTATTGCGCAAGTCTTGGAATTGTATTGGCTGCGTTTTGACATACATAATCATATAATGGGATCCATATAATTATGGTCACGTAGTGCAAACCTCTAAGTCTAACTAAAGACCACCTGCTACTAAAGACCGCTTTTGCTGGCACCAAGGGGTGGTCGGTAGTCACAGGTTTTACTGTACTTCAAAGTGGCTACATAAATAGGTTGCATTGTGAATGTAGACCTAAGGTGGAGAGCAATCAGGTGTAACAGACACCAGCGATAGAAACTGGATCTGTGCTGCATGTCACATGCATTCATGATAACCAATGAAACCAATCAGTCAGCATAGATTTCCAAAAAGTCACGGTCTTGGCTATGTTGCACGGGCATGCATAGCACGCGGTAGGATTTAGCGTAGTATGGTGCATAAATCCAGGGGTTGATTTCACTTACTTGAAGTACCACCACTGTGGTATGCGCTGTCGATATTTCTTCATTGTTTGTTTGGTTTGTCTGCTGTGCAGGAAAATTATTGACTCACTTGAGCACCGGATGGCTGATTATGAGGCGGCTGCTGCAAAGTTAGTTGCCTTATTGTGGCATTTCCCATTGCATGTGCAGTCATGTGCAATGTGTAGCTAAATCAGAGAAGTCCACTGTACATCATAACATATTGATTCAGGATAAATGACTGCACTGTGTACTCTATCCGTGCGCACCTGCACACGCCTGCAGCCTGTCAGTGTGTACCTTCTTGAAGAAACACGAATACTCAACATGAATACTCCCAACTGGTCACAAGTGACCCGGTGCTCTTTTTTCACACCCCCTGGCCCAACCGGGTTGCTGACCCGGCTGACCAGGCCCTGGAGCAGACACTGGTCACCGCTTTGAAAATCCCCGTGGCCGGTAGTTTTTTTAGACACTGAAGACGATGGTCAATGGTGTTGCGACCAGACCAAACAAGTCAAAATTCATCTGAAGAAGCGATGAGCATAGAGTAGCTAAATTCATTGTATGGAAATGGGACTTCGAGTCCCAGGGACACGGATATCTTCTCCCTCCAAGCAAAGAAAAACTTGGTTGAAACTGCTGCAATTTGGCCTGACCATGCTGAAAGGCACTGTAATGTGGATTCTCCCATCGGAAGTGTGCAAGCACGTTTCTACAGAAATCAGGGTCTGGGCACGAGGGAGTACGGTCACTACTGCTGTCACTTATGTATTCTCTATTGTTGCGGCCCTGTGGCCATGGTAGACAAGATTTCCTTCGAACCATTACTTGTTCTTGTTCTTTACAAAGTGGAATAAAACTGAAACTCAAAGAGTTCTGCAAGGCCAAGAGCGACACGCGTACATGTAGCTTCAAACAGAAAAGCTGGCAACGCAAAAGGAAACATGAAGCCAAAAGAGATGCCTAGCTCTGGTGTACATCGTAGAGGTCACTGCGCATCCGGTGCACTGCGCCCCAAAGGTGCAGGCACGGCGCCCCAAGAAGTGACGACATCCATGTACAAACAAAACAAAAATAACTGAGAGAAGCGAAAATAAATAAATCGAAGAGAAGAGAGAAGGAATTTAATTCTAATTATTTAGAGCTGGACAGATATTGTCAAGGAGACATGCAGATACACAATAGAATCGACTCGACTGCATGTAGAGTAGCTGCCTCTAACTGCAGCAGAGTGGAGCACGCAGGTACGTGATCAACTCGGGAAAAGTGAAAGGTGAGAGAAACAAAATACAAATGAATTCGAACAAGCAAATACAATAATTGTGAAGTCACGTGCAAAGTGTCTGTAACATTCTCCCCCCTGGTAACAGGGAACCGATGACCTGTTACAGATCACAAATAAACTTAGCGCAGCACGTCCAGCTTCGCGAGCTTGACAACTGGTCGCCGGTACAGTCCAGACTTGGTGCGGACATCTGCCACTCGCACAACGCCATCACTGCCCGGGTGTACAGCCTCTAGTCGGCCCCAAGGCCACTGCCCTCGTGGCTGGTTGCTGTCGACAACCACCACGACATCACCTACAGCCAATGACGGTGTCCCGTCCTGCCCGGTGAACATGAATGGTCGCAGGAACGGGGTCAAGCGCTGGACAGGTAGATTTCCCATTACAGATGGCTTGGGATTGGCTCGTTGGTTCTTGCAGTATTGACACTCAGACCATGCTCGCTTCACAGCTGCTCGACCTGTCGTCACCCAGTACTGCTGGCGAAGCTCATTCAATGTCCTCTCGTGTCCATGATGGCCAGAACGCAGATGTTATTCATGGACTAGGAGCTGTGTGTACCTATGCTTCGGACACAGGATGGCCGGGTGTTTCGCACTGTACGCCATTTCCGTCGCATGTGTGAGGCGACCCTGAACCCGCAGGATCCCGTTCTCATCAATGGCTGGTGCTAGCTGTCGTATACGACTGCTGGTGCTGACAGGCTGGCCATCGTTCAACAATGCCACTTCTTCGGCAAAACACTCTGCCTGCACAGATTTCATCCAGAGCTGCTCGGCCGCATCCATTTCCTTGGCTGAGATGGCTGTGGTTGATTCGACAGTTTGGCCGCGAACTCTGGCCCGTGTGTTTGCGATGAACCTGGCAACGGACGCGGTTGTGCAGATGAGACGTTTCCATGACGAGAATCGGTTGACGTCAGGCAGCGCTTCGGCAATTTGCTGGGGCCTTGGCGGGGATGTTGCCGCCGCAACGAACTCCTTCTTCACTTCGGTTGTGTCGATGCACTCATCCGACTCAGGCTGCGAGATGTGGTAGATCGCCTCCGGCTCGAGTTGATATTGGTGAGCTCGAACTCCAATGCGACCGTGTACTACCCAACCAAGAAGGGTTCTCGTCAGCATAGGTGCATTTGGCGGGCCTTCGACGACTTCACGTGCCACTGTGAGGTGTCCGTTGTCTTGCCCAATGAGCATCCTCGGTTGTACTGCTGGGTATTACGCCACTCTGGAGTCATCTAAATGAGGCCATCGACTCGCCAGCCCTCTGCCATCTATTGACTGCGAATGCAACTTGAGGTCCTTGGCTGTTCTCACATCATCCATTTGATGCTGGGTGCCATCGCTGCCATTGACCAATACAGAGACTCTGCATGACGAGTTGTCCGTGTGCGTCGTCGAATTCGTCCATGCCATATGCAGGGGATCCGACTGTCCAACAGCACCTATGTCATCCGCTAAGGCCTTGTCCATTAGCGTGACAGTTGAGGCTTCATCCAGCAGAGCAAGTGTCTCCACATAGCCCTTTGGGCCACTAACCGTCACTGGCAAAACTCGCAGCAATACTCGGGTTGTACCAGGAATGCCGGTGTGCCCACAAGTGTCGACTGGCTTCTCTGCGGCCTTGCCCTTGTGCAGGAGCACATGATGGTGGTACTTGCAGTCAGGCTCACTGCACTGCTTCCTGCTGCCACACTCCCTGGTAGCGTGTCCACTGGCCAGGCAAGAAAAACAAAGACGGTGACGTTTGACCAGCTCAAAACGGGCTTTCTGGCCAAGCTTCTTGAATGCTGAACACTCGCTGAGGGCATGCTGCACTTGTTTGCAGCAAAGGCAGGCTGACTGAGTTTTACTGGTTGCACTTGCTGGTGCCGTCGCTGCTGCTGTGCTGTATACTGTCGAAACTTCCTGGTGACTGTACACCCGCTGCGTCTTGTCGGTTCGGGTACCAGGCGGATCCACGACGCGCACAGCTGCTTCAGCCTTGTCCGCCAGCCACAAAGAAAACACTCGCAAGCTGATGTCATGGCTACCCTGACGCACAAGTACCTCTCCCCACTGCAGTCGCAGGGATGTTGGCAACCTACCAACAAGCTCTTGACGTAGCTAAGGGTTGTACATGTGACCTTCACTTCGAAGGTACTCCATGGTAGTAACTAGAGTCGTCACAGCAGTGGACAGGTTGATAAGACTATCAAAGTCTCCTGGCTTGACCTGTCCAATGGCCTTGGCTTTGCCGATCATGGCAGCAATCACTGCATCCGGTCGACCAAACCGGCTTTCCAAGACCTGGAGTACGGTCGGCAGGTTCTCCGGCACGGTGAGCATCGCTCCGACGGCAGCCTTGGCTGGACCTTTGAGGCAACGTTGCAGACGAATTACATTTTCCGACGGCGAAAACCCACACTCGTCTGACGTCCTCTGGTAGGTAGAGGCGAATATGGGCCACTCCTCCGAGTCGCCAGAGAACGCCGGCAAGTCACGACCAACTGTCTGTCGGATCAGAAACTTCTGCATGCCGTTTGCGGCTTGCGCTGGGTGCAGGCCTCCAGCCTCAGGAGTCAGGACTCTTCTGAGCTGGCTTTGTTGCTGTTGTCCCTGCCGCAAGTGTGGCGTGTGCAGTGCCGGGTTTCTGGGTCTCTACCCAATGCCTAGTAGCTGTCGAGGCGGACTTTCCTGGAAGTTTACAGACTGTTTCTAATCGGGGCTGAGATGAGCTTACTTCTACTTTATTCTCCTGGCCAGAGCTGATCAACGACGCTGCTGATCGGGTAGTCGACGATGCCAACAACGGCCTCAAATGCTGAGTCGGCGCACTGGATGCAGGACGAGACGATCATCGCGAACGAGAGGACGAGGTGTTTTCGATTTGGGCATGGCGCGCCTCCAACTCCAATAGAAGCAAACGCCTCTGCCTATCCAGTCGTTCTTGCGCATCCGCCTCCTCAATTGCCATCAAACGCCATGCCATCTCCAAATTGGCCTCCGCTTTTTGCCGTTTTACGGAGGAGGACGATCTCATCGATGAGGCGAGTGAGGCAGGGGATGCTGGCAACTCCAGCTCAGCAGCCTGCTCGGCGACATCGGCCATATCCGTTTCGCCCTTACCTCTACGATTTCGCAGCAACATTGCTGTGTTTCTGTAATCTGAAGACTGTATATTTCTTTAGAACTGCTCATCCGGCTCGAAGGACCATGTTGCGGCCCTGTGGCCATGGTAGACAAGATTTCCTTCGAACCATTACTTGTTCTTGTTCTTTACAAAGTGGAATAAAACTGAAACTCAAAGAGTTCTGAAAGGCCAAGAGCGACACGCGTACATGTAGCTTCAAACAGAAAAGCTGGCAACGCAAAAGGAAACATGAAGCCAAAAGAGATGCCTAGCTCTGGTGTACATCGTAGAGGTCACTGCGCATCCGGTGCACTGCGCCCCAAAGGTGCAGGCACGGCGCCCCAAGAAGTGATGACATCCATGTACAAACAAAACAAAAATAACTGAGAGAAGCGAAAATAAATAAATCGAAGAGAAGAAGAGAGAGAAGAGAGAAGGAATTTAATTCTAATTATTTAGAGCTGGACAGATATTGTCAAGGAGACATGCAGATACACAATAGAATCGACTCGACTGCATGTAGAGTAGCTGCCTCTAACTGCAGCAGAGTGGAGCACGCAGGTACGTGATCAACTCGGGAAAAGTGAAAGGTGAGAGAAACAAAATACAAATAAATTCGAACAAGCAAATACAATAATTGTGAAGTCACGTGCAAAGTGTCTGTAACATCTATAGTCTCCATACTTCTCCTTATTGTTTGGTGTTGTATCTGTACAGGTCTTCTTCTCAGGAATCCTTGCCTTGTGAGTAGTTAACTTGTACCTAGCATGTTCCATTGACATTCAGTTGCTTCCTATCCCTTCAGCTTGCACGCGGGTGACAGATTTCTAATACAGTTGCGATTCATGAAATCCTACCCAAAGTGCATCTTTGGCGCCCTCAACTTGCATGACCCTTGACACATTGGAAGTGGTATGCTGCTTGAATGACGTACACATGTACGAACACGGTGAAGTAATCAGAACTACTCCAGGGCGCCAGTTTCACACTTTGGGTCAGGTTTCACCGAGCGGAGCTGTGCATATGACCAGGAGTACGTAAACCAGGGAGTGCGTTGTGAAACTCGCTCACTATGATTTGGGGAAAGCGGAATTCGTTGTTTACGTCAATTTTGAGGAATCCCGGAAGTCGCTATCTGCCTTGTCACAGTCGCACTGCATCAGCGTGACCATTGTCATCAGTATTACCATGCCTTGACATCAAAACAATGTAAACAATGAATTGCGCTTTTCTGAACGCATATGCAGTGCTGCACACTCTGGCTTGCTATCCCATCCGCAATTGCCTTCAGAAGTTTTAAACACACTCATAACGCTATTCTATAATTATATCCGAGAGCTACGCTATTTTTCCAAGAAGTTGAACACTGTGTGAAACTGAAAAGCAATACTTTTACCCATGTTTTTGACATTTGCCCTGTCCTGGTCTTGTAGCAAGTAATCAGTTTGCCAAGGGGTCTGACATGCAAGGCCAGGATGAGAAAAGCTTTTCAAAAGTAAGTGAACTAGAGCAGCAAGTGTCTTTTAAATTTGCTGGTGAGTGCTCGCCCCGTTGTGATTGTGTGCACGAACTTTCTATATTTGGAAAGAATCTTACACATTATCTGTACACGAGTATCACACTAGCAGACCAGCAACCAGTGGAAGGCTGTGTTCGAATGCACAGATATCGTGATGTATGGAGTGTTGGCATGGGAGAGCCAGTGATGGGTACTTGCCAGCAATTCTATAGAAGTACTTCGAGTAGTAGTAATATTGAATCAGGCAGTACAAGGGTAAGTCATTTGTACCGTGTTTATCCTGCATGTTTCCAAGACACGGGCGTCTCTTAGATGCAGCCACTGACCCTGACATGTTCCGATACTGACGGGGACTTTTGGTACGGAATTTTTTTAGTATGACTTTGTACAGCTTGGTGTGTGGAATACATTTCTATACATTTCCACACTGTATGCATCATATGTTACACATGTTCAAAATGTATGCAATTATTCTCCATACGAAGGATCGTATTTGCCCAGTGTACGAGGTGATCGGTGTACACAAATACCCCTGTACGTAGTGAGAGAATCAAGTAGATGTGTTTTGGGTACTGTTGCTGTGTGCTGCACATACAGTAGAATGCAACTGAATCGTGTTTTGCCTTCTGTGTGTATGCGTTTGGGCTTGTGTGTGTATGCGTGTGGGTTTGCGTCTGTATCCGCGCCTATGTTTTGGTCTCACATGGTTTTCATTTTTAGCCTGAGTCGGCAATCTCGTAAGTACTGCATTGTGTCTGGAGCATTGAACACGATCATTGGCCACTTTCCGCTCATACCATAGCCAGCAATCGCATGTCATCACGTACATTCAAAATCAACATAATTTTTCGAATCGACCTTTTTTTCAGGATCACTTTTCAACGAGGACGAAGCAAAGTCGGCCGAACGAAGCCTAGAGGAAGAAAATCACCCTCTCCACTTCACCATCACGATACTGACATAGATACGAGATGAAACAACTAAAAAATCCACAAGAAAACTGTACGGCCATCATCGCGCTGACTTTGGTCTGAGAATTTCTATCACGATCAAAAATGTACGAGGAGCACTCAAAAATAAGCAACAGACGTACCTCTATCGCTCTCTACTCCTTTTTCAAGGCACAAAAGTCGACTCTCCACTTTCAAACCAGGAACCAGACATACCAGTGGTCCTTTTCAGCTGCTCCACGAGCGCAGGAAATGTTCACCAAGGGGCGCAGAGCAGCATCCATTCCAGAAAAAGAGCTAAAATACGAGTGAGACTGCATGCCTGAGTACATGAGTACATGTATGAGTACATGCAGAAAATAGTCAATTTCAGCGTTTCTGCTCCAAACAGCAACTAGCTTCGACTAGAAACAAAGATTACACCAAAGGATCAAACAACAACCATTTTCTGCAGTTTTTTTGCAGATGGCTTCCTTGTGCTTGGCCCAGCACGCCAAAAATCACACCTCGGAGGAGTACAAAAATTACAACTCTCAGATGTCCTCGATTGCTGGCCATGCATACATATGCATAGTACCTGACTGTGCCTGTAGCTATCAGTCGAAAACATTACGGAACGTTACAAGTGCGTATGCAATCCATACATGTGCATTCAGAGAGAACACGCCACTTCACTCCCTTTCACCTAGCACCCCCGCATGCACGTGTAAACTTTGTATCTTTCTTCTATTGCACCCATGCACGCTGCTGTGCTATGTGATAAGATCATTTCCTTGTTTAAGTTGTTGCATTGAATGTCTCACTTTTGATTAGATATTCCTATTGTTTCCTTGATGGTCATTTGTTGAGGTGATTGATTCCTCACGAAAAAGCCCCAAGAAAACGTTAGAATCACAAAATTGTTGCCCTGTGGCTGCTGATGAATGCATTCACCATATTTGTTATCTCTACTAAAATGTCCGTCTCCTCGTTGCCTCATTTTAACAAAGCAAATTCTGTTTTGTTTCCATGCTATGTTCTTACCATTGGCAGGTCAAAACAGCGAACTAATTCTGGGCAAAGACTGTCCAATTCAATCACGTAATGTTCAATATTTTTTAAAATGTGCATGTGTTTCCAAGTGCTGTATGTGTGTCTGGTGTGTGCATGCTGCTTGGGTACGTGCATGTGTATTTGCGTGTGTGTGTGTGTGTGAGTGTGTGTGTGCGAGTATGTGTGTAAAACTTTTAAAAGGTGGTACTTATGGACCTTTTTATGTGTTTATGTGACTTTTCTCGTTTGCAACTTTTCCTGAATCAATCATGGTCTAACCCACTGTGCCTGCCTGGTCTGGTTCAGGTTCTGCCATGAGCAGTTTTTCCAGCCGTGCTGCTACCCACAGTCAACTGGGAACTTGTGGCCAGGCACAAGGGGTACATGGATGCGGGCAATGGGGTTTCTTGGCACTTGTGCCAGTGGTTGTGAGACTTATCCCCTCACCCCTACCATCAGGTGCTGCATCTGCCGCTAGGGTTTGCCAGGTGTTAGCGGGCATCGTGAGATTCCTTCGGGAACGGACACGATAATTTACTTTTTACTTTTACTTTCCCTGAAACTAAATAACGTTAGGTAAGCAGTATGTGGTGGAGGTGGAATTGCTTCCCTGAAACTATTGAATAATTCATGTGTTCGTGTGTCTTTTCGTCTGCAGTCGAAAAAGAAATTGGATGAAGTCGAGTAAGTATGATGACATCACCGTTGTGCATCGCTATTAAAATTAGCATTCAGTTTTCACCATTTCCAGCGAACCCTTTGAAATTTGAAGAAGTTCTCCGTGCACTGATTGGACTTTCTTCACACTTGTGCTCATATGCCTTTTTTGCGAGAAAGTGTTGATTTCAGCCGGGTTTTAGGATTCTGTGTCTTAAAAGTAGGCTCTTATGGTTTCGAACTGATACACAGCCTCTCTTTTGGGGTCTATGCACCTGTTGTGTTATATGCATAGGCATGCTGCACTGCGAGAGTTCATTTGAAATTTTGGGAACTATAGCCCTGGTCCTTTCACCCAATTACTTGGCTCAACTACAGTGCTTGGTAGTGCTGTCTGAGCACTTGCTTGAAAACCACGGCATGAGGTTCATGGTGGATGTGCACTCTGAGCTGGGTTATAGGGCTGCCTGACCTTGTTGAATGTGTACCCGTGGTCAGACTTCACTGGACAGCGATATACATGGCTGCAGACTCAAGTGCAGAGTGTTGCTAGTATTCCAACTCAGTGCTGCCATGATAGTTGATCTCAATACTCAATCACTGTGTGTCCTGCTACTGCTGTTGCAGACAAGCCCGAAGAATACTGGGATGGAGCGCCTGCAGTCCAAAGGACTGGTAACAACTCCCAGACTACCACCACTCAGATTGAAGCTGCGGCTGATCACTCAAGAAACAAGGCGGTACGTTAAACAGTATGAGAGCTGACGCTGTAGGTCTTCAAATTCCTGGAGATTTTTTTAATTGGAACAGGCTGTATAGAGGCTGCAAGCATTGGACACATATCACAACGTGATGGCCACAAGTGAACAACAACTTGTCACTGACTATACTTAGATCATATCGAAGAGTATAACTTTGTTTGAATTCATGATCACGACTAGCTGAGGGACCTTCTCCGACATATCTTCTCGAAAATGCACCCAAAACATCTGCATCGTTGGCAAGTTGGTTTGATATGATTGAAAGCTGTATCGTTGTTATTCTCATGCTGTGTTCATGTATTTCTAGGAGCAGGCACACGACGCAGGTAATCAACAGGCACAGGACGTAGGAAATCATGCAGAACATCACCCTGTCCCCACCTCGCCAAATCCATCTGAAGGTTAGAGGTCTACTCAGAATGCATGCTATGTTGAATTAAATTAATACCTTTGCCGCGCACAATGCTTGCTTCGTCAGCAATGGTCTGTTCTTCTGTGCAAGGTTTGATCAATTTTCTTGTGTTGTGTGCTGTGTTTCGTAATGTACATGCACAGCGAAAACCAAGTCATCGGGCGTTGCATCACCCAGGAAGCCACCCAGAAATTTTCAAGTACAGGCTGTCAACGTATGTCTTCTGTAGACTGAATATATACATTGAGATGCATTGAGATGGAGTAGGCAAAGTACTTCCCAGTAATGTTGGGATGTGTTTGAACCATCACTAATTTTTTGAATAGTTGGGAATTTCTGAAAGGTGGCCAATTGGCCTCTTGAAGGAAAATGGCCGTCTCCTTGAAGCTATAGAATACGTGTGTGGGTGCATGCGTACATGCGTACATGCCTGTGTGTAAATGCATGCGTGTGTGTGTGTGTGTGTGTGTGTGTGTGTGTGTGTGTGTGTGTGTGTGTGTGTGTGTGTGTGTGTGTGTGCACACGTAGAGCGCAATTTATACCCGCAACCCTGATGTAAGTGTCGTGTTGATCTGTGTTGTTTCTCTTATTATATGCACAGCGTGTCATAGCGTGTAATCAAGCGATGAAGGCCTTTGGATCATGTAAGGCCCATTACCAAGCATTCATGCTGCAACAAGGGTAGACTGAGTGGCAGTCATTGTGTTCACTGTGTTTTCGTTCTGGTCTCTTTATGCCTGTGTAATTGCCGGTGATCAATCTAGTGGTCAATCAGCTATGCAACTGATACAGTCGACAATCCAGCTGATCATTGTTCAATTAGTGACACATTTGTTAGCCACTGGCGGATTCACTCAGGATCTTCTGGATTCCCACCCTCATTCTCTGGGAGTTCCGACAACAATACTGCAGTCACGGTTTTACAGAACTCAGAATATCAGGGAGTCCGGCTTCTTCCTGGCTGGCGACTCAGTGCACAGTCGTTTCCATGGCGAGTCAGACTCAGGGCAGGAGAATTCCATTCCTATTCCTGTGGTGTATGGCTGTAGTTTGTCATCAATAGGCATCAGTGTATTAGTACATTTGCATTGGTTCTTTGTGTAGTACAAGTTCGCGCATGGGCATGCGTGCGTGCATATGTGCACATGTGCATATATGCATGCATGCGTGTACATGTACAATCATGTACTGTATAGCAGGAAATTTTCGGACGGAAATATTTTCGGACAAAGCCGAATTTCGACCTTTCGTACGGATTATATTTTCGTACAGTGCTGTATGCTAAATACACGTGTTAGCATGCAGAATGCATGTACATACATGTATGTATAGTGTACATAATTTCACGTGAACAAATTTTAGTACGGAATTAATTTTAGTACAAAAGAGGCCGTGTACGAAATCGTACGAAAATAAATTCCGTCCGAAAATTACCTGCTATACAGTATGTGCTTGTGTGTCCGTTATGTGTGCTGCCTGTATGCGTGCGTGCGTGTGTGTGTGTGTGTTGCGTATGCGTGTGTGTGTGTGTGTGTGTGTGCACGTGTGCATGTGTGTGGGTTTACGTGCTTTGGACGTTTTGCGATGTAGGTCCCAATTCACCACTGACAAGGGTATCGCCCGGCATAGGAGAAAATGGTCTACCGCAAGAAATGAGCAACACAGCGGTATGTCATTGTTGTTTTGTCTATTACCTTGTATGTCTATAACCTTGTATGTCTATAACCTTGTATGTCTATAACCTTGTCCTGTGAGCTAATATCATAATACAGTCAGTATCGCCTATAGCGTTGGTGTTTGATTTTGAGCATTTTATCACTATAAGCGATATATTACTATGACCGATACTGCATGCAATGTATGCGAGTGGGGTGTCAAACGACTCAGCGGCAGCGCACCGTGCACATACGCACTACATACATGTACAATGTCATGTAGCTGGCTGTAGCTCCTGACACAGAAAATCAGCATTTCCTCACGATGGAGGCATATTTTGGGAACTTGTGCAAGCAAAACTCACCAAACAACACTCACTGGACAAGTTCTTCACGAAGAAGTAACACCCTGTTCTCCTCTAACATCGCTTGATTTTCACTATAACCGATGCAAACATAATGTAATAAAGGTGTTTTGAAATGAATTTGATCACTATAGGCGATATATTACTACAGACGATTATTACTATACGCGATAACTGTGTATACTTAGTTATGGCAAATGAAAATGAATTTCAGAAATTGATCACTATATCCGGTATATTACTATAGCCGCCAACCTTATAGGCGATACGGACTGTAACATTATATTCATATTAAAGTTTGAGGGAGTTGAAACGAGGAAAGTCTGAGAAACAAATCTGGCCAGCGATGCTCTACCACTAACCTATGGTGTGGTCATCATCCCAGTACATGTAGCGACCGTTTGACATTTTCCTCACAGACTTCGAAACTCACGCGTCCTGTGAATCCACACAGGATGGTGGGAAAATAGAATAATTGCCTATCTGTATCTGTGTTGGCATCCAGTCTATCAAACTCTCATGTATCAGTGTCAGCTGAGTTTGTTGTACGCTGCTTATAACGATCATGATCCAATTTCATTGTGTCGACGAACATCTGATCTGCTGCCTCACATGCAGTGATGTAACAGTATGCTGACAGGGCTTTCGGTAGTGTAGTTCCATACACCATGCACTTGCGGTGTATGACTGAGACCAAACATACATTACATCATGAATCATACACATACCAGATACAGTGGGACTACCACAATTTCACGGCCGCCACGAAGTGTGAGTGTGACCCAAGTTCACATGTGCACAATATATGCACCCCAACACCCGGCAGGACACCAAAAGTTCCATTCCAAGGACCTACCTTGTACATTGCAAAGAAGACAATAAAAAGTCGTAGACAAGGAGAGGAGAGATAGACGCTGTTAGAGGGCAAACACCAGCTAAACAGGATTTTTATCTGTGGGGAAATAGCCAATCAAGAGGAGAGCTCTTTATGTCGGAAATGTACCCACTGGTCATAACAATAGAAGGTGGAATATTAGAAGACAGGAAAACAGACGGCGGAATATTATTTTAAAAGTGTGTGTTGCTCCCTACGTGGGAGCTTGCGCATTTCCTGCCGTCTTGACTTGACACTTTTAAAACTGACTCACGACTGCCATCCAGAGCACAGGAGAAGTCCATTGACCCTTCCACAGGAGAAGTCCATTGACCCTTCCACAGGAGAAGTCCATTGACCCTTCCACAGGAGAAGTCCATTGACCCTTCCACAGGAGAAGTCCATTGACCCTTCCACAGGAGAAGTCCATTGACCCTTCCACAGGAGAAGTCCATTGACCCTTCCACAGGAGAAGTCCATTGACCCTTCCACAGGAGAAGTCCATTGACCCTTCCACTCGGCAAACCTGTAAACCGTTCTATACTATCACCGAAGTCATTACCTCTATTCTCTACTGTTGTCCCCAGCGCAGGCAGGTTCATTACCTCTATTCTCTACTGTTGTCCCCAGCGCAGGCAGGTTCATTACCTCTATTCTCTACTGTTGTCCCCAGCGCAGGCAGGTTCATTACCTCTATTCTGTACTGTTGTCCCCAGCGCAGGCAGGTTTGCGACTACGGTGTAGTTGGTTTGGAGGACACACAAACAACGGTGTGAATGGCCAGCAGTCCTTGTTGCTGGTTTCCCACCTTCATAGGCAACACTGACTCACAATGCTGTCTGGAGTTCACAAGGTGTTTGCTGCCCTGGAAATGGAGCATTACTTTAAGTTGACATGTCTATTGACGTTTGGGCGGCTGGAGCCCTATACATGTATATTGTAGAACTTCTGCAGTGCAAATTTTATTAGCCTACTCAAGCTCAACTGGTGAGGCATGAATTTCCCGAAGCACTGTGTATTGAGCAGGGAGTGGTGCTTTCTTGCAAGTTTTTAGAAGGAAAGTTCAATGGACTTCTCCTGCGCTCTGGATGGCAGTCGTGAGTCAGTCAAAAGTAAAGTCAAGATGGCAGGAAATGCACAAGCTCCCACTTAGAGAGCACCAACACACACTTTCTCTACAATCGCCGAAGTCGTTGCCTCTGTTTCGGGATATAGAATGTGGGAGAATAGAAAGGTCAAGAGCATGTAGAGCAATAGTGTAAGAAGGCAAAGAACTGCACTTCAATAAATTATTGCAGGCAAACTCTACAGTACATATCACAGTACACTAAGGTAATGAGTGCCTCTTGCTAAGTGAATTCAATTTATACTGTGGTTTAGATACAAAGCGAGGGATCACCAAGATCACCGAAGTCTGCAAGGAAGCTTTCCAGAATGTCAAGCAAGTCATCCCTCTGGTCCCATAGCCGTAGGGACACCACTGAAGATGAACCAGTAAGTAGTTGATGACCTGCATACAGACTGCTGGAAAACTGCCCAGTCAGGATCTGTTGCGACTCTCTTTCACAACTGCATCTGTGCTTTTGGTTCTCGTGCAGCAAAGCGGACATAGAAGCTGCAGCTTTGCATTCAGCAGTAGTCGTGATTAGGACTGTATATCACTTATGACCCGACTGTGAGGGTTGATGCTCAGGGAATTCATTATGTCCGTACTAAATGACTAATCCTGTGATTGTTAGATACAAAGTGATGAATCATCAAGCACGCCGAAATCTACAAGGAAACTGCCCAGATGGTCAAGCAAGGCACCCCTCAGATCCCTTAGCCGCAAGGACACTGAAGATGAACCAGTAAGTAGTTGATGACCTGTATTGCATCCCTGCGAGGTTTGTTGCCCGCCATGATTCAACAGATAAACTGCTTAGTAGTGATTGGTGATAGATGGATAGAAGTTATTGTTGTATTTCCTTCTCGGCCCGTTCAAGTGCGGCCTTCTCGGTGTAGTCATGGTGCACTGCCTCATTTTCCTGTTGGAACTTGACCCTTTGCTTCTTTTGTTTGTCACTGTCGGCCGTGACAGCATTGGAGCTGGGGCGGTGGATTTGCCCCTACCACTGTGCATCCAGCTATGGCCACCGACAGGACTGGGTTCAACCGTTCACTCGGTTGGGAGACAGTTTACGGCTTTACGCTCTCGTATTTAGACTGAGGTGCATTTGTACTGGCAGACCCCGAGGTCGTGTAAAAAAAAGAGTAAATTTTAGGCCATCATAGCGTAACTTGTGGTTTCGTGGTCCTTTTTCTTTTCTATAAATTAATCCTTGACTCTCCATCCGGGTCCATTCATGTGAAATATATTGATTTTTTAATATCGTCAGATTTGGTAAGGAAAAGTGAAACAACCAACGAAGGACAACAAAGAAAATCAGGCAGCTGATAAACTCTTTCACTTTTCAAACCGATAACACCTACATGTATGATTCAATCTGCGGACTTCGCCTTCCAAGATCTACAGCGACGTTGATTAGAGGCCGTATAGGCGTAGATCGCAGTACATACAGTGCATTTACCGGAACTAAAAATAATAATAATTTGGCCGCATCACCTGAGGTGTTGGGGAAGACATGAAGCAAAGACAGTTGCAGATCGGCGGTTGCCACCACTTCACCCATAGTTATCCTACAGTAGTATTGAATGCAGACCTCACAAGTGGTACTCGCCCGCATCACCGCTACTGAGAGAGCACTAAGCTGCACACTCCCTGCTATCAGCGCAGGTTTTGAACTCGGGACCTCATGATTCGCTGGCAAGCCTGCAAACCAACCGGCCATACTAGTGTAGCGTTGGCACGCTGGCAGCCAGTTGTTGGTGTCCGGCTATCACCTAGTATTCGAATCACGAGGACGTGATTGTATTTGAGAGGGGAGGTGTAGCGTTGGCACGCTGGTGATTTTCACAGCGTATAGCGTATAGTGTATCCCCGTACATTAGCGTACAGAGTCTGCCTGTGTATAAAAGCTGCTGCTCACAATTCTTTTCATGCAAGTTATAGTTACATTTCAATTGTCAGTTAAAGTTGCATTTCAGTTCAGTTCAATGTTTAATAAATAACAGTGTGTTCACTGAGACCCTTGTGTATTTTTGCCTCCGAGAGACTGCGGCCTGCTACACTAGTAGTACACGTTGGCATGGTCGTGTACTGTAGACTTATTTGACTTTATAATTTATTATGATAAACATGTACATACTGTATATAGGAAGTTGGTTGCTCCAACGAAGAGCACACGCTTCTTGCCGAACTTGACACTTGACTGACTCACGACTGCCATCCGGAGCACACGAGGAGCACGTCGCACCTTCCGCGTGTGCTCCTCGTTGGAGCAACCAACTTCCTGACTATTACCGCCGAAGTCGCAACTTCTAAGCTCATACTGTATATCTTTGAATAAAAACCACATCCGGAGTACATGACACACCTCTATCTTCAGGTGTCTTGTCAATGTTCCTCGAATATTTACTTGACTAGTAAATCTCACTTCTTGCCTGCATGAGAGTCTGCCATATGCATACCTCTTATTATTATTATTATTATTATTATTATTACGAGAATGAAGTTGAAGACACCACTGCAGCTGTACTTATGGTTGATCATATGGTGGTAAAGACACACCTGGCAATATGGCGGTAAACACACGCCTGCCCACACACGCTCTCTAGGCTGCAAAGTTCTGGCACAGAGCTCTCCTTCTCACCACCACCACCACCATCAGTTCGCGCCTGGCGCCTGGTCGATGCATGGCTGGCGGCATCGACCAGGCGCCAGGCGCGAACTGATGGTGGTGGTGGTGGTGAGAAGGAGAGCTCTGTGCCAGAACTTTGCAGCCTAGAGAGCGTGTGTGGGCAGGCGTGTGTTTACCGCCATATTGCCAGGTGTGTCTTTACCACCATATGATCAACCATAAGTACAGCTGCAGTGGTGTCTTCAACTTCATTCTCGCGAGTCAAGCTCCGTTTGAAGGCATCCAAGAAGAAGATTGCCTGATGAGTCCAGCGGGGACGAAACGTACGTCGCAATCGAGCTATGTCGTTGCTGTGTCATCATCTATGTGCCATGCGCTACTTGATGTACCAGCCTGCTATGCCGGATACCGCCAGCCATGCATCGACCAGGCGCCAGGCGCGAACTGATGGTGGTGGTGGTGGTGAGAAGGGGAGCTCTGTGCCAGAACTTTGCAGCCTAGAGAGCGTGTGTGGGCAGGCGTGTGTTTACCGCCATATTGCCAGGTGTGTCTTTACCACCATATGATCAACTATTATTATTATTATTAAAAAATAGCGAGCTCCGGTGTGGGGAGCAAACCCTTTATTATTATTATTATTATTATTATTATTATTATTATTATGCACTTACGCGTCAATGTCAGCGGTGGTAAACCGCCCACAAATTCGCACGTGCTGAATTGACTTGGGAAATGAAAATAAAAACAAAAAGAGCAACGACAACAGAAATAGAAATACAATACAAGACGTACCTGCTAAGGGGCACATGACAGCATTGCTCAGATTGAACAGAGGACGCAGACACAGGATAAAGGGCATTGTCGACTCCGTTTTGAGAATAATCCAGTAAAATGGTGGCAGGTGGATGCAAATCCACGCACTACGTTAAAGGGGAAGTGCATCGATTTTTCGAGTATGGTCCAGAAGAAAGACAATTTGATATCGGTTCGAATGGCATATCTCTCGCTTCCATACGATAAGCCAAACTTGCAAAATCGCCAATTGTATACTCACGTTGCCATAGCGACCAGCGCAGTGATGACGTACGAAAGGCTTAGCTCCACCACAGATAAGGTCGATCACTGCAGAATTTGGTCATTTTCAATTGGTTTATTGTATTCACGAAGTGAAAGAAGGGCTGTGTTCAATGCTGTTAGTGCAGTGAACTGCTTGTTAGTAGTCCTCTCGGTTGTGTACTGGGACGTGACACTGACAGGAGAAAGCTGGAGTGCGGAGACACCAGCAGACAAGCGAGAATAGTGACGAACCAAATGCTGAAATCTTGGTTGGGACAAATCAGACGTTCAGCATTTCCCCCAACCAAGGACCATGCCGTTTGCTCTTTCCACTTCCTGAAGATGAATGTGATTCTTCCTGGCGACTCTCCTATCTCTCGTAACATCTTCTGAAGCCAGGTGAGACGACGGGTGGTGGAGATTGACGAATGAAATAATGTCGTAGGTTTGAAAGTTTGCTGAAAATGTCTCAGGAGAGATGGCGAATTCCAAGCATCTTGTCCTGGAGGAAACCATTTCCTAGGCACAGTCAGCCTAGGGAAATGCATGAGAAGGGCGATAAATAGTTCACGGCACTAACAGCATTGAACACAGCACTTCTTTCACATCGTGAATACAATAAGACAATTGAAAATGACCAATTTCTGCAGTGATCGACCTTCTCTGTGGAGGAGCTAAGCCTTTCATACGTCATCACTGCTCTGGTCGCTATGGCAACGTGAGCATACAATTGGCGATTTGGCAAGTTTGGCTTATCGTATGGAAGCGAGAGATATGCCATTCGAAGGAATTTTGTTGGTATTTAAAAAAAGATGTTAATTATTATTACCGCAGCAGTTATGAAAAGCAGTACTGTGATATTTCGGAGCAATATTATTTGGTTTTAGTCGTAGACGCCACTATTGGACTTGCAGACGTCCTTGCAAAGGTCCTTCCACTCCCCTCTGCCCTGTGCAATCTCCCGGAGGGAGAGGAGATCAGACAACGTCTTGAGTCCCCTCCGCCCCACTCTCTGCAGGTCACGGGATAGCACGATAGGCAGAGTCGTTCTTGGCCGTCCCCTCCACACTGTTTCCTTCACCTGGTAGTAGTTAATCATAGCCGCCACAGCAGGACATCCGTCAGGCATGCGCAGTATATGGCCAAAGAGTCTCCATCTGGCTAGGCGAACAAAGTTAGATATCATACCTCTACCCAGGGAAATTATATTATGTTCATACTAAATTACAAATCCTGTGATCTTTAGATACAAAGTGAGGGATCACCAAGATCACCGAAGGTAACAAGGAAGCTTTCCAGAAAGTCAAGCAAGTCATCCCTCTGGTCCTATGGCCACAAGGACACTGAAGATGAACCAGTAAGTAGTTGATGACCTGCATACAGACTGCTTCTAGCTCTTTGGTCCTCTTTTTCTTCTTATAAATTAACCCTTGGCTCTCCACCTGAGTCTAAAAAACTTGTGGTACAAAATTACTACAAATTACAAATTAATGATCTGATATCAGGCTTGGACTTGTCTATTTGCCACCTTCGCGTGCGGACCACGACAAAACATTGCCGCCGATGTGCACCAGAGAATCACTCCTTTATTGTTCAAACTTTTACTGAAGTCTTTTCGCTTTAATAGAAAGCTATAAGTATGTGTGTATCGAGGTATGTTGTGACTGTGTGTTCATTTCTCCTAAAATATATGGTTACAACAGGAATTGGAACAGAGTGAGTGGTTTCATCCACGTTGCAATCTTGAGGATGTGACAAACCTCTTGTCCAAAGCCAGTAAGGTAAGTTGCATTGCTTCGACTTGTCCACTGTCCGCTTAAAGGGGAAGTTAAGGCAAAAATTAAAATTTCACCAGTTGTAGTCTTCGGGGTGCTGAGTCGAATGGTCGTGGTCCGAGGAAGCTGAGACGCTCCCTTCCTACTTGAATCCCAATCGAACTCGCGCACTTCCACCGAAACTGGGTGACTGCGCCCTACTAGATGGGGATTTGTATGCAAAATGTCACTAAAAGCGCCATTTCGTTCTTATAAAAGCACGGATGACCGCGATTGGCCCATATGTTGTACTCTTTTGGACGCTGAGTCGACTGGTTTTGGTCCGAAAAGGCTGCGATGCAGCGTTCCTCCTTTATTCCCAATCGAACATGGTTGAACAAGCGGTCACGTGCTCCTGGGTGCCCAAATCACCTGGTCACCACGCCAGCAGGCGACAACTTTCACACCAAGGTTCAACTCGAGTGACAGGACTGCACCCAAAAAAGGTCAAACAGGCTAGTAAGTTGCACCCTGCAGGCACGGTGACCAGGTGACTGGAGTACGCAGGAGCACGTGACCGCTTGTTCAACCATGTTCGATTGGGAATAAAGGAGGAACGCTGCATTGCAGCCTTTTCGGACCAAAACCAATCGACTCAGCGTCCAAAAGACTACAACATATGGGCCAATCGTGGTCATCCGTGCTTTTATAATAACGAAATGGCGCTTTTAGTGACATTTTGCATACAAATCCCCATCTAGTAGGGCGCAGTCACCCAGTTTCGGTGGAAGTGCGCGAGTTCGATTGGGATTCAAGTAGGAAGGGAGCGTCTCAGCTTCCTCGGACCACAACCATTCGACTCAGCACCCCGAAGACTACAACTGGTGAAATTTTGATTTTTGCCTTAACTTCCCCTTTAAAAGAGGGTGATACGTTCGGTAGAGATTGAGTTCCAGAATGGTGCGTTGCGTAAAGATTGAGTTCCAGGATGGTGCGTTGGGTAGAGATTGAGTTCCAGGATGGTGCGTTGGGTAGAGATTGAGTTCCAGGATGGTGCGTTGGGTAGAGATTGAGTTCCAGGATGGTGCGTTGGGTAGAGATTGAGTTCCAGGATGGTGCGTTGGGTAGAGATTGAGTTCCAGGATGGTGCACTATTCATACTCTCCCTGTAATGGACAGTGCGTCTTCCTCTTTTTTGCTAATTCCAAGCCTATGGCTGCTTTCAAGTGATTTGTGACTTGTTACACGCCGATCTCTTTCTTCAGTAGACAGCAGAAAGCATGCGCGACTCAATCAAGACGCCCTGCTGTAGTACTCTTCTACTCTGCTGCTGCTGCATTCTTGCTATCTTTGAATAGGCGTTTGCAATTAATTGCATTACATTGAAAACGTCTCAGCAGTGATGTAATCAAACTAGAAACATGAAGCAGCCTGGTCAGCAGGGAAAGAGTCTGGATGGTGTAGTAGCATGTGCTGTGAAGTTCACATCCTGCTTGTTTTCTGTCTGCATGTATGCTGTTTTGCAGGATGGAGCATTCTTTGTGATGCCCTCACAGGCTTCATTCAAAAACTTGATGCTGAATGTTTGGCATAATAATGATGTTCACCAACTTAGGTAAGCATATTGCATGGCGCACGCGTGTGTGTGTATGTATGTGTAAAAGAAGGCAGTTCATAGCTGTGTGGTGTAGACCAGGCTGAATAGTGGCGGTCAATTCTTCAGCCTTGCAAGCTGTTGATTGGTGCAATCCCAGCACAAGTTGCTATGGCTTCTGCTGTAGCATCGCTATCATCACCTCCAGCGATGGGCGTCAAATGGTCAATGGCGTGTGTGTATGGCTCCATTCGGAGTTAGGTATCCCTTGCGGCAACCAAGCTAAAGTACTGTGTGTGTGTCTACAGGGATCGATTTACTTTGATTTTTTGTATAGCAGTCACTGCTACACAGTTATACAATTGACTAGCAACTCCCAGTATTGATTAGCAGTTTTCCTTCTTCGAAAGTTTACATGTATATTTGTACAATAGCAGGATTTTGTACAGAAGAGGACAATAGCTGCAGTTGCTATTCGCTTTTCCAAGCGAACGGTTGACCTGAATATTTTACATTAGGGTTTACGCTTGGGCTCGTTACAAGTTCAGCGTCCATCCGACTTCGAGTTCTTCACAGCACAATAGGGCAGTTCCACTGATTCCTTCGACAAAGAAAGCCCAGGAAAGCGCTCAAACGATCGTGACACTTCATTCAAAGCGCACAGAATTTTCGCTTTTCTCCTTTTCTTCATCGAAAAGAATCGACACTCCCTGACGCGTCCAGTTCTTTTTCCCGCTTCTGGACAGTGATCAGATTCACTGACATGTTGGCTACATGAGACTAAGAACCATCTACTTCAACTGTGTCTTGTCGAACAAAAACAAACTGAATTGAGCTTGACGGTGAAAGAAGAAAGGAGAACTTAAGGGAAAGTCGCCGCCGTGTACAAAACTTCAAAAGACTGCAGAGAGGGCAGTCATGTACGACCAGTGCTACAGTAGTGCAGTGTCCAAAATCAAACAGAGCGCGATCCACGACCCGCGCGCGGACTGAGCGGGACAGGCCAGTTGGTTGGAGTAGTAAAATACTACTCCCTAGTCAGCAGTGTGTACAACAGTCGCATGTAAACTGCACACAAACAGTACAGAATGGTCTTTGTACATACCGGTATGCATAGCCAGTGCATCGCAGTTTTGGGCGATAAAAAAACGAAAAACGAATCGCAGCCAGTGAATTTTGATTCGTAAATTGCGATGCGAACCCGGATAAATCGATCCCTGGTCATGTGTGCGCGTGCATAGGTCTTGTGTGTTCTTGAGGCCTTTATCAGATCCACCCTGATATACCATCTGCCTCTAGCGAGTAAAAGTTCATAAACAAGATAATGCAACTGTGGTTATGGGTCCGTGCGCGGCCCGCTGCCTTCATGACGTAAGATTTTTTGGATTGGTTTATTTAATGTTGAAGAACAAACAGGCAGTGTTGCCTACAGGCACACAAATATAAGGGAAAGGAAAAGATTAAAAGAAAAAATAGAGTAGGGTTTAAAGAGGAAATATTCCACACACTCAAACGGCTCTTATCCTGACGCCTCAAATACGGGCACGGCTCTCTACCGGGAACCTTCATCTTGAGTTCCTATGGCAAAACTGCTTCGAATTTGGGGTTTTGAACTTTTTCGTATGCGCTAGTGCCTATTGTCACTGCCAACCGGTGTAATCCACACATGTTCATCAGTGGATTGTTTTTTTATCCTGAACATGCGCAATACGTGCCAAATAAACTTCTTCAAGAACTGAAATGGTCCATGGAAGATGAGCTGTCCTGAGATACGGGCAAATCTGAGATACGGGCAGTGCCCGGTCCCAAGGCGCCCAGATAAGAGACGTTCGAGTGTAATTATTTGACCAGTGAGCAACGTTGGTCAGTGAATTTTCAGGTGGTATAAAAGAGCGGTCTGGAATTGACCTGGTTTCTCCAGTGATCGTATAGATGCAGGGAACTTATTCCAGAGAGCGCTCATGCACACAAACCCTCAATCTCTCTCACCAGCACATCCGGTTATGCTCGATTTGTTCAAGTACCGACACTATCTCTAGGTTTTGGGTACATGAACTTCACTTTTGCACGAAAGTTCATCACAAACCAGAGGGAAAGTGTGGGGTTCGATTTTCCCCAGTGCGCGGACCGCAACCTCATGATGCAATGAAGGCAATGCGACGTGCATTTGGCCCATAGAAAAGAGATAACGTAAAACGGTTGGAAACTTTTGTTTATGGACTCTTGACACAAGTGGTCTCACAATAACTGACTGCATTGGGTTTCTGGCCACATGACAACTGTAATTTCTACACTTGTGCTTGTGCAAGTCTAAGGCCCTTAGGCTGTACTCACACTACTTGAAAGTTTGACGCGAATGTCGCGTTCAAAACTAGACAAAAGTACTTGAAAAAGCCTTTCCAAGCACACTGCACTCCAGTGACGACTTGAAACATTTTTTGTCAGCAAATTACCATGGAGAAACATGATTGTCATGTGGTAGTTTTGCAAATCGCGAAGCTGCGTTCCTTCAATTTTTTTTGCGCTCGATCAACTTATTTGAAATTTTCAGTTCATGAGAAAAATAGAAACAGTTATATCTTGCTTGGATCGTGGAGTTCATTTGCCATGCCTCGCGAAGAAGTAGCACATCGTCGACGGATGAAGAGGTTTCTCTCCATAGCTCGATGAGCTTCTTCTCCAAGTCGTCAGAAAACACTACGCGAGGCATGATGTCGGTACAAAACAATGGTACAAAAGAAATGCGACAGAAACGGCAATCAAAACAACGGGAAGCTACTGGAAGAAAGAAGACGGAAAATACTCGGAAAAAACACCACAGAATTCAGAAATGACAGGCAAAAAAAGGAAACTACAAGTATATTATGTACAGGAGCAGTACGACCACGAGGAAACAAAACATGAAAAATATTCTGGAGCCTTTCAACGTACAATAGTACTCCGGCCTCCTGACCTCACACAGCTTTCCAAACAGCTTGAAAGCAAAAAACCTCGTAGAAGAGGGTTCCGTTTCCGCTGAAACCTTTCAAGCGGCTTTCAAGGGCTTTTTTTCATTTTCGCAACCGTCACCGTGGCAACATTCACACGTAAGTCACTTGTATGCGGTTTTTCAAGTAGTGTGAGTACAGCCTAAGGGCAAGCTGGTTTTTCTTCACATTCAACAACACCACACAGCAAGCCTCGAATAGTAAATGTCCATGCTGACGTGTCCAACAGCGAAGAGAGGGGAAAGGTGAGGTAGCTGCCGTTGGACGTGCAAGTCCGAAAAAGAAAGTGCAATGGGCTGTGATTCACTCGTACAGTACTTACTACATGTAGTACTGTACGAGTGGCAAAAAACAGATTTCACGTCAGTATCACAGTGTTAGCAAAGGATACACTATTGTGTGGGCACATTTTTGTTTCTTTTGAACAGAATTCTTTGGCATAAATCAAGCAGCTATCTACTTTGCCATGCCAAGGAGGAGGATGTGGTAAGTCTGACCTGGCTCTTGGTGTACTCATGTACTCATGTGGATAATTAATTTGCTTAGTAGAAGAGAACTGGGTATAGTCGTCTTCACTGGCACAAGAAGGCGATGAAGAGTCCAGGAAATGTAAACATGCTCTCTAATGATCGATCAAACATTATCATCAGCTTGTGCATGTGGTGGATTCAGATTAAAATCGCAGGTAGGTGACCCTCACTAGTTAGGCCCTGGTCACACTACATCAAAAATGCTGCGTCAGCGTCTGAATCATGACTTGTTCCATGGCAACTGATGAAAACGCGGGAAATTTGAGCGCCTGACGCGAGCAGATCGGCTGTGTTGCCGTTGCCGCTGCAAGCACTTGCATGATAATAACAGTCCTTTGAAAAATAGCGATTTGGTTCGCCACAGATTGGTTTTGTGAAGTGCGTCAGGCCGCGACGGCAAAAGCAAAAGTGCAGTGTGACTCCACACCAGCGTCAAGTGCTTGGGTTTGACGCTGCATCCAGTTTCAAACTAGACATAGTGTGACCAAGGCCTAAGGGGGTTTCCCAGTGTGACTAGACATGATTCCGAAGGACTCATCAGCATGACTCATCGCACTGCACCAAAAATGAGGCAATGAAGGAAATCTGCCCAGCGGGCACGAAATACCCAGCCACATACAGTCGACTCCTGATATAACGAACACCATTGTGCAGAAGAATTAGTTCTTTATATAGCCGAAGTTCGTTATAACGGAAATCCACTCACACTATGCAAGCAGCAAGTCACGACTGACATCAGCGACATGTGGCCCATGCCAGTATGAGTGCACTTTGTTTACATGCAGCAGTACAAGATTTGGTTCATTATAAACGAAAACCGTTCGCTATAAAGGGTCAATTTTGTAGGGGCTCAAACAGGGACATGGAACAATGGTTCGCTCTATATCACAAAAATCGCTATATGCGAGTTCATTATAAGTGGAGTTGATTGAATTGACATAACATGGGTTTGCATATATAAGCGCAGTCTCCAGTAGAAACTTGATGTCAGTACGGTTAAAAAATGCAATGTATTCATATGTGTGTGTGTGTGTGTGTGTGTGTGTGTGTGTGTGTGTGTGTGTGTGTGTGTGTGTGTGTGTGTGTGTGTGTGTGTGTGTGTGTGTGTGTGTGTGTACACGCGTGTACGCGCGGTGTGATGTCTGCAGGTACACGCTAGTGTCCAACAACTGATTGATCACCACACTGAGCAGCCTATCCACCTGACATTTGGAAGCAAAATACGTCTCACGAAACCATGCACCGCACACACATAGATGAACGCTCTCCGAACCTTTGTGCAATCTCTTGTTGCTCTTTCTCAGTCAATGCTCTTCTCTTTTTAGAGCTTGTAGTGTTGCTTTTGTCAAAAGGTTGGCTGGTGGCTGACAAATATCTGCTTCCACCAGGAATATATTTTGACTTACTTTATAAAGATGAATAAGTTTGAAATGAACCTAGCATCAAGACATATACACTAAAATATTTTTCTAAAATAATTATCCAGATGGTGAGCCAAGGGAAATATTAAATTGAAACAAGGAAAACGGTGGGGCACATAACACATAACTTGTGCCCCATCGTTTTCCTTGTTTCAATTAAATAATTATGTTACTGTTATGTATGCCCTTGACTACCTGCCAAGCTTGTATTATATAACACGGCAGCCATATTTTATTCTGTGCATGGAGGCAGAGGTGCTAACCGAATTACAGGAAGTGTTTTGGGTTCATAGCGATCATTCTACAAACAATATGATCCCAGGGATTTACAGATTAGACTATTGCATGAGGGCCGTGAAGAGTACATGCGCATTCGGTGTCCATGAATCGTTTTTCAGTGTCCAAACAACAAAACTTGGACAAAACATGTGGCTGAATACCAGAAAGGGAAAGACTATCCACAAGCACCCGGCACAGTGTCATCAAGTAGGAAGCTTGTGAGACACTGGCAATATGTGTTGGGATATATATGCAGCAGCAGCAGCATGCTGGTCAAGGTCATGGTATGGACTAACTTGAATTTCCCTGTCATCAGGGAAGAAAAAGGTCAACACTTTGCTGGTCTCACCGGCCAGCCAACTAGCTTCAAAGTAGGAGTTGAGTTCACTCTTCAAGAACAGCTGTCCATCTGCTTGCGTAACGCTGGTGGTAGCTGTTGCCGTTGGTGATGTGTTACATATAGTACTGTGCGACCATGCCTGCAATGTTGCCATGGTCACATCATAGCTGTCGAGGCTGCATAGTGCAGTCATGGCAACCAGGGCAAGCGCCAGTGTGCGAGTTACATGTAAATGGCAGTAAGCTCTCACCAGTCCTGCACCACCAAACACACAAACACACACACACACACACACACTGAGGATACAATAGGGCTTGAAAGTGCTACGTCACAACTATAACAGCACTGACTTTTTCGGATCCACTTGGGTCCAGTTTTCGAATGGATCCGTACATGTTTCGTTGGTTTCCTTCACAGCATAGTGACACTTCCACTGGTAGTAACTGAACTAGACCCTCCCCGTCAGAGACTCACTCCTGGTACAGAAAAATCACACCTACATGTATGTGCGACATTGGTAGGGAGTTCAGTTCCGGTCACTGAAAAGCGAAAAATGCAGTCACAGCTCGCCTGTACAAAGTGAATGGGCGCCTCGTGACTGCAGTTCGAGATGCAGTTCGAGGCCCGAGTATCTTCTCCCGCGGCCTTTTCGGCCTTGTCGATGCTATTTTTAGGTAGCTGAGGTCATTACCTTTCCAATGGTGCCACACATGCCATGCTTCCAAAAATAATGCCTCCGCGCTTGGCGCGGATGCACTTCGAAGTACTAATTTCGACCAGATCCGTACTCGGCCCCGCGAGGAACACCCGATTTTCGTGTTCAGCGGCCTCGAATTAGCCTAAACCAAGAGGATTCTAGAACATTGAGGCTCGCGCTTTATCGCGGTAGAAGATGATCACAGAAACCAGCCCACGGCGATTTCCTGGTGGTAGACGAAAAAATCGAGTGAACTGCGCACACACTGTAGAAGCAGTGACGGTGAAAACGTGTGACTTGTGCAAGTAGGCGCGCACGGCGTGCACACTGCACTGCATGCATGCACACATCCTGTATCGCCGTGTATGCACCAGATAGTGCAGTGCTGGACGGAAACCACACGGCTCACATACATACTTGCATCTACTTCTGTGACTACTTTCTCCCCCGTTTTCCGATCTTCAATCGACTATAACTCTAGATTGCCTTGGAATTTTGGGTTCAACTTTTCACAGGTTGTTTCTCACATCTTCCCGGTTTAGAAAAACTAGCGTTTTATGCAAAACTCGCGAATTTGGTTTTTCGATTGAAGTCCCTAACATTGGGCCTTGGGGGTCCACCCAGCACATCCTATACTTCGCTGTGGGCAGAGTGGATCCAAAAGTCAGCATTTGTCGTTAGATTTTGTCATTTTGACTTCTGAAGATTGATGACGTCATCGCTTTCAAGTCCTACAGTAGACTCGTACGCCCAAGAACGTCCAGGCTGGAAATCTAAGAACGCCCCAGCCTGGATTTAAGAACGAACTCCAAGATTTTTAAGAACGCGACATTTTTTGGTATTTCACGTTTCCGAGTACACGAAAAACAAGTCCGCAACCACAAACTCTTGTCGGGTCCTCGCGAAAACATCACCCAGTGCAGCGCTACATACTACACGTGCATGTAAAGTGTACAACCGGTACATGTAGCGCAAAGTGTCATGTTGTACGAGCGTCACGGTACGGGTCATGTTGGACGCGTAAGAACGCGAAATAAGAACGTAGCCTGGGGCGCTGAAAAATAAGAACTTTGCTAGGCTGGCCCTCTGAAACCGCGGTTCTTGGGCGTACGAGTCCACTGTATACTACTATAATTATACTTGTAGTGCTGATCAATGAAATCAGATCAACAGAGTGCATCCCAAAAGTCGGTACTTCGTTAGATTTTGACATCCAGTGGCGCATCACCACCAGCTTCTTTGTATCATGCAATCCATCGGGACAGGCACAATCAAATCAAAAATTGGCACGAAAGGAGGATTGCTGCCAGCAGAAACTCACCATGCTGTACACATGCTTGCATGACAACGTGTGACATACAACTTCTCACATCCATCTGCTCATCTTGCAAAAGCTGTACAGCATGAATCCATGCCGATAACTTGACTTGACCTTGACGCAGAGTGAGAGTAAGGAAATGGAAGCAACACAATAGTCGTGTACAAGTGCTCATCAAGATAATTGAGATACACAGCAGCAGCTAAAGTTCTCTACAGCAGCACTACAATGGAGTGTAGAGAGGTGTGTTGGCTGGTGATGCTGCAAGTAGGAATTACAGCATACGTACCCCTGCACACCATACACCCACTGATACACCATGCACAGACCGACTACAACGTGCCAAACGCATGTGCGATGTACCTGCAGGCAGTGGCACTTCCACTATACTACACCACACCACACCACATAACATAAACCTCGACATAACACACGCTACGGCGCGGTCCCCGACGTGCGCACTCTCGATACAACGTAAATTCACGTGCACGGTACGATTAAGCGGTAGCTGTAGCTAGGCAGTTTAGGCCAGTTTAGTCCTACATAACGTAAACCTCGGCATAACGCACCCTATGGCGCGGTTCCCGACGTGCGCACTCTCGATACAACGTAGATTCACGTGCGCGGTACGATCAAGCTGTAGCCTGTCGTCGTAGTTAGCCAGTTTAGTCCTATTGTGCATAATATTATATTCTGCGGCATTGATGGTATCTGATGTCGATGGTGGTACAGTGTGTATATGTTTGCACGGTTAAACCCGCCTTGTAATACCCTTCATGCCTAATGACTTACTTGGTAAGACACAGGATTGAAACACCTGGCCGATACTCTGCGCAGCCAGCATACGCAGTTGCCATGACAGCGCTAGGTCAGATGCCTGCTTCAATGAATCCAACCACTGCACAACAGCAACAACAGAACATGCATGAAATGTTACTATGGTAACTACGGAGAAACAGTTCAGTTCTACATTAGTCTGGATAGACACATGCTACTTGTAGGGAATGGTGTCCGTGGAACCTCCTCTGCAACCGCTCTCTGGTGAGCAGTTCAGCCTCCGGTTTGCGTCCTTAGAGGACAATGCGCGTTTCGACATCGCTGCCAGTGGGGTTTGGGGTGGCCGGTTCGAACGCACAATGTTGGATTTATACGGGTTCTCAACCCCTATGCTGCTTCGAATCGCGCTGCCTCAACCTCCGCTGTTTATGCCCGCCGTGAACGTGAGAGGTCCTTCACGTCCCGCTACCTCCAGCGAGATCCAGTAATTTTGAAAGGTGCGTGGACCGAGTTTCACTCGTTTTATCAGTGTATTACTATATAGTTATCAGTATATTACTACAGTGAAACCTCGTTAGGAAGAACACAGATAAGACAAATGCTTGCTTAAGAAGAACTAGTATTCCTAACTCCATTGGATAAATCACTGTGTATTCACTGGGAATAACATACGGATAAGAAGAACTCCCGTTATTGCGAACAAATATCATCGGTCCCTTGGTGTTCGTCCTAAAGAGGTTTGACTGTATATAGTTATTGTACAGTACTGTGCACACTATAGTGAAACCTGGTGTAAGCGACCACCTGCTTTTAACCTGCTTTTAACCTGCTTTTAACCTGCTTTTAACCTGCTTTTAACCTGCTTTTAACGACCGTTTTTCCATCTGCCCCCGGGGAAAATTGCGAAAAAAATCGCAAAAACGCGGGGAAAAACGCGGCATAATATGGCATAATTTGCGGTGAATTTGCGGTAAATATGCGGTAAATATGAGGTGAATAATATTGATGGGCGGCAATTTTCAGTGAGTATGTAGTGAAATCAATCAGTTACAAGTCTCTGGTGTAAGCACTCGTCATATTTGAGTAAAAAGCCGCCACGATGAGACGTTGCTGACCGAACAGTGCACTGTGTGTACGTGTAGTGCAACAAAAAAGTTCAAAAAACGCGGGAAAATCGCGGAAAACGCGGTCTTTAAAAAAATCGCAAAAAACGCGGAAAAAAACGCGGCCGCGGAATCGCAATTTTCCCCGGGAACAGTTCCATGCACGGACAGTTCTACATAGAAACTGCACTGGATACAGCGACCACCTGCCTTGCTTGTGTTGATGTTTTAGAGTACACTCGCTCTTTATCATTTACTCTGAAATATAATCGATATAGTATCAGGAAACGAAATATCCAACCGCTCCCCCTCAGACCATAACAAGTGTTGACATGCTTACACAACAAAAGTCACGACTCACAAGTGTGTCACTGCTCGTACTTCCATAAGCACATGTTGATGTTTTCTGAAAGGAAAGCTGTGCAGGCGGAGGGGGGGGGGGGGGAGGAGGACATCCATCTAAAATATGCCCATCGCCTATTGTTTCTATCATTTCTCATTCTCTTCGGCAGTATTGCAGGGACTCGACACGCTCTAGCTTCTCAAAATGACACTATGACTATGGGGATACATGTTGCCTCCCACCTGTTGCCATGCATCCTGTGCACCATTTGGATGGTGCTTCGGGTGGGAGGAATCAGCAACAACTCACTTTTGTCCCTTCAACTCAATGCAAACAGGCATTTTGGACAATCAATCGTTCGGATAATAGGCACTCTACTGAGTGCGTTCGATTACACACTTGAATCGATTCATGAATCCATTCGCATGCATTCAAGTCGTTCGATTTCATGTCAGGAGCCCTGGAATCGATTCGGAATCCATTCACTCTATTCACATGGGGTGATGTGAATAGCGCGAATCGATTCATGAATCGATTCGTGAATCGATTCGCGTGCATAATCGAACGCACTCACTGTACCGTGGATACCCCTGTTTCAGTAGTTACTTACTGTTGTCCACATATCATCCTCAACTGCCAAAGCATTTGATGAACGTAGCAGAGTTGACATGAACAAGAAGACATGACCAAAGCACTCCCAGCTGCAGCAACAAACAGCAATTCATGGGGGAAGCACAAAAACATAGAAACCAGGTGACCGGTTAAACTTCAACAACTATTGAAGTTTTACCTCACATCTGTACATGAGTTTATACAGATGTGAGGCATGCCCCCCCCCCCCATTCCCTCACAAAAGCAAGTGGGCAAATGAGCCCGGGAAGAGTACTAAGACCTGCATTTCGTTCCATTCTGCCCGCATCCACATGAGTTGAATTGACCTTTCGTTGCTAGCCAAATCGCCCGCATTATATGTTTGAGGGCACGAAAATTGGCAACTGACAGGCAAACCAGTAAACACTCAAGTCGTCGGAAAACAGAAATAACAGAGGAGTTTTCTGCAGAGCAAGATTTGAACAGCACACGCGGAAGAGTGGTGCACCGGATGCACATGCGCATATTTAGCAATGACATCGCAGTCAGAGGATGCATGATCATCAGACTAGGTATGAGTGGTAGATGTTCCACGTTCATTAACAGGGCTTAGCGCACACGCTAAACCACCGTAAATATCCAAGCAGCCAGTCATGCTGTATAAGGTAGTGAGTAGCCATGCCATAACAGCTAACACACCATAACAGGGCCTTCATGCGTACAACTTACTTCTGGTGTCCTCTTTTCAATAGGTTACAGCAGCGCACGAGCAACTACACAGCAAGAACACATACATGATACACAAGATCACAACGCCATGAGACATCCAAACACATCTTGGACGAGAAGTCAATCTGAAAATAGAGCCACACTTCACTCTCCACAAGAAATACAGCTGTACAGAAACGAAACAACAAAGATAAATCTCCAGTACAAGGAAGAAATACTCACCATTTTCAGCATGTCGCATGTCATACCACTCTTCCCCTCCATCCTGTCCAGCAGTAATGAGCAACATTGCGACAAGACATCTGCAGTCTACATACAAAGGCAATACAGGGAAAAAGTCATGTCTCAATATGTGCAATACAGGGCATAAACAGGCGTCGTGGAGACAAGAAACCTAATATCGATAGAAATAAAGTGAACGCATTCATACCACGCCACCAGAAGAACAATAGGTAGGGATCTCCACTCCACTCCACACATTCACTTTATGTTACCATAATTTGGTACTATAGTATTTCCTTTGTACTAGTCCAACTCTCAGTGTGACGAAGATTTCTGATGATTGTCACATGAAAACGATGCTAAAATCCCTACATATTGTTCTACTGGTGTTGTGTCATGAATGTGTTCACTTTATTTCTGTTGATAATACAGGGTATTACATAATATTATCGATAATAGATATCAATAAACTGTTGAACGGTACCTTTCGGCTGTTGAATAATACAAGAAACTAACTCTCCTCCTCCATGCGCTCTAAAGCCGACCATTGCTACCCTCGGTAGCCATTACTCACACCAATAACTTCAAACAACGAAGGGGTCACGGGTAAAACATTTCCTTCTGACAGCTGTTTCGCCTATCAAAGGCTCGTCAGAGAAGGTGATACTGATATTGTAATTGACATGACGAGCCTTTGATAGGCGAAACAGCTGTCAGAAGGAAATGTTTTACCCGTGACCCCTTCGTTGTTTGAAGTTATTGGTGTGAGTAATGGCTACCGAGGGTAGCAATGGTCGGCTTTAGAGCGCATGGAGGAGGAGAGTTAGTTTCTTGTATGATAATAGATATCTTAAAAGAAACAGCCGAATGGTACCGTTCACAGTTTTATTGATAATACAGGGAATGGAGATAAAAAAGTGGAAGTATTCCAGTGACAGTTGCAGTGATGGAAAAATAGAACACAGCTATCGAATCGGACTGTCACCCACTAATGCTGGCAACTCCATCACAATGAATGTTGTACATTGCAAACGGACACTGGAGAATACCTACTCACTCGTACATGTACATGTATGTGCGATTTTAGAACAAGTGAGGTGACATACCTTCTGTATACACAATGGATGGAGATTCTCATCAAGGAATAGCTCCATTACTGCCGACAGACAATTCAACAATTGCTTTGACGGCTGTAGGATCAGCGCTGGGCTGGACTCATAGTGATCTGCCTTGACAAGAGTACCTTCCTGCACAAACACACACCACATGCAGTATCAATGTCAACCATGCCAATACTGTAACAGTCTTGTCAGTAACTGAACGAACTCTAAACAACTTGTATCTCCAGGTACAATCTAGACTGGAGGATGGAAGGTGAATGAAATGACAGCTATAGTCGGCTACAGATCTCAATGTCAGGTGTTTGAAGACAGGACCTAGGGAGAGAGTCATAAATTCATACTTCAGTACCCCAATCCACTTACGGAGGACCTCCGTTAGTAGAGCGCCATTTACGCACTCAACGTAGACAACTTTCCGTAAGTGGAGTGCAAACTCGCAAGTTCACAGGTTTTTCCTGCCCACTTACGTAAAGTTGCTCAACTTTACATGGTGCGGAACCTCTCTAGTGTCATACCTCGTCATCATTACGGCCTGCACCACGACAGCTGTCATCTCCGCCACCACTGCCGCAGCTGATGGCATTCTTTCTCGTGAACATAGCACACACCGATGAATAGTAGTCCAAAGTGGCAAGCTGAGTCTCATAACACGGTGAGTGCAACAAGGCATTCATCACGTCTTGTTTCTTTCCAGCCGCTGGCTCCTTTCCACCTGCACATGAACAAACACCAAAAAAACAACAACACATGGTACAATATCAAGTATGCTTTGAAGTGAAGAAGACAATGTGAAGCAGAGCATTTTTAAGGTCCGACAGAAAAGACGTACACAATCTGAAGAATACCTGCCCGGCAGTAAATCCTGTACAGACTACAAACCATGTAAAAGCAAGTTTCAGTAAATGACAGTGCGCAGTCAAACAATAACACTCAGTTAGCAACACTGGCCCAGCCTGGGATGTCAGGTGTTTAACTTCAGCCTAAAACATGCTATGTAGACCTTCATACAACAATCAACAGCCCTCTTACTGATACTGCTAGTGTGCAGTAGAATATGAATTCTTTCCTTCGCTTTTCGTAGCGATAGCATGGGGAAGCGCAGCATGCCTCACCATTCTCACTGGTCTCTCCAGATAGACAGGACATCTGTTCACCTTGCCTGTCCAGTAGTACACGAGCGAGACTTGTGGATACTTGGTGATCAGCCATATGTTCAGCGGCTCTCCCGGGGTGATGTGTGTCTGTGTCAGTGCCATTGGTACTCTCCCCTGCACGTTCAGCCCTCGGTAGTGGCGATGCATCCAGCGCATACTGTTCAGCAACGGTGCAGACGTATTGGCGGATACGATGCTGTGCAGACAGAACATTGTCATCAGCCACCTCACCTGCAATAGACAATACAGCACACACACACACACACAATACCAATCACGGAAGGCCATTGGATGCCAGGTGCATGTGTAGCAGAACTGCCATTGGGCCATGTGTTAAACTGCCGGGTACCCCAACAAGTCAAGTTCAAACAGACGCACATACACACACGCACGCACGCACGCAACCCCCCCCCCCCCCCCACACACACACACACGCACGTGCAGACACTAAGGTCTGGATTTGTACAACTCAAGGCATACAAGGCACAAAACTAGCTGTAGGCTTACAGGTATGAGCATGATCAAATCAGGCAGTTAAGTCTGTCCAGTGACATTAAACTCTATGAGTGACAGGATGAAGCACACTTCACAGAGCAAACTAATCACGGTGTTTTACTATTGCACAGCCATCTGGCCTTGAATCAGCTACACAAATATCAAACTGCAAGGTAAACGAAGCTGTGCAATCTAGAAGATGCAAAAAGCCAGTGACAGCTCATGCAATGTGAATTGCCTCTATCTGCCTGCAAACAACGTTATCTCACATCTTGCAAGTCTGTACTACCTCCTCTCAGCATCAGAGGCGACAGAACAGGCTTGCAAAGATGTGGCGGGACGTTGTTCGTGGCTATATAGAGGCTGTAATGTTTGGCATGTGTTGACCACCATTCTACAGACAGTGATCACTCTACTTACTGGTAAGTGTGCAGCAGCACTTGGCAAACAGCTGTACAGCCAACGAGCGCACTAGACTGCACGCGTTCTCACTGCAACAACAACATCAACAACAAACGCATACACATCAAACAGGCAATGTACGCTATTTGCTCTTTGATGACTGACCAAGTGCCATGAAACTCTGAGTAACCCCTGAATCAAGTTTCCCACCATTGTCAACTTATGCTGCAAGCTCTACTTCGTGTAGGGAGCACTCTTACAAGACAAGGGTACTTTGGCTTTCTGTGTGGATAGTCAAATTTAGCAAGCGGGCCTTAGCGGATACCCAGTACCCAGTAGATACTTCAGAAGTACATGTATGTCAAGTGCAGTGCGCTCAGCTGCAGTATTAGTGGAACCAGAAAGTATCTACCAATACACGCTAAGACTTGCAAGGTCGGGGAATGTCCAGTGACATTGAACTCTATGAGCGACAGGAGAAAGCACACTTCACAGAGCAAACTAATCACGGTGTTTTACTATTGCACAGCCATCTGGCCTTGAATCAGCTACACAAATATCAAACTGCAAGGTAAACAAAGCTGTGCAACCTAATAAAGACAACCACCAATGGCCAATGCAACACTTCACCTTCCAAACATGAAATCAGATTTCTACTCATGATTACCTGGTGACAAGCCAACGTCTTTCCCAGATTAGTGGAAGCAGTCGGTGTATAGCAGAGAGTGCTGCACTGCTTGGACACTGGTCAATGTGATACTTGACCAGATGAAACAACTACAACATGGACAAACACATGCAAATACACACACACAAACACACACACACACACACGCACACACCCACCCACACACACACGTACACACACACACACACATGCACACACATGCACACACATGCACAATGCACAACCCTCACATGCATGCATGCACATAGAAAAATGAATTACACATGAACAGTGCTCTCTCGGCTAGTGGTACCTTCAATGACATTGTCTGAACAGTGCATGTGATGTACAAAGGCTATCTAGACTGGTGCATGGCCATGGCAAACCAGCTGGGTGAGCTGTACAATCTACTTCGAAGTAGACAACGCCTGCTATTTGTATTTTCCCTCAGAGAAGGGGGGGGGGGGGTATACACACGTTATGTACATGCATAATTATGTAAAATCGATGACTACCGAATTGGGTGATATGGGTTGGTGCACTTCAATTTGTAGTCTTCTTTTATTCCAAAATCAGTTCTACATAACCAGACGGTAAGCAGCTGCATTCGGCCGTTGAAAGTTTCTGCGTTGGCATTCACCACCACCATTGCGCTCTGTGGCCGACCACCTACGCACACTCACTTGCCCACAACAGCAACACGGGGTTCCTTCGAGCATTGAAGTCTTAGTGACTGAAACAGCTGCCAGAAGGAATACAACTTCAATGCTCGAAGGAACCTCTTGTTGCTGTTGTGGGCAAGTGAGTGTATGTACGTGGTCGGCCACAGAGCGCAATGGTGGTGGTGATTGTCAACGCAAAATCTGTTCTATTCTACTCTAGTCTACCAAGTAGCCAACACAAACACCGCCTAAAGAATCCAACACAAACACAGCTGAAAGGACATTGGAGCATATGCAACCTACATGTAGTCTGCCTGTCTCTTACTTGCAACAGTGTTCCATGAAGAGTGTTGTAAGATATCTTCTGTTCATTCTGCACTGTAGCGGTACCAGTAGCAGTAGTGGGTAGCGAGGATACTAGCATCTGCATGACACTGTACAGCTCATCAACAGATACCAGAGGCACCAGGGACTCTGCAGCCATTACTCTAGCCTGCCAGACGCGTACACCACAGCACCTGTGCAGCACAGCGACGACAGCGACGACACCACCACCAATCACACCAATCACAGCATGTAACAACTAGGATCCACGAGGAATTTACTGTCACAAAGAGCTCGATTCAGCGTACAGTAACCACAGCACAGGGCACTACTGTCGTCCACGGCAGGAGCAGTGCTGACACCAGCATTGGCACATGTTGCATTAGTGTCTGCGTTGCTCCACCTGTGGTATCAGTATCTGCAGTGTCAGCTGTGACAGTAGTGGCAGTAGTATCTGCAGTGTCAGCAGTGGCAGCTGTGTTATATCAGTGTCAGCGGTGACAGCAAAACATGTGAAGGGCAGTGTTTTTTAAGTACTGTCATGGACATGGAAATCTGGTCGAATAACGCGGGGCCGGCGTCTTCAGTGCGTACAGAACATTGCATACAGTGCACGTGTTGATCGTATTCATACACACGGCTGCATGGCCAGCGCCCTGGGCAGCTTGATCTCCCACTAGATTTCCATGTCAACGACAGTACAAGTAACTAGTTCCCAGAGTGACAGTGAAGGACTGTGTCTCCCAACTCCTTACAGTCACACTGATGCTCTGTGGTCACATGAAAGCCTCTGCAAGATCATTCTGCTGGTGTTCTGATCTAGATCAAAACACTGTGTGTATGTGTATGTGTATGCGGCGGTCATCACAGGTTATCGGTGTCCAACAAGCATAACACGTCAACAGATGTCTGCATTTTTACCTCATTACAAGTGGTGTGAACGACTGAAGGGAAAACGATGACACGGACGGAATAAGATGTGAGAGTAGCAGTAGCAGCGGAAACAGTCTCGGCTCCAGCATGCTAGTAACACACACACACACACACGCACACACATACAGACACACACGCACGCACATGCACATATAGCAGGTGTAAAGAACAGAAAACAAAACTCCCAAGCTGTGCATGCACAATGACATTGGCAGTGCTGAACTAAACATGATGAGCAGATGGACACTGGCTGCTAAAACAAAATTAATACAAACACACGCTGGCCAGCTGATGCAAGCAATGTTACCAGTTTCCATACTTGGGTTAACAGCAAACGCTTGAGCTGTAAAATCTGGCTATCATCACAGCTCTGGTACCTATGTCTTGGTCTAATGACATGTCAGTTGGCATGAACCAGTGAGACCCCTGCACCCTTGCAGCCTACAGCCTACTTGTATTACATAAAATAAAGTTGCAGCCTGCATACAAACGAAATTAGGGGCTCCGTTCCCCCTCTGTTTATACTTCTACCCAACTCAAAAACCGAAAAAGGACCTAAAAACTAAAGGCGCTCTGATGCAATGTACTGAGCAAAGGTGTCGCGAACAGAAGCGTACCTTCCGCAAGTATTGGCAGCATCAGAGTGAGGGCTGTGCATGTCACTTTGCACAGCTTCAGTGAGCAACTGCAGTAGCCTAGAGTAGAGGTCAGGATATCTTGCAAAGAACTCACGACCTGTTAGCCTGCACAACACCACCGAAAAAGGACATACTAGAACAGACACAGTACAGTGTGCAAATGTACATCGCATCCTAATCATGGACACGTGTGTATATTTACATGTACACTCAAAAGTCCTATACATCCACACACGAACACACCCACCCACACACACACACACACACACACACACACACACACACATGTACACACACACAAACACACACACACACACACACACACACACACACACACACACACATGTACACACACACAAACACACACACACACACACACACACACACACACACACACACACACATGTACACACACACACACACGTACACACACACACATTTACGTGTATACCGGTACCTACATGCCCACTATTGTCCACATAGTTACATCCTTCCACTGACCTGTTTGTTTTAGGCTGACCAGGCCTGGCGGTATTGACACCAAATATACGGCCGATCAGGGCACGGAACAGCAAAGTGCTGGAGTTACGGATCTACAATGAAACCAACATCAAGTAGCGCAAACAACCTGAAATGAAACTGCATGATGGAGCTGGCTGTCATGTGCTGGTTATATGTAGAATGACGGAGCTCTTTTCCAAATCATTCCTTTCTAGTAAGTGCATAACTGTCGGGCAAAGTCGGACATAGATTAAATACATCATTTGTTCAAGAAGCTGCCACCCTTCTATATACCGGTAACACGAATACAGGAGATATGAGGCTGTTTTGCAACTTTAAGTCTCAAGCTGCCCCAATTGTGTATATATACCGGTACCATCGCTTACATCAAGTCAGAATAATGTTGGCACAAATCTGCACATGCAAACTCTCAGCTTCCTCCTTGAAAACATATGTGCCAGCACAATGCAACTTTCTTTCGAGGCAAATACTGAAAAAGCTTCAAAAAGACACTGAAAACCCCTCTCCGGGCAAAGATCTTCAATCACTAAATCAATCGAAGAAAGTAAGCTGTTGCAAACTTACCGCCCACACGGAATGTGCAAATCCCTGAATAGCCAAGATGAGGGCATCGGCTACAAACGGCAAGATATGAGGCCCTAGCTTTGCCTCACGGAACAGTGCGCACATGATGTTGATAGCATGCACCTGGAAATTATAGAAATAACAAATACAATGACATTGTTATACCAGAAGAGTAGAGGTGTGTTGAACAAAATATAAGCACAGTGCTTGTGATAGAGAAAATACGGTACATCAAGGTTACTAAGTTCCTTCCAGAAGCTGAGCCATAATAGTATACTCAAAGTATGTAGTGCAGAGCAGCCTGTGAAGTGTTAGTATACATTATACATGTACAACCATTACTTCTTCCCTTTCACGCTATTCACAGTACATGTCCATGCTAACTCTTTGACAGTACTTTCTGGAGTGTTCCAGCCTGGCTGGTCAACAACTATACTATATCACTCATTCCCCCATCACAGGAGAAACGTGTGTGGGAGACTACGCTGCTGAAGTGCTGCTAACCTGAGATAAAGCGGTGTCAACCGTTTCCCCTGCTTCAACTGGCTGCGATACCAGGTGCATCAGCTCTACAGAAAAGAAAGAACCAAACAGTGCAGCGAGTAACGGCACAAATTCAACTCGTCAAAAGTAGCACATGACATTCATATACTGGAAATCCACATTGGGAAAAAAACATCACATTCCACTGCAGGTCACCAAATAAAATTCTAAAACTGTCCTCATCAGTTTTCGATCTAGTTAAAACTTGAACTAGCCTGTACAGTAGTTGAGTAGAATTGAGAATGTGAATACATGCTCTACTTTGTACAGTACTCAAGAACTTAGTACAGTTCGGAGGCTACCGGCAAGCACTTACCTTGAACTACCAGTTTCAAACATGAGAAGTTTTGACTAGATGGCTGTGTAATCAATATAGCCTGAATGCAAGGCACAGATGCAGGCAAGCACGTGTCAAGACTCACAAACATAGGTTAATAGTGATGAGTGACAATGTAGTGCAGCAGCCACACAACTACTCAGTATATTGGGTACCAGTGCTAGATGTAGACGGTTTGCTTCACCATCGGAAACGGCGCAAAACATGTTTCGAAATTCAGCCATTGCCAGTTTTTATTTATTTTCCCCTTCCCGTAGCCAGGGAATATAGGCCAATATGGAGGGAGGGGGCGATAGCCTTTTTCTCAGAATGCACACATGCACGCGCATGCACACACCAACACACACCCACGCACGCACGCACACAAGTGAAAACTATTGATGCGCCATACTGGGTTGATAAGCAGTGTGCAATATTACATAGACCTAGGCTTTGTTGGTTTGTTTTCATTTTCTTTCATTTCCGTCGTCTCCGATGAGTGCATCCTAATAAACATGCTCAGATAGTACCGTGTGTGTTCACGATACCAGCACATACCTGCACATATCTAGGTAGACCAGCACTACGGCGTGTGACAGACAGAGCACTATCACTGCAGGACAGTGATGCTCTCAGGTCATCAAGCAATGACCTGACCCACTCCAAAGGTAGCTGATTCAGACTGGGGTCGGAACACCTGCAGCACAGAACACATGTATTTCTACCAGGGCATACATACAGACTATGTGAGGCATCATGTAGCCCCTGTCTATCTCATGATCATCACCAATAATCAGGTCTCGGTGCAGTTCACCGTGCCTACAACGAAAGGAGCAACTCTCACCAAACAGTACAACCCTTGCATGGATTTGTCAGCCCTCATTCTAGCATAGGTAGTTTCAATACTATCCAACACCCTAGCAAATTTTTTTAAGATCAACAAGATACATGTACTTATGAGCAGAATTGTTGAGTGAAGAGCATTCACTTCACAATGACAAAATTCCCAAAGACTAAAGGACCAAAATTGGCAAAACACTGCAGGCCTGGTGATATACGAGAAATGAATTACAATGTGGTTATGACAAACCTTTGCAACAGAATAGTTCAAGCTACACCAGAAACCCCTGCCAACGTGGATAGAATGTATACTGACACTTACCTCCACAAATGCTGGCATAGGATTACAAAGCCATTGTGTACTTGCTCAAAGGCACCAAGATGTCGAGAGGATATGAGCTGCTTCACAAAGAAAGCTCCAACCTCTTGCACCTGTGGCACAAAACATCAGCAGTGCAGGACGACAGCACATGACCTTGAGACAAGAGCTGACTGGCTAAGCTTGGTTGGCATGGGGGGGGGGGGGGAGGAGAAAACAGAGATGGATGGGGAGGTGAAGGAATTTAGGTGTCTCTGGCACTGTGAAAGATTCGTGAATACCAAGTACGTAATAAGAGTACATGTGCGCAAATTGCAGCCCATACTGAAGGCTGAGTGCACACAGCAGTTTTAATACAGTCAAGTAGTGAACACGACAGCACTGTACCTGTGCAGCAGAAAGCAGGACTAGATCTAGTTGTGTCTTGCACATGACATTGGGCACACTGCACACTTGCAACAGATGAGCAAGTAGAAGTGCTGACTCCTTCAGACACCGCCAACTGCACACGACCACCAGCTGGGATTGAAAATCTTTAGCTGCCAAGTCAGGATTGGCTGATAAACCAGCATCTGAGACTAAAAAAGAAAAGGGAGTGAGAGTGAGAGATAGACAGGCAGGCAGACAGACACACAGACACACAGACCGACCGACAGACAGACAGACACACAGACAGACAAAAGCGTAAGTAAGAGAAAGGCAGAGAGACGGAGCACTAATAGTGTGTCATAGGAATGTTGTGAACCAGCACAGACGACAGCAAGAACACATAAACAGAGCGTGCGACTACGCACGCGAGTTTGGAAAAGCAGACTTTGCATGGCGGACTTCTGGCAGAATTTTTAGAAAGAAAGTGCATCGTATACCCCAGAAAACACGGTCCCTTGAGTGGTTCAGATCTACAACTATTAGTGAGGAACACTTGCTTCACTCGTCACAAAATTGTTCAAGTATAAAGCAAGGCCCCAGCAAGCCATGGTATGCAGACACTGCACTGACATGGTCCAGTCTACATTATAGATTATAGATTGTGAGTCGTTTGGATTTAGTGCTGATGGTGGTATATGCTTAACCTATAGACACACAAACATGATTCATCACACACAATCAACTTACCTTCATCCACACAGTAGCCTTCCGGTGTATCGTTACACACAACTGGCTGCACTACACAGGCAAGCTGAATGCACATCTTAATGCAGTCACGCAAGAACTCGGCAGCTTGGCCGGACTGAGACTGGTCAGCTGATAGCTGCTGGATAAGCTTGGCAACAGATGGTTGCGAGAGCATGGATCGTAGTGACATTACTAGACCATACAGTGAGCATTGGGAGAATGACGCTAGCAACCCTACAGCACAGCAGTGAACAACACGTCACAATCACAGACATCACATTGCAGATGCACAATGGAACATAAAATCCACACCGCATAGCTCTGAAATTAGTGTCCATCTTTGGTTGATTTTTAACAAGCACATACACAAACACATTGCCCAAATGAGAAGTATTGCTCTGCAGCCCTGCCTACATCAATTAACTCACCTTGCGACTGGGCGATGGCAAGCCGATGATTGATGCATGACAAGTACTGCTGCCAGAGCTTCAACATACGGCCATGAAGTGGAATCTGAGCAGCTCCTGATATACTACGAACACGATTTTGTGCATCTACAGTGCCAGTGCTGCTCTCCAGCTGTTCTTGGGGAATAGTTAGCACAGGAGCACTTGCGGACTGCCCTGATGCAAGAGGGCATGAGAACAGCTCCACTGAAAGCTCCAGCTCAGCTTGGCAGCACTCCACAAAGTTCTAAACACAAGAGAGTACATCAGAATACATGTACACGGATGTACGCACAATATATCAACGAGAGCACAATAAAAGTTATCGCCAAAGTCACACCAACCTCTTCGAGAGCACAATAGATGACAGAGTCAAAGCAGCCAAAAGAATCCCGGTGTGCATGCACTGGCAATGTTGCGCAGGTGTAAGTGTGGCTATTATTGGTGATGCACTATGATAACAGCACAATCACTTACCTTGATAATGATTTGCAGTAGATACTGGGAAGTCGTACAGTCCTCAGCGCGGGGGCTGGATGCTAACCAACACATGCACTGGATGTAGGAGTCACGGTACACTGCGTTCTATGCAACACAGAGAAACACCGGCCACGTGCACCACATTCAAAGGACACACAGTTATCATGCATGGAAAAGTCGATATTGATACTGATGATCTGATTGCCAGCTGCTCACCTGAGGAGCTCAACACCCTAGAGACCCAGCCAGGTGCTATTGCCTTCACCCTGTGCGCATACACCAGCTGCTCAAAATTACAAACAACACTACCGATGTTCTCGGATGGAGAGCCAAGTATAGAAAAGAAAAAGGGACCAAGGAACTACAAGAGCTGAGCTGATTGTTAGTAACTGGTGGTGTAAGTGGACAATATAGCCTAGCTTGTACTTCCTTGGTCCCTTTTTCTTTACTACCGATGTTGTGAAGACATAAAGAAATTCGATACCGCTAACATCTGAACTGTGTTGTTGGGAAAAATAAAAACAAAGTAGAAAATGATGTGTTTCGCTCTAATAATTATGGAATGTGGGCAGCAAGCATGCTGTCCATGAGCTACTGCACCTCACACTCGCTTGTACGCGGGCAATACTGGCTTGATACATAACCTCACGGCTGACACCGTTCAGTCATGTATCAGCCGGCATTGCTCTTGTACTCACTCGTACCCAGGCACTAAATCATACGTATAGACCACGCTTCGCCAGGGGAATTTATATTTGTGTTACTACAGGAGTTTACATACTGCTAGTAACTCTAGAATGGAAAGGACCGGCAATCCCAGAAGTCGAGAACACAATACTTTAAAGTTAAAACCTCATATTCGACAGGATAGTTGGCAACATTCTACCCACGTTCCACGCCGAACGCAGTGGCATATTCAAACTTGCATGCACCATGATGCAGCCTACCTGAAATCCCAGGGAGTTACTAGGAAGAGCAACGACAAGCAGTGTGACGAGAAGTTCCTGATTGGAACTATACGATTCATTCAGTACGTTGTTGATGAGGTTCTGAACAACATGTGGTTGACTAAGAATCGCTGTGGTACTGAATGATGCAACTGGAGAAAGACAGAAGGCCAGACAAATTGCGCACAAAGCACCTACTGAACAGATGAAAGAGAGCAGGAGGGGGAGAGAAAAGGGTGAAAGTGTGTGTGTGCATGCGTGCGTGCATGAGAGAGAGAGAGAGAGAGAGAGAGAGAGAGAGAGAGAGAGAGAGAGAGAGAGAGAGAGAGAGAGAGAGAGAGAGAGAGTGAGAGAGAGAGAGAGAGAGAGAGAGAGAGAGAGTGAGAGAGAGAGAGAGAGAGAGAGAGAGAGAGAGAGAGAGAGAGAGAGAGAGAGAGAGAGAGAGAGAGAGAGAGAGAGAGAGAGAGAGAGAGAGAGAGAGAGAGTAAGTTACATTTATAAAGACAGGTAAGTCTAACAAATGAGGACTGAGACCTCTACAACAGGGTTTTTACGCCTGAAAGCAGGTGCATGATTTAACAAGCAGGTTGTCAGTCTAGATTGAGAGAGAGAGAGAGAGAGAGAGAGAGAGAGAGAGAGAGAGAGAGAGAGAGAGAGAGAGAGAAAGAGAGAGAGAGAGAGAGAGAGAGAGAGAGAGAGAGAGAGAGAGAGAGAGAGAGAGAGAGAGAGACAGAGACAGAGAGAAAGAGAGAGAGAGAGAGAGAGAGAGAGAGAGGGAGAGAGAGAGAGAGAGAGAGAGAGAGAGAGAGAGAGAGAGAGAGAGAGAGAGAGAGAGAGAGAGAGAGAGAGAGAGAGAGAGAGAGAGAGAGAGAGCGAGAGAGAGAGAACATCCCATCAACTCAAACTTACCAGGACTGGGGAAGGCATCAACAATGACGTGTAGAAGGCGCAATGCAGCAGTGCGGCGTTGAAAGCACGCAACTGGCTCAATGCATGAAATAAGCAGTTCCACCAGCCATGTTAAGAACCCCTGGACAGAATAAAATACAAGAAGATATGACGGACAAAGATGTTGGGACTTCGGCGGTAATGAGTTATAAAGAAGGTGGCTGCTCCGATTGTTGGACCTCATGCTTCCTGTCGACTGACAGGACTGACTTTATCAGGTCAGTCAGCAGGAAGCGAGAGATTCAACATTCGAAGCAGCCACCTCCGTCATAAGAAGATATGACTCGCATTTTAACAACACCAGAAAGCTAAACGAGAGAGCTTGGAAGCTCAGGGCCCTACGCTATGCTTTGTTGCTTAGCTCATCGTGCATGTTGTTAGAACTGATGGAAATATTTCCTGGGACCGGCGCTGACTCTGCCGATCACGGGCGTTCTGGAGTCGACGGGATCTCCCAACGACGTTTCCTGTGATGGCGCTGACTCGCCCGTTCACGATTATTTTGGAGACGACGGGATCTCTCTTCCAAAGTATGTTTTTGCTGACGCATCCTATCACCTATTCGGCAACTAGCGTCCATTCTAATTCCATTTCCTCCTCGTCTCCCTATTTCTTTCCAGAAAGTCTCCCTATACATCAGGGAGTCGTATACATAATACGACGAATATTGTGGTTAGCTGTTTGTGGCCAGCTGTGTTTGATGGTACGGCACGGTACGGGACAGATACGGGAGCCAGCAAATACTGTGGCCAGCTGTTTGTGGCCAGGTACGTTTGATGGTACGGTACGGGACTAGACAGATACGGGATAGCGCCAGGCGTGACACAAACAAACAAACAAACACCAAATTAAAGCTGTGTGGACCCTGGCTAGCGCCAGACGTTACTGAAGTAACGTCTTCTGCATAGCTACGGGAATAATAATAGATATGTCAGCACATCATTTACCACCATGCAACATAAATATAAAATACAGTAAATGGAACAAATGCATACCGTGAAACTCCTCTAATCAGGACTCCCAGATCCGGGCACTGCTGTCTAGCGGGCGCCTTTAAGACCACCCCTTCTTGAGTCACGGGATTGTCAGACCAGTGCCCGCTTCGAAAGGTAAACCGAAAATAAAAATTACATGAACTACTGAAGTAGTAGTTTTATATGTTACAATCTTGTACATCGCATTGTAAACCTGACATGTACAAGTCTGCCAGGAGTCAATGGTTTAGTTGATTGGCATTTTCGCATAAGTAATGTCTAGATACCTGATCTACATGTACTTTGTAGTTTCAGCGCACCACCAGAACTCACCACACACATGTCCAAATAACTCTGGTACTTTTCTAGTTGGTCTCTTCGCTTGGCAGTGTCCCGTTCCGACGGTGAAGCGGCCATACTAGCTTGTTTACGGAGCCGGTCACTCTCTCGCACCGCCACATGTAGACTGGCGTGCATACGCAAGAGTACCTAGCACGCAACATAAACCATGGTAGTGACACAAACAATGAAGACAATTTTAATATGAATTAATGTATCCACAACCAGTGTTCAGATGTTGATGCTGCATGTAATACTGCAGGAAGAAGCAAGTTTCAACCACTGGCCGACCAAGTGGTCAGATCAGGTACAAAAGGTATCCTCATTAAACATACCGGTAGTATGTGCTACCAATCTAGTACAGGGTACACGTACTCCATCACCCAAGATAGGACTTGGCAGGAATCCTACCGGTATTTGCCGTAGCTGATGCAGTGTGATAAATACAGCAAATGATCGGAAGAAGAGCCACACTAAAATACCTTTTTCATTGATGTTTCCAAACGTTGGCGAAACGACGGGTCCTGGCTGCTGAGATTGTATGGCAAGAAGAACTGCATGAGGTCAATGTCCTCCACTGACAGTGGTTCCGATGTCTGACGTGATTCGCAGAGAAGAGCCAATGCATTGAGACGTACCTGAGCATAGCGAAGGCAGTACATATTGAATACACATACTAAGGTGCATTCATGGATTAGATCACATCATCAATAAAAAGCTTCATACAGCGAAATACACACACACACATACACTACTACTACTACTGCTATCAATCAGCTACCCCTTGGGGTCACGCCGCCCTCCACTCAGAGAACTGAGCGCAAGGTGAGGGGCAGTGGTGCAAACAAAACAGGAAGTACAGCAAAATGAATTGAAAAAAGGAAATCAAAACAAGCTGCCATATTGATGGAAAGGGACTCACAAACAGAGGAAGGAAATATCACAAACCAGATGAACAGTCTGCTGTAGGTCCACTATAAGTATAACATGCAACGACTGAAAAAGGAACAAAATTAATGTGAACATGATGTTCTGTTCAACAATAACGTCTGTACGCGTACTGCTTCGGCCTTCATGCACCAGGAAAGCACCATCTTGAGCTGGAGGGTGGGCACCAAACGTCCCACAAGGGCTCCACAAGACGTACTTTCACGAAACGACGAGGAGTATGCGCAGCAAGCTAACATCACTACACCATCGCCGCACGACGACTGGCCACTCAGGTCCAAACAACACGGCAAATTCACAATTCCAGCTATCACCGCGCAGGAATAAATTGTTGCGAGTGTGACCTGTATCCTTTTTTCATCCAGGAATCCACTTGTTTTGCCGAACGCCACTGCATTGTTACAGGCTGGGGATTGATCCGAGGGCTCGCCACGCCACTGCGGAGGATGCGGAAAGGACGCAAGAAGACGGTGACGGCAACAAATTACCCGCCCTGGTCATCAGCTCACTGAATGTCCTTCCGCGCGAGCGAAACCGGCTGCAAGGCATGAAAAGCCTACTGCCAGTCAATACCCAGGGACGACCCTGACCAGAAGGCCAAGGCCGCCCCGTGGAGGAGGCCAACAAAGAGAAAACCAGGAGCTAACAAATCTGCTTCCTCTCCGCGAATTTTCACACACACACACACACATACACACACACACACACACTCTCTCTCTCTCTCTCTCTCTCTCTCTCTCTCTCTCACACACACACACACACACACATACACACACACACACACACACACACACACGCGCGCGCGCGCACAGGCACGCAAACTGACCTCATCATCACTATGAGCCAAAGCCTGCTTCAATATGCCAGCATAGTCACTCCACTGGCACATGTCACCGGTTGTTGTCTTGCTGGTGGTGCTGCTGGGATTCCTGTGCTGGTTGGATGCCATTTTCTGACGAGTACTGCCAGTCCTGATGTGATGCAGGCACAGCAGAAGAGCTGACAAGATGCCAGCGTTATCTGAGCAACAAAAATACACAATAACGCCACACCGTCACGGCACAGTATGTGGAATACGAACACAATGCAACAATTGGTTATCGAATTGAGAGGCACCTTCCGCGAAAGTGGGTACATGTACAGTGCGTATCGGTTATAGTGTGGTCGTATACAAGAATATACTGCTTACAAGAATGAACACTCATTTTTTCATAATCATAACACATATTTTATGTGTATGTTTATTCTTACAAGCAGTATTATCGCATAGTAGAATATATCGGCCCTAAGAATGGATTTTGTGTAGCAAAATATGCCAGATTAGTGCAAAGTGTATCGCCTGTAGTAATAACATCTGTGCTCTGTGCATACTCAATACAATAATATTCAACACAAAAAGAGAGTTATGTCCAAGGGAGCATTGGAGAATCACTTTTTCTGTTCAGTCGGACTCTTTCTTCCGACTTCTCTCGTATCCGCTGCTCCGCAGTCGCCTAGCACGACCGCGAGATTGATCCGTGTGTACGTGTATCATGTGTACGTGTCTACATGCCAAACGTGCGCGCATACATGTACATGTACATGTATGATGTCACACGTGATTTATCGTGTGTAAGAAATATCGGCAATAAGAATCAAATGTCGTTTTTCAAACACCCACGCTATAACCGATACCTACTGTACATGTATTCACATTTTTCTTAGGAGCTGCATCATCTGGACCAAGCAGCCATACTGGAACTAGTTCACCCAACAGAGAGTGTGTGAGAGAGAGAGAGAGGGGGGGGGGGGGGGGAGCAATAGTATTGAGTAGTACCACAGCAACAGACAAATACAACTGTCACCTAACAGCCAGATCCAACTTCGCCCGGGCCACCCCATTTTTGTACTTGAAAGTACACAAACCTGTACTTTTGCTGGTTCATTTCTCTGGAACTAAAATATAGGGCAGCATGTGACTGGATACTGTGGGTAGTATCACAAAGAACTTTACGCCTACCTCCTTGCTTGTGCAGAGCAGCAGAAAGAGAGGTGGACAGGTATGCCAGACTGTTGGGTGTGTTGCGAAACAGTACAGGTAAACAAAACTGACAACAACAACAACAACAACAACAACAACAACAACAACAACAACAACAACAACAACAACAACAACAACAACAACAACAACAACAACAACAACAACAACAACAACAACAACAACAACAACAACAACAACAACAACAACAACAACAACAACAACAACAACAACAACAACAACAACAACAACAACACATACATACACTCGCATGCACACACAGGCATAATAGACAAAGGCACATATATGAGCACACATGCACATGGACATGCACATCACAATACAACGAAAGAACGCTTGAAGCACATTAGCAATTACTATCATTATCTGGTTGGTGGCAAGAATTCTATAGAAGCAGATCAGCTCTGATCCGTCTCATGTCAATGATCTCTATTTACCAAATCTCATCCACAGTCAGCACAAACTACGCTCATACCCGAACTACTTCGGAGTTCACACACAAGTGCATCCACAGTGCAATTAGAATCAGACAACAATACATATACGGGCCCATTGAGTCAGAGTGACCATGCAGGATACTGAAAAGGACGCTGCTACGCTCAATCTGATATTGTGATAGATGAGCTGTGGTCACCACTCTACACTGCGCTCTTAGCTCACAAGCTCCACTTGCGCAACAACACAAACAATGCCAAAAATCCAATGTTCTGTTGCACAATCTTGGACGGAGTCGAACAAAATAACAGAAGTGAATTGTCCGAAGGAATATTGTTATTTGGCTGGTCATTTCCCAGCAACAAAGAAAACGTGATACAATGTAGATCCATTCCTGTCACTCACTTCAGTCAGGTGTGTCCTCACGCGGCTACCACCAGTACATAGCCAGTGCAATAGTGGATCAAGCCATGTCCTCTGCCATGCTTCAACTAGCAAAGTCGTGTGCTCTTCTGAAGACTGCTGCTGTTGCTGATGCTTTTGAAGCTGCTCATAGTGGCAGCCACACAGTTTGTTGAAGAGATCACTGGCCTGAATGGGGCAATAGGCAAAGAGGAAAACCAGCCACCAGTCTCATCAGAAATAAATTGTAAATATTTACAAAATAGACAGCAGCACATTGGTCAGGAGTTATGACTTCATTGCATTCGGGACATGAGTAATGGAGCAGATGCACAATTTCAAAGTAAGAAGGCACACACTACAGCTGTCCAGGATCATGCTTGGCAACCTAGTGACTACTCGCATTACACATAATACCAATGTCAGATCAGAGTGCGCCGGCAACATCACAATCTTCCCAATCTCTACAATCTCCACCAACTCACACAAGTCATTGAGGAGTGAGACTTACAGGAGAATGCAATTTCAAATCCTTGATCACCGCAAGAAGGTCATCGGGCAAGGTGGGGCATAACTCTAATATGAACACAACATCAGTGTGCTGGGCGAAGCTGGCAAGTAATAGGTACTTGCCACGGATGTGCCAAGACAGATTTAGCAATGTGTGCAAAGTTGGCCGGATAAGAGACTGGCTTTGTGCAACATCATCTGCATAGCACAATGGAAACAATAACGGACAAGAAAATGAAAAGGTAAGTTTAAAATCATATCTCGCAATTTCAAATTCGTACCCACAATCAATGTAGTACTCCACCATACAACATACTAATTGGCTGTTGCAGGGTTCTGGAAATGGATGCAGAAACACTACACATTGTAAAGACCAGTACAAGGGCACATGATCTGCAAGAAATCGCACGTGCCTTATCAATCCCTGTGCCATTTCGTACATACACCCCTAAGTCCGGTAGTCGGTACATTGTATTGTCAATATAAATAAACGCTGCGATCAATAGACAAGGTTCACTTTGTAGTCTGCGACGTCCTGACTACTGAATGGAGCATCTTGTTCTCCTTCTAACATTCAGTTCTATGTTCTGTCTTTGATTTCATACTGGTAGCCTGTTTGTACTGGTGAAACCAAACAAGGGAATATAATGCAATACCTTTGTGCACCGTCACATGCATCAGTACAAGACACTCAAATGTAGAGTTGATCTGATGACGCACAGCCTGTGTCAAACACAAACACGCAGGCAAACACACACGTGTGCACACGTACACACAAACACATGCACGTACGCACGCAAGTGACAGAGCTCATTTTTTTACGAATGGAATGTAAATTTGTATATTTCTTGTTGGTTGAGTTTTTACGAACCAAGCAAGAAATGTCAACACCGACTGTGCTGATTGCGTCGGTGCCGACACTTCTTTCGAAATAGAGGAAAACATGTCTGGGATAGAGGTACTGCAGTTTTGGGCGTATTGGTATGCTGCAGTTCCTCCTCTTTTGTTATCTTGCTTTGCAAGCATTTTTTCATCAACCATCACACCAGAAATGAGATTATTCCTGTAGCTATGTAGAAGACGTTACTTCAGTAACGTCTGGCGCTAGCCAGGGTCCACACAGCTTTAAAGGGGAAGTTAAGGCAAAAATTAAAATTTCACCAGTTGTAGTCTTCGGGGTGCTGAGTCGAATGGTCTTGGTCCGAGGAAGCTGAGACGCTCCCTTCCTACTTGAATCCCAATCGAACTCGCGCACTTCCACCGAAATTGGGTGACTGCGCCCTCCTAGATGGGGATTTGTATGCAAAATATCACTAAAAGCGCCATTTCGTTCTTATAAAAGCACGGATGACCGCGATTGGCCCATATGTTGTAGTCTTTTGGACGCTGAGTCGACTGGTTTTGGTCCGAAAAGGCTGCGATGCAGCATTCCTCCTTTATTCCCAATCGAACATGGTTGAAGAAGCGGTCACGTGCTCCTGGG